GGTGGTAGAATGCGCTTCTTCAAATGGGCTGGACGCCGAAGACCGAGATCTGCTACGCATTAACCTTTTGCCTAACTACTCTTCCATGGTTTCCTTGTGCAAGTGAACAGAAGGAAACACTGCGTCTCTCAGCTCACTATCTTCTTGACCATCCCATCCAGTCAAGTGGGGACAGATAATTCCCTTGAAGGTTGAGACGAGTACCTTCGGTTTCATTGACCGGAACGAGAACGAAGATATTAAAAAAAAAAAAGAGAAAATCAAGAGCAGACAGGACCTGGACATTAATGCCCGAAACCAGTCCTATTCACATCTTATCAATTATCGATTTGTTGATGACCAGCCAGGATAACATGATCGCAGAGGATTTGCTCGAAACATCGTGCCGAACACCCGACGAGCCAGTGTCTATACCACTCTTCGCGGAGAAATTCCTGAGGCATTCCCTAACGAGGACCGCGGTTTGCGAGGAAACACATGCTAGCGAAATCATTGGCGAAGCGCTGCCTTACCGATACCATCACGGCAAGTTTATCTTCGCTACTTCTGGAGATCCCCCTGAGTGTATTTGTTCATGTTTCTCAATCATGCTTCGCATAATGAATGAGATGATCGAAGCAATGGGCGATGTGGAATTGCCACTTTCCTTCGACCAAGCTATGTTTCGCTTGCGGGGTGTTGGCTGGGTTTGAAGTGGAGGATGGAGTTGTTGCTAAGGGGCTTACGTTTTCTCGCACCGCCGAAGTAAGGCGATATCTTCCTCTACTTCCCAACCGACTATCACTTATTGAGACGCAGTATATTCGTCCGGCTTCACATTAGTGTCCGGTACCAATATGCAAGAAGGCATTCAACCGAAAAGACAATCTGGCTGAATATATGTCGCTCTATCGGACTAAAGCGACATATTGAGACCCAGCATATTCGTCCGGCCTCATAAATGTCCGGTACGAATATGCAACAGGGCATTCAATAGAAAGGACAACCCGGCGGAGCATGAACGTCGAATGAATTCTTAAAAATTTATGCTCTAGATAGTCTCAGTTTACTTTTGTTCCAGCTCTTGCGGTGTGTTTGGGATTTTGTTGTATCCCTATCGAAGCAGGAAACTCACTGGTTGATCCCGAATGACAGGGCCCGGGAAAGATTTATGTGTTGTATGTATGTATACCTAATCAGGGATCAGGAATTCAGGTATGGGATATAGCTAGCTAGTATACGATAACTGTAATTATCACCAGCTGACATAGAGACATTTTATAAAGAATACAATATTCATAAGGTTATGCATGGTATGGCAGTAAATTATGCAGACTATGCATATAACAAACACAATCTATCCCTCTATCCCTCCATCCAACCTAGATAGACACCTGAACACCTAGACAACACTCCGTAGTTAGTTACTAATGTATGATTACGTAGTTACAGTACCTAGGTAACTAACCAGAACCAGGGCAAGCAGATCAGCATCACGCGTAGCGCATACAAATCTAAGACCGTGTCTTACTTAGCTGCCCCCCCCCCCACGCCCAAAAAAGAGCCGGCCCATTAACTGACAGAAGTACCTACAGATTGCTGCGAGGGGCAACCGATCTAGTGACCGAGTTCGCGTCGCGTTATTTAAGCTTGTCTAATAGGCACGGAAGACTAATGTTACCCGACGCCAGGTCCGCTCGGACCATGCAAGGAGGAGACGCATTGACATTTCACTAGATTTGAGACATGATAACGAGGAGGGAGGATCTGGATTTACATACGGGCTTGGCTGGATCTTGGGGTGAAGGGGATAAGCTACGTACATGATTTAGCTAATGCGTGGGGTTGGAATGGTGGGTTGGAGTTATGGAGGTGGGAATAAATAGATAGGGAGGTTGTAGTTGATCTGGAGGCTTATTGATGGTGTAGGATAGTGTATTATAGTATAGTATATAACCAAGCAAACCCACATACACCCCGAAACCAAGAAAGCATGATACGTACAGAAACTCTCATAAATGAGCATAAACATGAACAAGTCAAAAACCCATGAAGATGAGTATGACCAAAATAAAAGAACAGTGAATAAACAAACATGAACATGCACGTCAGCATCAACATCAAGATAAAGATAACAAGTCTTATCGGTAAGAATAACAGTCTGAAATTGCCCTGACCCAACCAACCCGTCCGTTCGTCCCAGCAGAAAGCAGAAAGCAGAACGCCGACCGTGCAGAAAGATAGAAGCGTGTATATGTATGCAAGAGAACGAGAGACTGGTGTAAGAACCTGGGTATTTGTTGCACATCCACAGAGAGAAAGGAAACGAAAGAGACCATCAAGTACTTTTGAACAAAAAGTAATGAAAGTCATATCAGTAGATATTAAAGAAAGGAAAGGACAACATATTGAATATGGGAGTGGAAGGGCATATGATGTGATAGATGTATTAGATTGATGAAATGAGACCAGCTCAGGTGGAACAAGATAATACAACAGGGGAAGAAAAAAACAAACTAAACATTGCGCATGCGCCCACCCATGTAGGAGCCAGCCGCCGATGCGAAGAACCGGGCCACGAGGCCACCGCCGCCCGCGTGGCTACCGGACATGCGCATCTTCTTGCCGGACGGCGGCGCTTCGTCCATCTTGACGTCCGACAGGTGAACGTATCCCCCGTGCAGCGAGGGACTGCGGGCCGCGTCGGCCACGCGGACGTCCTGCTCCATGCTGGAAATGGATCCGGAGGTGCGCAGGCTGGCGGGCGTGTCGCCGCGGGAGCTCGGAGCGACGCTGGAAGCACGCGAGCTGAGCGAGGGAACGGTCTCGGCGCGTGAGAGCATGGGGACGTCCTGCACGGACGGAGGGGATCGCGATGTCGGACGCTGGCGCGACGAGTACGGGTGGTAGCGATCGCTGTCCGCCAGGGACGAAGCGGCGGGCGAGGCGCCCGACGACGAGAGCGAGGAGAGCGATTCCGGGCTGGGGGGCAGTCGCTGGCGATGGTGGTGGCTCTGGCGCCGACCCGTGTCGGACGAGACATGGGCCTCCATTTTCTGACGACGCAGACGACCGGCCAGCAGTTCGGCAGAGGCGTGCAGACGGCGCCATTCGCGGGGTTGGCGCAGCTCCGCCTCGCGCTCCTGGTGGTGCAGGTAGCGCTGGCGAATGGGCGCCAGGAAGGGTTCGAGATGGCGCAGCAAGTCGGCCTCAGTGACGCGCAGGTCCCAGTCCAACAGGAAGAGCAGTTGGCGCTCCATCAGGTTGACCTCGGGCAGGGAGAAGCCAAAGTCGTAGCCCTTAACGGCCGTGTAGCGGGCCCAGTGCTTGTTCTTGGGGCTGGAATCGTTCAAGTTCTTTGCGGCCAGGATCAACGAGGCCAGAAAGATGCGGTGCACCGTGCAGCGCATGCCCTTGGCAACCGGGGGCAGTCGCTCGCGCAGTCGCCCCAAGTAGACCAGGGTGGTCATCAGCGTGGGCACCTGCACCTGGGAACGAGTGACCAACGAGACGATGAAGGTTTCGACGGACGGCAAGGGCGAGCTGACATCCAACGGCGGGGTATTTGGGGGCGTGGGTTGGCTATTTTGCTGTTGGTTGTTGTTGTGTTGGTGCTGGTGTTGCGGGTGCTGGTGATGTTGAGGCTGGGAAGCCGTCATGTGCGACTCGCACCGAATGACCCGCGAAGCCTGCAGGGCCAGATGAGCGACCATCTCACGAGTCACCGGCTGCCGAATAAACTCCTGCAGGGCGGCACGGTTGAGCGACTGGACGTTATCCATGCTGTAGAAGGATGGCTGGTTGGCCATAGTATAGTACGAGTGATTAGGGTTTGGAGTGGAGGATGGAGGAAAGGAGAGGGAGAGAGAACAAGAAGAGAAGAAAGAAGGGCGAGCAGAGAGAAAAATGAAGGTTGGCAAGTGTTTGTCTTTCAGTCAAAAAGAACAAAGCTGCAGCGATTAACTAAGGTGGTAAAAAAAAGGAATGTTGGCGTTGAGGTCACAGTAGGAATCCTGCCAGCAGGAATGCAGAAGGTTGTCGTGTCAACCTGACCGATCAGAGACAAATGGCCGACGATGGAAATGAGACTGAGACACCCGGGGAGTCTCTGGATTATATAGAGAGCGAGAATGAAAGGAAATGCAAAGGATTGGAGTGACCAGAACTAAGGAAACAGATCAAACGACAGTGTTGTGAAAAGGAAGAACCACCCCGTGAGTTGAGCATCTGAGAAGAAAACCACCCAACGGAGCGTCAACGGAACGATATAAGTACAGAGTAAGTAAGAGAAAGAGAATCCAGTCCAACCAACGAGCTGAGAAAGGCTGGCCATGCAAGGACGGCGGTTGAACGCGCTGCCTGCATTCCCTCCCTCACGATCCTTCGTCATTGGCTTGTGCGCCCCCTCCGATCCTCGAACACGAGTCCAATGCTTTTTTTTTTCTTTTTAATTCTTGATTCTTGGTTCTTCCTTGTCGCTCCCTCTCACCCTCTCAAGGGGTTGCGTCGTTTTGGGACGGCGCGTTTCGGTTGTCGCCTCCTGCTGGCGCAAACAGGGGGATTCTGGTGGGGATTTGGTATGAGAGACAAGGTGTGCCCTCGAGGGGCAAACACTAACTCTAACTGACTGCCATTCATTGCATGCATCTTCCTGCCATCTGAGGGGATCTTAGGCTGGTTCCTGCAGTTAAGCGCCCGTCGTGCAGAACCGCCGACCGTTTCTATTCTCGTCGTTTCACCTCGCCCGGCGGTTACCGTGACCCTTCGTCGCATGAGAGGTATAGTCACGCAGTATGGAGTACTGGATATGGTTATATTTAGAATCGTTTGACTATGTACAGGGTACACCCAATCCCAATCCCATCTACTCGGAGTACACAAGCAGCAGGGTTGAAACGCGGCGCGTAAATACTTCCCCCCATCCCCCTCTTTCTCCTTCCGACTCTCCCCTCTTCCCTCCTCGAACTAAAAAAAGAAACACAACCCCTCCATTCCCATTCCATTCCAAGCTATATGGGCGTTTAGGCAACCGACACCTTGAAGGAAGAGACGCTCATCTTCGCGTCGCTGCCGGAGAAGGGCTCAGTACCCGCCTGGATGTGGGTGAGGTACTGGCTGGAGGGCAGGTTCTGGCTCTCCTGCAGGTACTTGAGGAAGTCGACCAGGTCGGCCTCGAAGTTCTCGACGCTGGAGGGGGCGACGAAGCTGTACACCTGCATCTGGCCGTTGGGGCCCAGGTAGAGGTCCCAGGTGGTTCCGGCGACCGTGGGTTTGGCGATGGTCGATCCGGTCGACGAGATAGGGCCGGCGCCACCAAGGGCGGCCAACCAGATCATGATCTCGTACTCCTCGTCGCCGTCAGCAGAGGACGAGGTGAACAGGTCGTATGCAACGTCAGCCACAATGTCCGATCCCGAGGTGTACCTAACGCCACAGGTCAGTTTCAGTTCTCTTTTGTTTCGATTCACAACCAATCAATCATCGGTCGGAGAATAACGTACTTCCAGTTGAAGGTGGTGGGGATGCTGCTGAGGCTGCTCAGCTGCTTGGCCGTGAAGGAGTAGGCAGCGTTGGCAAAGCTCTTGACCTGACCGGCACCGCCGGTCCACGACCAGCTGGTGTGGAAGGCGATCTCGTTGCCGGAGCCCGAGTCGAGACCGGTGCACTGCGAGCCGCTGTCGGCGTTGCCGGAGCCCCAGAGGTTGTTATACAGGGTGAAGTCACCCGACTCGACGGTGTCCCATTGACCGCACATGTCGGCGCGGCGGGAGACGGAGCCGGCGGAGGCGAGAGAGCCGAGAGCGAGAGCGGCGAGGAACTTCATTGTGACGGAGATGAAACGGAAGAGATGGAATTGACCGGTGGGAAAGAGTTCCTTGAGAATATTTCGTTTGGGCCTGGGGGGAGAAGGAATTCAACCGACGGAGGGCGAGATGAGAGCCATTCTTATAGCTCCGCTTCCTCCCCCGATCCTCTCCTGATCGGAAATCCTGAATCGTCAGGACCACAGGACCTGACACACCCCATCAACCAGAAACATCTCGAACGGATTGGTCTGCAGGCTAAAAAGGGCTAAATGGAACCGTTGTCCGGAGCCAGTGGCAGCCACCGCACGCCGCGAGGAAGCTTAATTCAATTTCCGGTGCCTGGATGGGGCACGGGTGGGCCGCGTGAATGGTGGATCAACTGAATCAAGTCATTCAACCTGAGACGACCATCTCGGAGGGAGGATGCCAAGTTGGATTTTATCCGGAGTTTGGAGTGGGACACGGCGGATCGTCGGAGGATTAAGGAGAACTAATATTGGTGGAGGATTTCGACGAAGACCTGGAACTCTGAAGAGAGACGGAAGGGTTCCGTTTCAAGATGGTCAAGGTAGGCGGTGGTGAAGAGGAGCAGCCATGACGCGGTGTTGCAGGAGAGTCGAGACTCCGGGGGTCTGGGCGGGACGGTCAGACAAATCGACACGATTCAGTAGATGTCGATGTCGAAGAGTAGATGTCCTCCGTCGATGTGGTCGATATGGAAGAGAGCGAGAGAGGGATAGACAAACAAGCAAACGATGCATACAGAGCAAATGCCAAGACGTGAGTCTCCTCCCACCGCCTTCGGCTTTTCTGGCATCCGAAGTAAACAGTCGATGCGCCGATTCTGGTTCATCTCTCTCGACTCTTCCCCATAATCCTCCCTTTCTCCCCGCTACATCCGCCGTCATGCAGTTCTTTAGCATCCTGGTCACTCTGTTGGCCGCCCTGATCGGCTTCTACAACTACTTCGAGTCGCGTCTCGAGCAATTCTACATCTTCGATCCCAGCCATCTACACGATCTTTCGCAGCGCGCCATTGCTGCCCACGGCGAGGATACTCGCAGCATCGTCAACTACATTGTGGCCGAATTGGAGCAGAAGGTTCCCTCGGTTCACATCAACAAGGACGAGGAATGGGTCTTCAACAACGCCGGTGGCGCCATGGGTGCCATGTATATTATCCATGCCAGTGAGTTTCTCCAATTCGCTCCACTACGACGGAGAGAGCGAGAGCGAGACACCAAGAGGGTCAATGGCACTAATTCCAGCTTCTTCTAGGTATCACTGAATACTTGATTATCTTCGGTTAGTTTACGGATACCTCCGGTTCTTTAGTCCGTTCAAGCTTTCGGTCCTCGGGGACCGAGGCAACCACCCCATTATCGTCTCCCCCTTTACCCCTATCCACACCTCTCTACCTTACCGGTCTAGATTCAACCCGCTCACACCACTATTCTTACTTGCTAGGTACCGCCATCGGAACCGAGGGCCACACCGGCCGTCACACGGCCGACGACTACTTCAACATCCTCCAGGGTACTCAGCTCGCCTACGTCCCTGGCTCCTTCGAACCCGAGGTTTATCCCGCCGGAAGCGTCCACCACCTCCGTCGCGGCGAGGTCAAGCAGTACAAGATGGACAAGTCCTGCTTTGCGCTGGAATACGCCCGCGGCTGGATCCCTCCCATGCTGTTCTTCGGCTACGCTGATACCTTCTCGAGTACCTTGGATTTCCCGACCCTGTGGGCGACCTCGCGCATCACCGGCCGCGAGATGATCTCCAACTTGTTCAAGGGGAAGATGTAAACGGTTTTTTTTTTTTCCCCTTGGGAACCAATATTGGTCTGTAATGAAATAACTTGGATAGATGTGTGATAGATGGCTTTGTATACTACGGAATATTTGGAGGTGGTAATGAAAATCCTTATGAAAGTTTCTTGCTGTACAGTACCTATCTATATTCTTTAGATATTTTTTTTTTAATCGGCTTCAGGTCCGATGGTTTGTTTGTCTTGTTTGGAGTGGAAACAAACTGTGCAAACCACAAACCGCCCGCCATGACTAATCGCTATCGATAACTTAAACCAATTTTCTCCCCCTCCATTCAATTACAATCGTTCAATTCAATATCGTCGAAATGACTGGCTTCTCCCTCTAACCACCAAAATCCAAATAAAATCCCTATAGACGCGCCATTTTCCCACTTAACCACTCAACCCGACCAAACACCAAAATGGCGCCTACTCCCTGCTTCCACTGCAAAGCCGCCCGCGCAGTCATCATCCGACCCAAGAACCGCCACAAGCTCTGCCGCAGCTGTTTCCTGGCCGTATTCGAAGCCGAAGTCCACGAGACCATCACGTCGACGTCCCTCTTCCAGCGCGGCGAGCGCGTCGCCATCGGCGCCAGCGGCGGCAAAGACAGCACGGTCCTGGCCTCGGTGCTGAAGACGCTCAACGAGCGCCACGACTACGGCCTCGAACTGTGTCTGCTCTCCATCGACGAAGGCATCAAGGGCTACCGCGACGACAGCCTCGAGACCGTGAAACGCAATGCCCAGCAATACGCCATGCCCCTGGAGATCGTCGGCTACGGCGAACTCTACGGCTGGACGATGGACCAGGTCGTTGCCCAGATCGGCAAGAAGGGCAACTGTACCTACTGCGGCGTGTTTAGGCGGCAGGCGCTCGATCGCGGCGCGGCGCGTTTGGGCATCTCGCATGTCGTGACGGGACATAATGCGGACGATGTGGCGGAGACGGTCATGATGAATTTGCTCCGTGGGGATTTGCCCCGTTTGTCGAGAGGGACGAGTATCGTGACGGGGTCGGCGATGTCGGAGGTGAAGCGCTCGAAGCCGTTGAAGTATGCGTATGAGAAGGAGATCGTGCTGTATGCGCACCATATGCAGTTGGATTATTTCAGTACCGAGTGCATCTACTCGCCGGAGGCGTTTCGGGGCAGTGCGCGCACGCTGATCAAGGATCTGGAGAAGATTCGGCCGTCGTCGATTCTGGATATCGTGCGCAGTGGCGAGGATATGGCGCAGCTGGTGCCGCCCGAGGTGAAGCAGAGTGGGGGTGGTGGCGGCGCGGGGGAGTCGATGGGCGGTTGTGGCAGCCAGAATGGACGCACGAGAGGCGGCGAGATGGCGGAGATGGAGAGGAAGTTGGCCGAGGATGAGGCAGCCGATTCGAGGGAAACGGAGATCCAGATGACTGGTGCGAAGACCGAGTCGAAGCCCGCGTACGCGATGAAGGTGAGGCAGCGGATCCCCAAGCAGATCAAGACGCAGACCATGAACAACTGCGAGCGCTGCGGGTATATCTCTAGTCAGAAGGTGTGCAAGGCGTGTGCGCTGCTGGAGGGGTTGAATCGGAACCGGCCCAAGACGTCGATCGAGGTGGGAATGGAAGATGAAGAGGGCAGCTCGACATTGATGAGGCAGATGGAGAAGGTGGAATTGGGTGGTTGATCAACCTGGGTTCGAGTTATAACCCCTTATCTTGATCTGATTGCAAGATCCAGCACGGATGGCTGGAGAGCACAGCGCGCCGAGCATGACCTGTCCATGTCAAATGTATACATGGAGCGGTCCATACCGACGGATTTGAGACCACGGTCGATTGACGCCGCAATGCAAGTCAATGCCAGACTCGTCAATCCAGTCTCATTCCGCACCGTCGACAGACACATTGAAAGAAACCAGCCAGCCACAGAAGGAGAAGACGGAGAAGAGAAACAAGTCTTCTTAATCAAGCTAATCCCGCTCTTGAACACCCAGGACAACACATACAAGAAGCAAATAGAGTAAGAATCCACACAATCATAAAATATACTGTACATACATACATAGCCCAAACGAAATCAAGATTCCAATATAAATACATCCCATTATCCCTCTCTCCAATTATTCACCCCTCCCCATCCAACAATTCCTTCCTTAATCCACCCATCCACCTCATTTCTTCTCCTTCCCCTCAGCTTCAGCCTCAACCGGCAAATCCCACCCAACCCTCCTCGCAGTCAACCTAATCTTCTCCTTCTCATCCATCGTCATCCCCGGGTTATACCGTTCGACGAGAGCCGCATACGTGCGTTGCGCGCGCGCATACAGCGCCATCTGCTCTGCCTCATGGAGTCGGTTCTGGAGCGCCTCGGTCTCTGTTTGGCTCGCGCTTTGGGTTTCGGAGATAGGGACCCGGTAGAGGGCTCGGATGCGCTGGTGCAGGGGGGTGGGGGAGGAGAGCTTTCGGCGGGGGAGTTCGCGGAGGAGGGCGCGGTAGGTTGTGGTGGTTTTGGACATTTTGTTTGGGTCTCTTTTTGTTGAGCGGGGAGGGCGCGTTTTCGGTGTGGGGTTTTTTGGAGGCGTTGGTTTGGTTCAATTGGGTTGATTGGGTTTTTAGAGGGAGAATGGGTGAGATTGTATGTCTGTCTGTGTTCGTTGGTGGTTTAGTTTGGTTTGTAGAAGCGATGGCGGAGATGGCGGAGATGCCTTTTTTTCGCCGAATATATGGATCACGTGATATCTCTTATAGTTTACCTTGCTCGACGGGTTGGACTTCCAACTCCAGCTTCGTCTGTGAGGATCAACCATTCCCTTTGGTCTACCGTTATCTCTATTTACTCGCTTGTACACCTCATTTGCCTAGGCAAGACAACCTGGTTACATTAGAACATAATTCCTATGCCCTGCCAAATAATAGATAGATACTGTATTGTATGTACATCATAGACCAGACGATCATCATCAATTCATCAGGCATCTCGTCAACTGGTAGTATGGCTGTAGCTCATATAATCGTGTCACTATTTTCTTCTCACTTGACTCGACTTCATTTCCCTTCACTGGGTTCGGCTCGGCTCTATTTCGATAAATTCATCACATTCACATTTATGTGATACATGGGGGGTTGGGTCTATATCATCTGCGATGAGATAGTCACGTTTAAGGCGAGGGTTTCTCTATGACCGTAACCAGCCGAACTTTCGTCGTTCGCCTCCAGCAGACGGCTCGACGTGCGTGCTGCGGGCGTATAAGTCCTATTTGGTTTATTAGTATATAGGAAGATAGATATAGTGAAGTTCACAAGGAAGACAAACCTCATCATCGCCCGATAATCTCGTTTCGAGAATCAAGCGAGCCGCCTCCTCATACCGATGCATATGTGCATACGGAGTTTTCTGACTCCGCTGGATCCCCAGGACCACTTCGCCCATGACCTCGAATTTGCTCCAGTTGATGCGCGTTTTGCTATCGCCGACGAAGGTCTTATTGCCCTCTTCGGCGGAGACGAGATCGCGACGGTGAAGCGGCAAGAAGGGGATGCGTTCGGAGAACGAATTGTCCCAGGCCAGTCGATACGCGAAGTGGCTTTTCTGGGTTCCCATGAGGATGACCAGCCTCATGAAATCTTTCTGGGTTTGGACGGGCACGAGTTCGCGCGTTTGTCCGAGTCGGTGGACCGGTGTGCCGTTGATTCCGGCGATCACGGCCCCGAGGGAGTTGTAGTTGTTTAGGCGGCGGAGTTTCTATCGGATGAGGCGGTTAGATGGATTTCAAGAACGGGTGAACTGAAGAAGGGGCAGAGAGAGGCTTACCAGGGCGATGTTCATGAATTTCTCCATTGCCTTAGCCCGGTGCTTCGGCTTATCTCGGAAAAGGATAAAACTGGCGACAAAAAAGGCCAGATGATTGAATTGTTTGATCATGCGATTGACGTGCTTCAGGCTCTGGATCTTATCCTTGTCCGGTCCTGATATGCTGACGTGCCGCACGAGATCCCGCGGTCGGAAGGAATTGAACATAATCCAGTCGATCCGGGTCAGCTCGCGCGCAAAGTCCTCGTCGGGGACCTCCATGATCTGTCGCCATTGCACTTTGGTCATGGGAAGGCGGGAGGTGAGTTCCAAGTTCTGCGCTTCTCGTTGCGCAGATTCCAGGTTTAAGAAGGTAAACGACTGGCTGGGGATGGTGCCGGGTTTATCGCCCACTGGGCTCGACAGGGTCCCGGTCAGCCTGGAAGAGGGGTCTGGTGCGCCCTCACTGAGGTCCAACGCACTCATGTTGTAGATAGGATCCTCCTCCTCTTCCTGTTCTTCTTCGTCGTGGGTGTCATCGCCATTGTTCCATGCGCCACCGAGGAACATGGACGGGGAGCTGCGACCGGAATGATCGGGGAAGGTGTCTTGCCCGTCAAATCCCTCGACGTCGCCGTCCCGGAAAGACCATCCCACGTCATCATCCTCTGCATTGACTTCGAGCGACGAGCCGACCTCCTTGGCGGCAAACATGTAGAAGTGACTCTTCTCCAGCGTCGCAACGAAATCTGTGATGCGCTTCCTAGTCTTAGGATAGACCAGGTCTCCCGGGTATTCCGATACCCACACGTACATGATGTTCAAGAGCCGCAACTGATCGGCAATGCGGGTCAGTTGGTCGGCGATATGTTTCTCGTTTCGTTCGAATCGATTGATCAGCGCGTTCAGCAAGGTGGATGGCGCGGCGAATTTGCGGTAGAGGCAGAGGAAGGTCGAGGCGAATTTAGAATCTTGTTTTGATAAGGGTTGAGCGACTAGTCGATCCACGAGTTCGTCAAACGTAAAGCCGGCATCGTTCGACGAGGAGCCCTCGCTGCCGGGGGGTTTCTCTTTGCTCCCCGGGCTGGAGGGCGCGCTGCGGCGTCCCTCCATCTCATCTTCCTCCATGTCTAGAAAACCGTTAAACGCATCCGACCCGGCGCTGTTCCGCCAGGCAGTGTGCATGCGATGCTGGCGATTGCGATCCTTGCTGGGCGAGGAGTCTTCCGCGGCCGACGGTCGACGCGAATTCAGCCGAGAGCCACAGGGAGGAGTTTGCGGTCGCACCGGATATGAATTGCTCCGGGCATATCGGGAGGGTTGAGCATTGGAAGCCAGATTTGGAGAGGTCGTCTGGTCGGTGGGCTGACGGTCGACGCCGTACCCATCGACTCCTAAACCGAAGGGACTAATAATCGGGCCGCCCGCGGCTCCAGCGAACACGGACGTTGGGGTCTCCGAATTGGCGCGAGAGTGATGCCAGTCCTGCAAAGGATTGGAGGAATAGTCGATCAGGTCTAGATGACGGAGAAAAAGAGAGAACAGAAAGAAAACGTTAGCAATCCGAATTCCCAAGCCCAGCCCGGCGAGATAATAAAAAATTTAGAGTGGTCTAACTGCAACCGCGTTCCCACCACTGCGGATCGGCAGCGCACGCGAACGCTAAATTCCAGGCCGCGCCGTGGACTAGCGTCAACGTGGTGGACCGTCACCGTACTCCGTGTTGGCTTTTTTTCTCTTTCTTGTTGTCTTTTTCTTTTCTTTTCAATTCCTTTCTTTTTTGACGTTCTCCCTCTTCCCTTCCTGTTAACCCAATGACTGGGGGTGTGGATGAAAAGTAGGCAGACGGTGGACGGGAAAGTAAACTGGGATCGCCGCAATTCCACAATTGACACTTACCATATTTATTGCCAATCACGGACCGTAAGACCAATGCGATGCACATCTTTTGTGATCGCGGCGATTCGGGTGATGTCCGGTGGATCTCGTAGTTATCTAGTACGGGCTCGAATGGTCCATCGGAATTGCGGATGTCGCATTTACTGGCGACCAACACAAACGGGAATGACAACGCCGTTAAGGCATCTAGTTTCGGCGGACCGATCAGCAATTGCGCCGCGAGCGCGGTCAGAAGAACGGAAAAGTAGGCACCCACCTAAGAGTCCGGTCAGATCGGGGAGACTGGCGGGTTGGGTGACGTCGTGGATCACCAGAGCTCCGTCAATGGTGGGAGCCGATGCCGATTCATTGCCCAATCGCGGCCAGCTCACGGTGCCATTATTAGCAACCAAGACCTCTTTCACGTCCACTTCTAGCAGGCGGACCAGGTAGACCGTTCCATCCAGAGACATCTTCTTTGTGGTGGCTCGGGAAGACAGGGGGTGTTTCATGTCAAGGGCGCTTTGTATGAAGGTGGTCTTGCCGACATGATCTCGACCGACAACGGCAATGGTAACGTGGGGGAAGTTCGGTTTCTGGAGCGGCTGTCACGGAAGAAAGAGCAAATAGTCAGAACCCCAGAACAAGTTGTAGACCACCCGGACTTTCCACCAGCACCGGGCGCACCGAGGGGGTTGATTCCAAACCATACCTCATCGCCTGCCCGAGGGGACGAAACCCCGTTTCTACCCGGTGAGGACAGGAATTCATCTTCTTCTATGACCGCGCGATCCACTTTATGACCGTTATCCATCCCGGTGATGTTGGACGTATTCAGTTTGTAGAGGCCGCCGACGGGAGCGGAGATGGTTCGGCTCTGCAGACCCGGTCGTTGGGGGACGGACGGCACGGGCTGGGCTTGAGCTCTGTCGCTAGAAGCTCGTTCTCGTCTAGGGGTTTGAGAGGTCATGGTGAGGTGTAATGCGCGGCGCGGTGGCGCGAAAGGGAGGAAGTGTCCGATAGAGAGCAAACAAGGTGCGACAGCGCAAGGTCCAACTGCTACATGAGTAAGTGAGGCGGGCACGACAGCTCATCCATTGTCGCTCGCGACCGAATCCGAAGAGAATGAAGGGAAGCAATCGAGGAAGGAATGTTTGTTCGGGCGATTGAGGAGTTGACTGTCAGCGATTGACTGATTGATTGATGGATTGAAGATTTGACTTGGGCTGTTGGTGTTGGTGCGCTTAATAATTTTTTTAAATTTTTTTTTTCTTGCTCTATTCTTTCTTTTCTTTTTCTTCTTTGGGCGGGACTTGCGATGGGGAGAAAAAAGGCCGGGGGGGATAAAACTGGACACAAACGAGACCAAAATTAGCCCTCGGGGAAATTCTGCACGATTGCAGAGTTGGACGAATCTTACGAGAGATCGGATGGACAGTGACGTATCAGAAAGAGGGCAAAAAAAGAAATCGAGGGTAAATGAAGGCAGCAGACGAGTCAAGATGGGCGTAAGGTCGTAACTCGTAAGACGGGAAGATCTGACTGGAGCCCCAGAAAATATCGATTTAGAGCGGATTTAGTCTTGTCCTTGTCCACCGCTGCTCCTTCGGCCGACTTTTCTTTCACCGAGGTCCTTGGGGTGAGGTTCAGGGAAGATGAACCATGTAAATGGGAAGGAAAAAGGAAAAAGGAAAAGAAGGGAAACGTGACAGAATGAAAGAGAAGAGAGAAGAGAGAAAAAAATAAGAAAAAAGAGGTACCTTCGTAGAGCAGTTGTACTCCGGAGATCCGATATACGACCAGGTGGGACCTTCACGCGGCGTGGATAACACAGTCCCAGTCCGTGTGGCTCCGGCTGAGCTGCTCGGGATTGCAGAAGAAGTTCCCCGAGAGAGTGGAAGAGTTGGATTATTTATTTTCTAATATGCCTGCCTCGTACGGAGTATGTGAAAACGCCATCTCTCGATCTATATGCTCTATGCTACTATATATTCCCAGATGGATCCATCACTAATGGTTAATGGCTCGGATCGAATCCGTCGGCTGAAAACCCTCCCCGATGTGATAACAATGAATCGCTGCTCTGATTCTCTGTACTCCGTACGAAAAGTCCAAGTCCAACCTTTCCTTGGTCTGTTCTCTTTCCCAATCAGAAAAGGGGGCTGCCATCCGCATCTCCCATTTGCTTTCGCCCTTCAACGCGGGTGTTCACCTCGGCGACGATCTCCGTCCCGTCTCCTCCATTTTGGAATTTCTTTAATTTTCTTCTGTTCTAAAATCTCTCAAACACCCTGCCCCGCCATGCACCACCGATGTGCTTTTTTTGATCATCAACCCTGGTGTTTTCTCTTTCCCTTTTGGCCTGAGTGCTGACAGCTGTCGGCGGAGCCACTAATGCGATAAACCAAATCACCCTCCACCGGCCAAGAAAACCCCGTTTGCTGGTTCGCTTACCGGGGGGGGGGGTGCGTTACCATCGTATCGTTCTCGGATCACTTTTTGAGCCTTTGCACCCTCCGGTCAAGCCCTAAGAGGACACTAGACCTTTGGGGAAAGAACTTTAGCCCCCCGGGGAATAATTTCGACAGGATTGGGGGCTTCACCGCGTAATCACCTCCGGTCCAGCGGTCTGTGTTGACTGCTGAATCCTCGACCCCATCGAATGGGAAGGTCGACAAGGCGAGAGGGAAAAATGCTTGCTCGTAAGATGCAATCTCGAGCATCGTGAGAATCTGTTAGTCCGTTGTTGGGTTGGTCGGGTAATTCCTGACCTGATCCTGTCCAGCTCCACCGAAGACAGTCTGGCCCAGGCAGATGGGGAACTTGGCTTCGTGGGCTGAAGTGACGAGTCAATTCTGAGCATTTCCATCGGATTTGAACGGTCACACATGGCTTTTGGCGCTATGGGAAAATTTAATCGTAAATGTCAAAATTGCTTGGCCAAACCCAAGTCGACTTCTCCCGTGTCTCTCGTTGAGCATGACAGATGCAGTAGTCTGTTAGTCTGGCTCGTGTACTCTGCGCTATGTATGTACGAAGAAGCACTACGGTGTACAGACGGTGTACAGACTACGGAGTAGGGGCTGTCTACTGGATTTGAAGGATCCGAGCTGAAGGAACCACTTTCTGAGGGCTGGATCCGATGCAGTATCCTCTGTCCTGTATCCAGTAGTTATCCACAGTCTTGCAATGAACAACGGCCCCCAGACTGCTGAACCGGTGGACTATCCCTCCATGACAGAACGTTTCGCATGTCTATCATTTCCATCTCGGGATAATTCAGCGAGCCCGGCTTTTCGTCAGAGCCAATATGCTTACAGAGTAGACGCAGCTCGCGAGTTGTGGCGGAGACTTCTCCCGATATATTGTCTCCATAGAGCGTGATTCGGATGTACCAAGTAACTCTCGGAAAACGTACATTCAAGGTACCCCCGGAAGCAGGAGCTTTGTTTTCTCTCGACAGCAAACTGACAGGGGAGATTTCAATGAGATGGCTCAAATGGTTTATTGGTTGTGAATGAATTTCTTGTGCGTCCTCGGCTTCCAAATGCCGTCTCTATGAATCTTGGCAGATCTGGAGCAGACCTAATATTGGCTAATGCTAAAAGGCTGAGGCGGTTGTGGCCCAGATGATTGCATTTTTACCTCCTTGGTAGCAACCTCGGGCGCGTAACGACCAAGGGCTGTTGAAAATGAATCCCCACGACTCAGTAGGTGCGCAGAAGACACCCTGTTTCGTCTCAACGTGCACGCTTTCGAGTGTGCTGTTGCCACAAGCTTGCATTCATGCATCCCTCGGCATAGTGATTTCGAGACCACTGACATTTCAAGATCTAGCCGTGGTTCTAGGCGACCGAGTCATGTGTAGTATTTATTCATCCGATGGAAAAGCTCGGCGAGAAAATTTCTCCCGAATTATCCCATAAGAGCATCGAGCGATCACCCAGACTCCTCAGGATGCTCTCTATTGACCAGGTTCATAAAGCGCATGAGCCCCTCAGCGGGTTTCCCCGTTTCCAACCCCTCTTCACACCGTTCTCTGAACTTCCGAACCTTTCCTAAACCTCTATTAAAGCCCTTTGCGCGAGTCCAAGGTCCTCGGTTGCGTGGGCCTCCTTTGCCCCGATGGAAAGATCGATGCCGATGCCCATGTGTCTGCACTTCTACCCACTCTTCTTCTAGTGTGGCTTTGTAGATGTCTCGCAGCTCGTCACGAAGGGATGGATTCTGGTCGAATAGAAGTTTCAACTCGGGAGACGACGCGAAGGATTTCGGGTTGAAGGCATTTCGGGGTTCGCGAGCTCCCTCGCCGTCGACCAAGCCATTGGATGCGTCTTGGTCTTGAGGGGACGCGTTAGCTTCTTCTTGGGGTGGTTTGGGCGACGGCGCTTTCGGTGTGCAGTAAATCTTGTGGGATTGGGTACAAGCAAGTGAGCAACTACAACCCGTTCGTCAGTACTTGCTTAGTATCTGCTGTCTGCCATGTCTCCACTCGCGGCCTTCCTTCCTTTCTTCGCATTGATGCTCATGCCAAACGGACTGAAGACATACCTCAAGAGTCCACATGTGGGACACCGGTATTTGAATGGCTCCGAGGTGCAAACCTCGCAAGTACCAGCAACTTTACCGCCGGCTTCGGTGCTCGTAGACATTTTGGCAGCTGCACGTCGATTTTCAAAATTCGCGGGGCATGGTTGGGCTTCAATAGATCATTGCAGATAATTGGTTCCAACCAAGCACCGAATTTACAGGCACTTAGCAAGGTCTGCACAGCAGTGTCGATCCTGAATGCCCAAAAATCGTTGGTATGAGAGGCGGTGGATCGATCAACAGCTTTAGCCAAAGTCCAAAAAATGGTTCCTTAGGTAGCCGCCCTCACGTGAACGCGCCGCCCTTCCACTTTCCAAAGAATGCGCCTCGTTCTCAGAAGGAAGAAGTTCAGGGAAAGACGAGCTGCAATTGTCACCACTCCGACTTCGGATCTTCATGGAGAATACCATCGGGCGCTCAATGGACGATTGGCACCGAGATTTCAAAAATCCAGCACGGCCTCCCTACGCTTGTCGGACTTGGCAACGTCTGGTATGACATCAGATCCCCAACTATGGGCGGCATTCCCTTCAAATCTACAGGGTGCAATACGTGCCGATGCCGGAAAGTGAAGGTAAGAAATAGTCTCTTCTAGATGCTTTTCTTCGGACTGGTCTTTGGTCTGTTGAATAAGAGGAGTAAGAGGGAGGGAATGATATCGAACACCCTCTAATCGTGGGCTCTCATAGTGTGATGAAACTAAACCCGAATGCCTTCGCTGCGTCAAAAATGGCCATGTCTGCACCGGCTATGAACGGAATAGGATTTTTATCCATAAATCTACGGATACAATGGAAAAAAGCTCTCAGAAACCCATCCAGCCATCCAAAGCCGTCGCGTACAGCCCCGAATCGCGCAGGCCAAACCAATTGGAACCAGAGATCCCCCGGTTAGACGTCAATACGGAGGTCCGGATTCAATTGCTCTTTCATCTATTGGTATTCGCCTGAATCGCAGTACTTAGCCCGGGACTCGAAAAGGCATATCCTCGAGACTAGGCAACTACCTCACTCTCAGCGGCCTTCCTCGCGAAGCAAAACAAAGACGAATATCTATTACAGTATAGCACCAGACTATATGGCAATGCAATTCGGACGCTGCATGGTCAAATCAACTCGGGCAACATTCTCGGCAAGGATGTTCTGTACACGACTGTAATCTTCCAGATCTATGAGGTGAGCAAGTCTTTGTATCCCGCTCACATGTCTAATGATTGGAAAATCTAACAGTCAAAAGTTGATAAATTGCTCGCCGCCGGGTTTTATGGCATGGATAGCCCATGTGCAAGGTAGCAATGCGGTCATAGGTCAATGTGCCGAGCGGAAGGATGAATCTATCGCAGAAAAACCGTTCCATCGACAACTGAAATACGTTACTGTAAGTTTGCGTGAATCCTTCGGGGGCGTATCTATTTCTGCGGTGCTAAGGACCCGTAAACTAGCTATGCGATGCGATTGGAAAGCGTAAAACGGCCGCATTCTACAACTCCTCGACATGGCAAACTAGATCATCACACGGTACGGGCAAACTCGATCCAATTGATGAACTTATCGACAGGTTGGCAGAATGCACCGCCCTCATAGAGCGAGTCGACCAGTATGCTCAATGCAATCTACAAGGCGTTACACAAAGTCGACAAACTGGTGAACAATTGCTGTCGTCGTGTCTGTCTCTCGAGGGAAGACTGCACGAGACTTGCATTGCTATGCAAAAGAAGCTTGGCAGCCCTACGACGCTGTCCTCCAACGCTACTATTTTGCAAGGATTCCGAACTTCCCTTTCTACAGATATATTCTCCGGTCATCTTCAATTTACGTCCCTGGCCTGTGTGGAGTCCCATCAAACCTATTGGGCTACACTGGTCCTCCTTTACCCGCTCATTGACCAATTACTCGGCATTCTTGGGCAACCTGGGGATGCTTATACCTCAGCCAAAACATGTCCTACTCCGAGTGACCAAACAGACACCGAAACAACACCGGGCTCGGAGAGTGCCGCAGATTTTACGGCCTTGACCGAGCATTATGCGGATGAAATTTGCCGCTCGGTTCTCTACTGTATACAGCCTGGCTTGAAGACTATGGGCGCGCAGTTAATGTTGGCACCTCTAAGCCAAGCTGCACAATTCTACAATGTGCAAGAGATTATTCCGAAACATCAGTGGTGTCAATCGGTCTTTATGACTCTGTCTCACTTGGGCCTGGGTATTGGTCCTCTGTTGAAAGACATGGTATGGCCTAAATACCGGATCGCTCAGAGACAGGAGTCAGCCTCTCCCGAGGTGGAATCGCCCGAAGGAGGTTCTTGATTACTCGTCAAGATCCAGCCTCAGTGGCAACAAATCCAATCGTTTCTGGTCAACCGGCATACACCTATGCAGACCATCGATCCCTCATACATTGTGCACTAGCAAAGCCTCGAGGGAAGGCCGCCGTCACATTGAATAGCACGTCGGAAAGGGAGCTCCTAGAATTCAGAAGTTCGTACTTTTGAACGTCATGGAGGAGTCGTTCCACAACCGGAGAAAATCCACGACACCATCTTCTGGCCGATATTTAGGCATATTGCGGGATAGGTAGTGCAATCTTATTACCATTTCACGAAATATCACTACGGACAATAAGTCCCCGGATCTACATACAAATAATGACTTTGCCGTTGCATGTGGTGTCCCCCTTCATTCTTTTTTCATAAAGACAAAGAATATAGATAGTATCTTGATATATTGATTGAATGAATAGCGAATTCATGTAGCCTGATTTTGTACCTACTTCCCTCCTGCTTTAAACTAGCTAGTATCTGTTGCGACAATTCTGTCGGTCATCGAGTATTTGCAATCCATTAGAATATTTGCGATTATCGGCATGTCAAACTGCTTCAATCTGATTGGTCCCGGCTACTTGCTGGATTTATCAGCAAAGCTTTTGCCGACGGTCACGTGCTCTTCATTGCGTCAGAGGCCGGCAGTTGGAGGAAAGTATTCTGGCCTCCATCAACTCTTTCAAAAACACACCCCAACGCCACTCGACAAGCGTACGGTTATACATAACTACAATATGTCGGTCAGCTCAACATCTGGAGCCATGCTGCGACGAACGATCTTCAGCGTCAGGTCCGCGGCGCGACCATTGGCCACTGCCGAGTCCCGGACTGCCCAGTCCAGCGTGTTTGGATCTTACAGAAATGTCCACCGGTCCGCTCGTCTGCCCGCCATCACAGCCTCTGAGGCTCGTCACAGACCGTCTTTGCGACCCCATCAACAATCTTCGCGGGTGACTGGGTTGTTGCCGAATAGCAAGCGATCGATCTTTATCCAGACGGAGAACACGCCGAATCCCGATGTAAGTACCCAAACAAATTTTCCTTCCTCGCTCTTCTATCAATGATCCGGCTCAACTAAAACGATTTTCCAATGTATAGGCCTTGAAGTTCATCCCCAACCACCGCGTCCTGCCCGAAGACTTCCCCACCTCCTTCCTCGAGTACCTCTCTCCTCGCTCCACTCTCGCCCCTCCGCATCCCTCGCCGCTGGCCGCGAACCTCATGAACGTTGACGGCATCACTTCGGTCTTCTACGGTCCCGAATTCATCACGGTGACCAAGGCAAGCGATGCCAACTGGGCGCATATTAAGCCCGAGGTTTTCAGCCTCATCACGCAAACTGTCACTTCCGGCGAGGCGATCGTCAACACCGTGGCCAAGTCCGGCGAACAGGCGCAGGAAGGTGGCGAGGAGGACTCGCTCAGCTACAACGAAGATGACGAGGAGGTCATCAGCATGATCAAGGAGCTCTTGGAGACGAGGATCCGTCCCGCCATCCAGGAGGATGGTGGCGATATTGACTTCCGCGGGTTCGAGAATGGTATCGTCATGCTGAAGTTGCGCGGTGCTTGCCGGACTTGCGATTCTAGCACGGTTACGTTGAAGAATGGTATCGAGTCGATGCTGATGCATTATGTATGTGGGACATTTTTGTTGCGTCCATTTTTTTTTTTTTTTTTAAATGCGTTTAGGCTAACGGTTCATCTTTGGAAACAGATCGAGGAAGTTCAGGGAGTTGAGCAGGTGATGGACGAGGAGGAGGAGATTTCCATGCATGAGTTCGCCAAGTTCGAAGAGAAGCTGCGCCAACAGAAGGGTCCCCAAGCCACTGCTTCTACGGGAGGCAAGGGAACTCTGGACACGGCTCCTTAAAAAAACATCAATCAACCAATTGAATACAACAAGTTTGGTTTATTTGGATATACCGCTTGTTCGTTGCATTTTATTGTTACAGATCTAATGATTAGATAGAGTCCTGGCCTGTCATGTTTGTTAGCCTTTTTCACGTTGTGGAAAATTGTACCATATCAGATATCAAAATTTGGTTTTTAGACTCTCGGTCTAGAAGTTGTTTGCACATGACATGCATGATCAAAGCTAGACCATCTCATCCGGGGAGGCTTGTGTCACTGAGCCTCTGAGGTCGTTGATCGGTAATTGACTGCAACTGCCTCGGTCGAAATCGTCCCCCCGCCGCACCGACGATGGCCGCAGAGCACAAAAGTACGAAGCAGTGTCGGGTAAATTTGCGGCTTGTGGAAGCGGGCATACAAACCAAATAACGGCCAACGGTGTAGATAGACGAGGGCTGATGGGATTTCGCCACGAGATGTTTCTCCTAAAGGAGTAAAAACCAATTGACATCTGATACTGACACTGATTCTGATAGTAGTTGATCGCACTCGAGTTCGCTCGCACGTGGAGTCAAGGTTTTGACAGGCTCCTTACCTGCTTCTGCCATCATCTTACCTGTCACCTGTCACCTGTCACCTGTCGGCGGACGAATGGTCATGCCACGGAGGTGACCTGGAATGGGCTGGATTCGGGCTCTAGACCCCCGTCGGGAAGTGGGCGGTTATGCTTTTGGTCCGTCAGAAATGGGGCAGTTAATTTATTTTTATTAAGTTTCTCTCGTCCCCATTCATCATGGATCCCTCTTGTACTGCTACGAAGTATCTTAGAGGGGCGAGAGAGGAAAGGAAAAAGAAAGTAAAACCTGCTTTCATCACATAGAATGCCAACCAATTAGACCTGCGAATCCTGTCGACAACTTATGCTTCTTCTCCCACGGGGGTGATACAAGATCCAAAATCCACCCCGTCAGGTGATTACTTACTTGATAATGCAACAACCTTCACGTCATGCCATGTTCACCGGCTTTTTGCTGCTGCAGCTAGGTCGGATAAGAATCGAATCCAGACCTCACAATGCACTTCCCACGGCGTACGATCCTTGGATTGTTGCACCCCAAACCTCAATTTGACCATTTCTTGCCAGACTTTCCCTGCTATCATACCGTATGTAGTGCCTGCTGCCCATGGGCCATGGGCTGGATCTCGCTTGCGAGGGGGCCGGAACAAGAGGCCAGTGCCCCCCCCTACCAACGGAAAGCTATGGCACATAGTAAGCTCTCATCCATGGATGGGGATTGAGGACGGACATCGTTGCTTGCACCTCGTTCTTCCCGAGAGAGGCGAGAGGTTTGGTTTGGTTTTCTTTATCCATCTTTTGAGTTTAGTTAGCTTTTTTTTTTTCTCCCCCGGTCTGCTTGTTCATGTTAACTAACTACTATCTCGCTTCCGGCAGCAACAAAAGGCTCGGCTTATTTCAGTGCAAACTCTGTTCTTCGACGCTTGTCGTTTCTTCTACACACGGTCCTACCACTAAGATAGAGAGCCCGATGGCCCGTCGACCTATCCTGTCCTTTGTTCATTCTCCCCCGTTCGTTGGACTGGGCAAAGAGAGGGGAATGGTGGGCGGGGTATTGGCTCACGGTCACGGCACACCCACACCCCATTAATGCGGGAGGGAAGCTCTCTCCGCAATCTGGACGGAGCCGATCCTGATCCTGCATGAGGGATGGGCGGGCTAATGGGAAAATCTGGGGAGATTTTAGATGATTATGATTATTCTGATTTTTGAATATATTTGAACTACTGTTAGAGGGCTGGTTGGTGGACCGTTTTGGTAAATATATGCTAATGCTAAAACAAAAGAATATACATTGATCTGGCCTTTATTTTTGGGTTTCTTGTTCTTTCCCTGTTGGAATTCTTTCCTTCTTGAGGGATGATGGACATGAATGAAGGAAGGTCTTTCTTTCTTTCTGAATTTCGTGCATTTCCCCGCAATTTTCCATGTCCCGTCGGGTTTTGGTTTTGGACTTGAGAGAGTTAACCAGGACACTTGGGTTTTACGGGTGGGTGGAAAACATGTTTTCGGGATTGGATTTGAACGCTGGAAATTTTTATGGACGTATCCGTACCTTCCTCGATGTTTGCTTCGGAAGGGGAGGAAAGGACCTAGGGGTGTAAGGCCAACTGTTACTTTAGGTACCCGATGCCTCCCTGGGAGGGGGGTAGACTCGATTGCAACATCACGACAGTATGACGTTGATGAAACCAAATGTGGAACGTCCGCACAAAGAAGTCGACTTGTGGGTGGCGATGATTGAATGGTATCCCCACAATATTTTTTTTTTTAAAAAAAAAAAATCGACAAAAAAGAAAAAGAAAAAGAAAAAGAAAGGCGCCTCGACGCACATCTTCCCCCCCAACCCCCCCTCCCCTCTCTTAGATCCCTGTGGCTGGGATCTTCTTCCACTGCGTGCGAATTCTTGCAAATCTTTTGACTGATGCTTGAAAATTGTCGGACTTTTCAAGCTGAGTTATAGATGCCGTGTTATCTGGTGAATAGCAGACCATCCACCTTCATCATTCCTGAACTTTTACGGTATGGTTGATACTCCTTGACACCAATTTTCAAGCATGTTGAAGGTGGGGCGGCAGCGCATCTGTGACTTTCTCCCGCTGTTGGGAGGTCCCGTTTCTGGCGTAGCGGGAGGGTCGAATTAAATTTACTTTGCGTACGGAGTAGAGGAGGGAAGCCCTACGGACCATAGATCATGGATCTATAGCATATGTTCCCTTCATGTTGGTTCTCCTGGAAGGATGGATAGACCGAGATTGAATTACGATGAATCTTGCTTGTTTGCAATCGCCGACACCTTATTTTGCGAGGGGTCCGGCTCGCTCGACGGTTATCTCCCCGCATGATGAAATGATGCGTTATTCAACATGCCCGCGCAGGTGCGCGCAACGTCCAGCCGTAAGAGATGGTTGATCGCATGGTCAATTCAGCGGGGACTGGGTGGCTCCTTGTTCGTTTACACTTGTGTACTCTTCGGTAGGCATTGAAGATGCGAGGAAGGACAGGGTTTATTCAGTGACTAGACAGGAAAGATCAATAAATATATACTTGTGTGGTAGTTAGTCGTCTTCGGCCTTTTTATACTCATTGACCAACAGTACTCCATAGAGTGCCTGAACTAGGAAGAATAAGTATCAGGTACGACGGACTAAAAGCGAAAAAAAAAGAAGCGGCCGGGACATTTCCATTGACCACTCTGACCCCGTTGCGCCCAGGGAGACAGCGCGAAAGAACCCCGGAGGATCTTCGAGTTGACCTCCACTCGTCGACCCACTCGCAAGCGTTCCATCGACGGCCGACCAGTTCCTTGCTTCCTCGGTCTTGTCGCTGCCTGTCATACAATCAATTCCGCCAACCACCCTTCTAACCAGTCTTTTACTTTCCCTTCGTAAGTCTTTGGGAACTTCTTCTTCTTCCAGTTTCTGCTGTACACCACTCTGTTAAGTACTGTCGTGTTGGAGCACCACGGATTGGACCACCGTTCCACCAGCCGGGGTGCATAGGAACAATCCGCTGCCAGTCATTATAGTCCTCCCGCCGCCTCTTTCCTCATCGTCTCCCCCCTTGACCGGTGGCTCCATGCAAATATCTAGACTCCGTTCATTTTGCTTCTTACCCCGCCTGGCAGTAATTTAATTACCGTCAGGTTAATTGGCGAGTCAGCAGGTAATTTTCTCTCGACAGTCGAGGCTACTCCGCTCAGTGACTACGGAGTAGTACTACTACTACTACTACCTAACCCAGTCTAAGCCAACCTAACCCACGGCCAGTACCTTAGACCTCCTTTCTTGCAGCTTGTCCATTTGCGCCACTTCTTCTCGGACCTCCGTCCCGTGGCTCGTTCTTTTTCTCCTCCTTCGTATCCGCTGGTCTGAGTTAGGAGCTACCTTACCTGCTCCCAGTGTTAGCCTCCGTGATCCTGCTTTACTTACCTCTCTCCGCTCGCTCACTCTCTCTGTACAATCCTTCCTTCCCTCTTTTTCTGCATCTCGCCCTCTTCTACCGTGGCTTTCCGCCTTTCCCTCTCCTGTCTTATTTATTCTTCTCCTTCACTTCGACCTTTCTCGTTTCCATCATCTCTCATTAGAATATCCCTTCTTCTTTCAACCCCCCTTTCCACCCCCACCTCCCGCATTCTCGGACGACCGATCGATCGAGCGACGTTGCAAGAGCCACCACATCCTCAGCCCCCCAAGAAAACCTTCGCGAAACTGCGGCGCCTCTCTCTTTCTTCGTCGCGACCGCCGACAGCAGAGACAGGATCTTCCTTGTAATCAACTTAAACTTACGCCGGCCGCTTCGCGAACTTTAGTATTCTCGCACGGGTGATTCGCCTTCCTTTCCGATCTCCGCGCGTCCGTCTCAAGATGCGCTGCTCTTGAGGCGATCTGCTGCCCATAGTTACTGGAGCCAGTTCGCTTCTCAACGTCATCCATGGTCACGCTACCATTTCCGAATCCCGCGCTTCTGTGATATTCTCCTTACTTTGCGACTGGAAAACACCCGCAATCTTCGTTTCTTCTTTGAACAAATTTACAGACCGGAATATACTTCATTTCGGAAAAAAAAAAAAAAGAAAAAAGAAAAAAAGAAAAATAAGACCCCCAAAAGAGTCCAGAAAAAAGGCAATTCATTGGCTCGGTGGAGGCCTATTTGACTACGATCTGCCCGAGCTTCTTCATTTGCGACCATCTCGCAAACCGCCTTCCTTGACGATCTCCTCCTTTAGATTGGAAGCCTGGTCGCTTCTCTTGGGCGCAAGGGAAAAAAAAAGGCATTGTCGCGAGAACCGTCACACTGTCCGAGAGATTATCTTCCTCTTTTTTTTTGTTTGGGTTTGGATAGATCATAAAAAGTTCCGTTGCTACTAGACTGGTAAGTTGGACATCATACGATAACAAGACGGGATCGCTCATGCAGGAGGGGTGCGCCGACAGACGCGATCACGAAATTCATTTGCACTTCTTATACCTCTCTGAGACTGTCGCAAACCTTCACCTTATTGTATCGGTTCCTGGTTTGATCCGAAATTGTACTTTACAAGGTATGTGTACCGTGTTCATACGTTCTGTCTGTCTTACCCTGGTGAACGAAGCCCGCAACCTCCCCTACAACCCCATGATGTGAATTTGTATCGTCCCTCATCAACAATTGGCTGTCTGCATGGTGAATGCAATACCATACAGCCAAGTGTCTCGATGAATGGGCAAGCTACATCTGACATCATCCAACATCTTAAGCTTCTGCAAGACAATTGCCGCGTGTTGAGCTATCTGATTACTCGAGACTCGGCAAATATTCACCTGCTCCGTCATTGAATCAGAAAGTGAAAGCTGCTTTCTGATTATGATATGACATCATTCGAGAAGTTGTGCATTTTGCATTTATGAATCCAGGCACCGGTGATTTCCAGCTCCTCCGCATCCCGCTATCGCCTCCAGAAGCTGCCTGCTGTCTTAGTCTACTAGCTTGCCATACACTTCCCCACCACCCCCCATCCGCCTTTCATCGCTGTCTGCTCCCTACCTTTGCTTTCTTCCATCATACCCGGATCTTTCATTTGTTTTTTCTACCCCCTCTATGGTTAATGCAGGTTGGACTAACCTACCAATGGAACTTTCAGAGCTTAAGCTCTCCGGAGATCTCCCTTTTCATCATTGAGCCCTGGGTATAAAAGATCTTCGTCTGCTGTTTGCTCATAGATTTCTGCTTCTTTTTAATTGTTTCGTCCCTTTAATTCGACTATCCTACCTGCAGACCCCACATTGCAAGGTTAATCTCCCTATTCCATCGGAGAGCTGGAACTCGGTGTGACCTGATCATCAAAAAGTTAACTCGAGGCTGAAAGTCATTCCATAACCAGCAAATAGTGTGATTGACTACAGGAATCACTTATTCCTTCTTCAGACTTGTACGTTTACCGACTCAGAACACCTGTGAGCATTCAACAGTACCCCACATCCTTTTGCTTTATTCCTTTGTTCCTTTCTTTGTGTCAGTTCCCGTCCGCTGGGTTCAACCCCCACCAACCACTCAATCGATGACGTTTGGTTGGCCTCCAAAGTGACAGAATCCGCTAACATATTGGGCAGTATCGCTCTTATATCTTATGAATCTGTGGCCGAGGCCTTGAGAGAGCTCGCAAATCTCGGTTCAAGTCCAGTGACAGTTGGTCTGTCTAGAAAACACCATGGCTGCACCAACCGGCAAGACCATGCAGGCATCCAAGCCCGGCTCTGTAACCCCGTCTACCAACGCGTCAGCGAGGCTGGAGAAGACTCATCCCGGCGTTCGCCGCTCAACGCCTGATTCAGAAGCATTGGCGTCTTCCGATGATGATGGGGAACATGTGCAGTTCAATGCGGCAAACTCGGCTGTTCCTGCGCCCAAGCCTGCGCGCCGTACTTCGTGGCTTAACGAAGTCCCAACCAACCTTCACCGAAAGACCTCCCTAACCACCGCTAACCCGTTATCCTCGGGGGGCTCGAATCCTACCAGCCCCGCCACTGATCAGTCCGGATGGCCCACGAACACCTCTCCTGGAATGAGTAGCTCGATCCATTGGAATCACGTTGGAAGCAGCTCGTTTCCATGGGGCACAGGTATTTGGAACACCGAATCTAGAAAAGAACCCCCTCCTCGACTGTCTGAGATTGTTCCATCCCCCACGATGACCAATCCAAATAACTATTTCAACGAGGAGCTATTGAGCCCCACGACTCGCACAGCATCGGGAGACTCATCCATCCCATTCTCTATTCCACTTCATCCCACGCCAAAAACATATCGCTCGCAGTCTTACTCGGTGGGCCAGTTGGACCCCGAGTACTTGAGCCTTATGGCTAACAAATCGGCGTCGCCCTATTCCGGCGCACGTCCACGGAACGGCGCCCAGTTCTCTGCATTACAGCATCGTTCTTCTCGGCCTAGCCTGCTAGGAGAACTGGGACACGACCCTGCTACGCTTGGTCGCGTGCGCGAAGACGACGACGACGACGATGCCGGAAGCCCCAGTGGTTCGGATGGCGGTCTAACTAATTATACCACCAGCCAAGCCCGCGCTATCGAGCAGCTTTCTAGAGAAAATGCCTATCTTCGACAGGCAGCTGGCCAACTTGATAGCGGTTTCAGGGATCGCGCCATGTCGTCGGCGTCGGCAACTAGCGGATATGCAGTTGGAGCTGCTGTTCATAACCTGCATCGCCTCCCGGGGAGTGTCCCCGAAGAGGGAGATCTTGCAGTGGAGGACCTGGACGAGGTGGGCGACATTCCCGGATACAGTAACATCCATAGCAATACCCGACGGAGATATTCCGAGCATTCCGCCAATCTGGAGAAACAACTCCCGTCGATTAACTCCCTGGACAATCGTGCGCTGGATAATTTCAGGAAGGCCCATTGGCAGACATCCCTCGGCTTCGGAAGCATGTCGGACATTCCCCAGAGCCGACGACACTCCTTCGCGGACATACCTATCCGACACACTTCTGTTTCCGGGGACCCTTCTAGGAACCAGCTTGGAGATCGGGAAGAAACCTATGCGGGTATTGGCGAAGGCTCCCTGTCTAATGCCCAAGGCCAGAACCGTGAGTACCAGCGTTTTCAAACGGTTCCTCGCTCCGAGGAACATGAATTGGAAGCCGAATATTTACGAGCTCGTCGATTTGCAGAATCCTATTTTGCTCGCGACCAGGCTCTCCGTGCTGCCGAAGGTGCGTCCGTGGTTCCGCCGTCTCTTCACCCGGCCTACACGATGCCGAATGCCTACGCTCGCCACCAGCCTGGCCTCATGCACCCGCATCAGAACCAGCTTTTGTATATCGTATCGTTCAAATGCCACCGTGCCGATGTGTTTTACATCCAGGAAGACACTGGCCTTCAAGTGAAGGTCGGAGACCTGGTCATCGTCGAAGCTGACCGCGGCACTGACCTGGGTACTATTGAGCATGCCAACATCACCATGCAAAAGGCTCGGGAATTGAAGCAGCACTACGCGGAGGAGCATTACAAGTGGCTCATGATGTTCTCTAGGCAAGGCCAGAACGGAGCAGCGAATGTCGTCAACACCTCTAGTGGTGTCTCCGGCCTCGCTGGTCGCAGTGCCATTGGTGGTATGGGTCCGCATGGGCCACATGGGGTGCAGGAATCCACCGTCGATATCAAGCCCAAATTGATCAAGAGACTTGCCCAGAACCATGAAATCATGACCCTGCGCGACAAGGAAGGTAACGAGGCGAAGGCCAAGCGAGTCTGCAATCAGAAGGTTGCTGAACATCGACTCAATATGGAAATCCTTGATGCCGAATTTCAGATGGACTGGAAGAAACTTACCTTCTATTATTTTGCGGACTCGTACATCAATTTCAATTCCCTCGTGACCGATCTATTTAAGATCTACAAAACTCGGATCTGGATGTCGGCTATCAACCCAGCGTCATTTGTGACGCCCCCGTCTGCCGGACTGCAGTCTCCCAACCCTCTTGGATACGGCCAGGACGTGCAGACCGATCGTCCCCATCCGCAGGACAAGAGGCCTTTTGGCTCTACTCGAGACGGCGTGAATGTCAGTCGCGATGCCATACCTAATCCATTGGGGTTGCTGCGCAATACCTACCCAGAATCGTACCAGTCTTTCACCCAAGGCCCGCGACCGCCTGAGGCCGGTCTCGGTAGGCTTGGTGCCGTTGACCCTTTCTCAACATACGCGCCGAATGCCTACACTGGCGTAGAGCCAGGATATGCCGATTATGCTCCCGGTTCTGGCGCAACCAGTGGCCCTGGCCGTGCCCACGCTGCTCCAGGCGAATGGATGGGCCGTTTTCAAGGCTTGTCGCTCGGTGGCACTTAAGATGTTGAAACTATCTTACTGCCAAACAGTCCTACTGGACCACGCCGAGCTTGCACGATCTACCTCTTGTTGATTCAATTATTTTAAAGAACTTTTAACTCCACCCTATCTCTTGTATCTGATTCTCTCCGTTCTTTCACACGAGACTTTTTTTCTTTCTTTCTTTCTCTTCTTTATCCTCATTCTCCCACCCCCTCCTTTCTGTCGTTAATCAGAGATTTTACGCTCTTGTTTTTTTCAATGCGTTTCTTGTTATGGGTTTGCTTTTGCTTTCAAAGAGATTAGAAAATGTGTGCAGCGGATCAACCCTTTTTATGATCTGTCGTTTACTGCTGATACCTAATAGACTTTCAGCTTCACGAACTGATGGTTTAGCCGTTCGAGCTTGTTTTTTGCAGAATGATTTTTTATGTTTGTTTTCGCTTGAACAGAGATCCGACGCTACATTCCAATCACTCATTGACTTGTTGTATTATGTATTTCTGCCTTTCATGCCTTTTTTCCATTCCTCGCAAGGTCTCAACGGACATAGGAGGCAAGAATTCATGTTTTACAGTTAGATGAGAATAAATTGGACGCTTCCAAATGCGGGACCACACTTCTTGAGTTCAGTCGTGAAGTCAAATAGACGTAAGGAGAAAATCTAGTGAAAATCTAGTCATCACATGAGATTTCGTCCAGTTTCTCATGAAGGAGAACTGGTGCCTTGTGGCCTGACCCGGGCGGACTCGTAAACGATTATCTAAGCTGCAGAGATTTGAATTGACACCTGAGGCAGAGAGGCTGAATAAGCACGGTCCGGCCGCTGATTGGGGGAGCGGCAGAGCTCGCCTAATCTTCTAGCGTCCCACACACAACCTCGTTGAAGAGATCTTTCTCTCCGAACTTCTCAGTTGCGACAACGACGACAATCGACGACCTGCCACGCCGACAAGGTACGTTGCCCGCAATTCTTGTGTTCGATCCTGAAATTTCACGTTGAAGAATTCAATCGCGGTTTTCAGGATTACTCGAACAATCTTCGATAATTTTTGAGACTAACATCTCAATCGCTATTCCAGATGGGTGCCCTCAAGTACGTGGAAGAGATCCAGAAGAAGAAGCAGTCCGACGTGATTCGCTTCCTGCTGCGTGTCCGTTGCTGGGAGGTGAGAATCCCCCTACCCCAAACTTCGATCCTTTGAAACATCCCGCCGGATGTTGCTCGTGTGCTATGCCATAGGAATACCTACCCGTTTCTGAGGGGTGTTGCAACACGGCTCGAAAAGAAGAGAATAAGGAAAATATTTTTTCTTCGCCGGCGGATGAAAATGGATTGTGGCACAATACAGAGACCTTTTGGGTTTCGCCTCATTGGGCTCCGTGTGTCTTGCTATACACTCGTTGAACTTTGCTGAGAGTGCATCAATATAGCTCCGTCAACTGAACGCTATCCACCGTGCTTCGCGTCCTTCTCGCCCCGACAAGGCTCGTCGTCTCGGCTACAAGGCCAAGCAGGGATATGTCGTCTACCGTATCCGTGTGAGACGTGGTGGCCGCAAGAGACCCGCTCCCAAGGGTGCTACCTACGGTATGCAAAAAAAAAAAAAAATCTCAGGAGAGAAGGAAAAAAAAAAAAAAAACTAACGGGTCTGGGTGTAAATAGGCAAGCCCACCAACATGGGTATCAACCAGCTTAAGTACCAGCGTGCTCTCCGTGCCACCGCCGAGGAGCGTGTCGGTCGTCGCTGCGCCAACTTGCGTGTCCTGAACTCCTACTGGATCAACCAGGACTCCACCTACAAGTACTTCGAGGTCATCCTCGTCGACCCCCAGCACAAGGCTATCCGCCGTGATGCCCGCATCAACTGGATCGCCAAGCCCGTCCACAAGGTACGTGCTCTGTCTGCCTTCGGGGCTCCCAATCGTCGACTGCTGGGAATGGCAAAACTGACTTGGATCTCTCTGAATAGCACCGTGAGGCTCGTGGTCTTACCGCCACCGGCAAGAAGTCGCGTGGTATCAACAAGGGCCACCGCTACAACAACACCAAGTCTGGTCGCCGCCACACCTGGAAGCGCCAGAACACCCAGAGCTACTGGAGATACCGTTAAGTGTAGATGGGTGGCTAAGGGAGATTGTGTGGCGTGGAAAAAATGGTCTCATGTGGATGTGTTTATATCGTCGCTCAATCGTTTCTATGGCTATGTCAATGAAATGCTTGGGTGCGAGCATAATGCAACAGATCTTCTGGATCGGATGTTAACAAAATTATTTTTTTTCTCTGGGTTCAACTTTATTATTCCCCCTAACGAAGTGCGACGACTGTTTTCTCGGTTCCAGAGTAATGCATTCCAAACGTAGACCATGTTGTAGACCCAATCCTCTGGATGATGTTACATTATCTTCTACGGTGTCATGGCCGGGAATGGCCTAGCGAGGTACATACGGAGTAGGTTGGAGTGGGTAAGTCAGCCCGAGCGAAACGGCGAAGCGCTCTCAGCCTCTCGAACTGACGATGCAGGGTCTTTGGCGTCCGGGTGGACTGGTTCAAAAATAGCCAGTGTCACCATGATGCGCTACGATTTAAAATAGTAACATCGTATCGCTATCTACTTCCTAGTGCTAGAGTCCTAGAGTCCTAGGGAAGACTCAAGGTATATGATCGTGATCAGTCTGATAGGACCCTGCCAAGCGACCTAAGGCATCCCGCCGCTCTCTCGCTTTTGTCTTGCTTCCATCGCTCTTGCTTGTCTTCTTCCTTTCTCTCTCTCTCCCTCGCGTGAACTTGACTCCCTTCTCTCTCTCCTTCTCTTCTTCTTTCTCTCAACCACTAAACCACCCACTCTCTATTTCCCGGTTTCCCGGTTTTGCGGTTACATCCACCTCGTCCCATTTCATGTTACATCACAATCTGGTGCCCCTTAGTAATCTTGCCCTTACTCATCCAGTAGCAGTTCCGGTGCCTGGCTCTGCACTCTCTCGCTCTCTCCGTGGATCCCTTTCTTTTATTTAGTCTAGTTGGGCTCTCTTGACTCTCAGGTCGTTGGTGCCCTGATTCCTACTTCATTCCATTTCGGCAGGATCCGGTCTCGATCAACTTTCTTGTTGCTGCCTGACGAGTGTGCTTGATCTCTCTCCTTCCCCTCCATTTCATCCCTCCCCCCCCCCATCCACCTGCCAACTGCTCTATATCCCGGGCTCGTGCTTGCACCACCCCTTGTGGCGTTCTAGAGACCGAGATAGTGGTGTGGGGTTTCGACCAACGTTGAGTCCGACCTTGCGACAAACAAATGCGCCCCTATGCCGTCGCGGGCTCCACGTAATCCGCCTTATCCTCCCACGTCGAGCTCACCCGCCGCTCCCCCACATGCGAACCTGGTCCCCTCGTCGATCGAGAGGAGTGCTCCCCGTCTGATACCCCAATATGCGCCCGTGTTGCCATCCATGAACGCGAATCCAGCTACGTCGCCGCAGCATCGCCACGGCCACTCTCGCTCCATCAGTCATCCGTTCCCTTCTCCCTTCGCCGGCGCGGGCAAGAGGCGGAACCGATCTATCCCGAAGCAGGACTTCCTCGACTCGGACGATGACGACGACGATGTGACTTACTTGCCCGATCCCCTGTCGACCAGCCCGCGCAAGGGCCCGCCACGCCCGGTGCCAGGCGAGGAACTCATAACGGGGAAGTGCATGACCTGTTATTGTACGGTGCGGTGGCCGCGCAACCTCAAGGTCTTCCGCTGTACGGAATGCCTTATGGTCAATGATCTTGAGCCGTATAGGGAATCGAACGACCCGAGCAGTCGGGGAAAGGATGGGAAGCCCCCTGCGCCTGCGATTCCTAGGAAAGGTGATTGCGCTCTGTCTATGTCCTCTACAGTCTTGGTTCTAATCGTTGCCCTTCTTTCGCATAGCTATTTCGCTTTCTGTCGAACGAACAAGGTCCATGGCCGACGCATGCGTCTCGAACTATCTGAAAAAACTTTTAGAAACTCCTAGTCCGCGAGCTATTCCCATAAGAAACCTGCCAGATAAACCCTTTGCCGGACAGGATGGACTCTTGTCGATATCGCCAAAGCAAACATCCGGATACTTGTCGGACCCTCGCGCAGTCGTCGATCCTCGCAGTCGAAGTGCTTCAGCCTCTGGACGACCTAGGAATCTGAATGGGATTAATGGGAATACAAATCCGGTGAAACCCAGTGGACCACCACCGGCTCCGTTGCATATAGAGGGGAGAGACCCTCAGACTAGAGGTCGGGACATGCCCAATGCACCCAAAGGCGATCGCCCGGCGCGGGAACCCGGGCGACCTTTCCCCCCCGAGAGCAAAGACTCGGCAAGCCGCCCTTACATATTCAGGGCACTCGAGGAATATATAATATCTTCTTTTAAAGGCTGCGACTGCCTTAATAATTCGTTTACTACGTCGCAAAAACCCTTGCAGACTACCAATGACAACCCCTCTAAGAGAAAACCGGAGGCTACTGCGGCACCGGGACATGCGCACCCAGTATTCGAACCGGACGCAAAAACCCTTCTCCTCGGTGATCTGGCTGAGAACTCTTCCTGGTGGGGCCACGATGACGATGCGATCGATACCTCCAGCCACACTCATCCTAAAGAAAAACCCCCGGTTTCAACCCGAGCGGTGAGCTCACGAAGCCCACGCATCAACTGGGCGGAACTGGCACAGTGGTATCAATCGATCGTGACGGCAGGCTCGTCATGGGTCGAACAATGGTCAGAGATGCAGCCCAGTAATATACAGGGGGACGAAGATTTGGTTAGACAGGAACGGTTGAATGCCGTTGATCTGAGTATAGTAGAAAGAGAGATCATTGAATCACGGATGCATCTGCACCGAACGCTTCTCAAGGCGACCGAAAATCTTCTCAAACGGCCGCGGCGACCGATCAAAAAGCCGGAGGAAGTGCGCTTCTTGCTGATGCTATTGGCAAACCCGTTGCTATACCCGTCTAGCTCGTCGATGGCTGCCTACACTGCAGGCGCCCCGGCACCTCGCATCGATAGAAGGCCTTCTCATCCCATGGATGCTAACCAGAGACTGGCTCCGCCTCCTGCCAAACCCGTTTCATCCCGGCTTCGAAATGGAGGACCGGGTCACCACTCGGGCATTGTCAAGCGGATACTAGGACAGTTGGCAAACTTGCCAAATGATTGTCATCATTACCTGGTCTCCTGGTTTTCTCGGTTCCCGTCGGGACAGTTTGAGAAGACGGTCGATCTCGTCGGTAGTTTTGTTACTTATCGCCTGACTCGTCAACATGGGCGGAAGCGCAGCGAATCAGCCCAGAACGAAGACAACAGCCTAATTCCAAGCTTTTCTAGCGCAGCCGGAAATACGCCAGCCGAGCTTCATGCTGCGATCAACGGGAGAGGTCCCACCAAGCAGAATAATGACAAACGAGACAAGCCGGTTGTTTACAGCGACGATTGGCAGCTTCGAGCCGCTGCTCGCGTGATGTCCTTGCTGTTTACGGCCAACAACGCCAGCGTTTCACGAAAACCGGATGCACCCGAGGCGGGCTCGGCGACCAAATACCAACCGCAACGGCGAGGGCAAATGGTCCCAATTAGCACATTTTACAACACTTTGCTCGATTATTCGGATCTCGTGGCCGACTTCGAGGCGTGGGAGACGAAGACCGCGAAATTTTCCTTTTGCCAGTACCCCTTCTTCCTCAGTATCTGGGCCAAGATCCACGTTTTGGAGCATGACGCTCGCCGACAGATGGAGGTCAAGGCCCGCGAAGCCTTTTTCAACAGCATATTAAGTCGGAAAGCCATCAGCCAGTATCTTGTCCTGAAGGTGCGGCGTGATTGTCTGGTAGAAGACAGCCTTCGTGGCGTCAGTGAGGTCGTCGGGTCTAGCCAGGAGGAAATCAAGAAGGGTCTGCGGATTGAGTTCGTTGGAGAGGAAGGCGTTGATGCCGGAGGCCTTCGCAAAGAGTGGTTCCTGCTCTTGGTCCGGGAGGTCTTTGACCCTCATCACGGTAAACTCATACTTAGTTGTGCTGCTCATTTTCGCTACGACGCATTTGCTAATCTGCCTGCTCATTAGGACTTTTTATCTACGACGAAGACTCTCAATACTGCTATTTCAACCCGTACTGTTTCGAATCTTCGGAGCAGTTCTTCCTGGTCGGAGTTCTACTGGGGCTGGCCATCTACAATTCAACTATCCTGGACATCGCTCTTCCACCCTTTGCCTTCAAGAAGCTCTTAGCCGCGGCACCTCTGACCGGGACGGGACCGCAAGTGGCGACGACGCGCTCGCCATTCAAGTGCAGCCTGGACGACCTGGCGGAATACCGACCGACGCTGGCCAAGGGTCTCCGGGCCCTGCTGGACTTCGAAGGGGACGTCGCCGATACGTTCTGCTACGATTTTGTGGCACAAGTGGATCGGTACGGAGAGGTGGTGTCGGTACCTCTATGCGCTGGAGGCGAGAAACGGCCGGTGACCAACGCCAACCGGCGGGAGTTTGTAGACATGTACGTTCACTATCTCCTGGATACGGCCGTCACGCGGCAATACGAGCCCTTCAAACGCGGGTTCTTCACCGTGTGCGGCGGCAACGCGCTGTCACTCTTCCGACCCGAGGAAATCGAACTGCTGGTGCGTGGCTCGGACGAAGCGTTGGACGTGGCATCGCTACGGGCGGTGGCCACGTATGACAGCTGGTCGCACCCCCGGCCGGAGACAGTGCCGGCGGTACGGTGGTTTTGGGACTTCTTCGAGCACACGCAGCCCGCGGCACAGCGTAAGATTCTATCGTTCATCACGGGAAGTGACCGGATCCCTGCCATGGGAGCGACGAGCCTCTCGATCCGGCTGATGTGTCTGGGCGATGATTCGTCGCGATATCCGACAGCGCGCACTTGTTTCAACATGTTGGGGCTCTACCGATACGAATCGCGCGAGCGATTGGAGCGGATGCTGTGGGAGGCGGTGTTGAACAGCGAGGGATTTGGCTTGAAGTAGGTAGAGTAAGCACAGCAAAGCCGACCAGGGGGACCGGGAGTTGACTGGGATTTCCCCCGGCGGCGCCACACCCCATGCAGCGGTGAGCGAGCGGGATCTGGGAGGGGTAAACAATCATTCCGCCTGTATTTTATTCTGTTAGAATTAATCGAGGCCGATCGTCATTCGTATCCTTCTTTCCTTGTCTTTCTTTCTTTCCTTTTGAGGTGTACTAGACAGTGCCAGTCAAACAACAAGTGGGGCAATCGTACGATAGGACACTAGAGAGCAGTCCTGTAGAGAGAGTAGAGACCCTAAAATGATTAGTTATAACGTTAGACTAGTCCAATGCAGTCAAATGCAAAGTGACAAAGTTGACACGCCCACTGCTGTCAAGTCAGAGTGTCAGTCACCGAACCCAGGCAGATTGGACGAATCGTCGAGTCCCCTTCCCTTTTCCAGAACCCAGACATCAACGAGCCCCACGCCGCTAACGCCCCTTCACGACTGGCATGGCTTCTATACCAAGAGGCCCGTCTTGTCCTTTCTCCGTTCTTGATTGGAAGTCACCCCATGAATTGCAGCTGACTTTTTGCCTTTTGCCTTTGGCTTCCCCTCCTGGCCACCCCCGCTGTTGATTAATAGCTGGTGGCTGTTGTTGGCTTTGGTTGCTGGTTTTTGGGTTTTGTAGCTGCTGGACTCCGTAACTAGATGAGGAGAGGTGGAATGAGGGGAGGGGAAGAGGCATGCATGGGTGGGATGGTATTGGTATAAATAAGAGGGGTGTGTCTTGGTTTGGGCTCTTTCTTTCTTTTTCCTTTTTCATTTTTTTTCTTCTTTTTATTTGTATATTCTGGATTCGTCCTTTTGGATCGGTTGATTGTGTCTTCATCATTTGAGTATTATTTTTTCATTGACTGATTGATCTTGGGTTCATCATTCATCATGGGTTCGATTTTGCCACAGTCGATGAAAGCGCTTCGGTAGGTTTGTTCTTGTTTTGTCTATTGTTTTTTGAACTTCACCGTGGGGTTGGTGGTTTCGTTTGTCTGTTTGTATTTGGGATTGGGTTCCATGCGGATAGATGATCGGGATCGGGATTGGGATTCTTTCCCCCCTTGGTGCTTCGGTGCTTGAAACGGGCGTGTCGATGAAGTAAGCTGACTTTCGAAAAGTTATGATGAGCCGTTGAAGCATGGGATCGTTGAGGTTCCGCTGCCTAAGCTTCGCGATAATGATGTCTTGGTATGGTTCTTTTTTCTTCATTTCCCTTTTGAATTGTTTTTGGTGATTGCTTGTTGTTGAGGGGTGATGGAAAGGAGGATCATTGGTGCTGACGGCTGTGTTTAGGTTAAAGTCAAGGCGTGCGGTGTTTGCGGGACAGATTTGCATATCCATGAGGGAGAGTTCATTGCGAAGGTATGTACTGTATATGTGTCTTCTGTGTTGTGTGTAGCTGGTAGTTTGAATATGGATGGATTGGCTGATCGTTGTTTTGATGGATGCTTAGTTTCCTTTGGTTCCCGGTATGTCTGCTTCTTGTCATATTTTTGTTCTGCATTTGCTAGTTTGGAGAGGACGAAGAGGAGGAGGATGCTGATGAGGATACCCCAGGCCATGAAACCGTCGGCGTAGTCGCCGCTGTCGGTCCCAAGGTCAAAGGCTTCGAGGTCGGCGAGCGTGTCGTGGCTGATAACTCCGAGTTGTGCGGAGAGTGCTTCTATTGTCGTCGCGGGGAGGAGCTGTTCTGTGAGCACTTCGAGGCTCACGGTGTAACCATGAACGGTGGATTCGCCGAGTACTGTGCCTATCCCGGTATGTGCCCTGGTTTCTTTCGTGAATTAGGGGTGAGCATTATTCTGAGAGGGCGATTGTTGACGGACATGAATAGCTGGCCGTGTGTTCAAGATCAAGAATCTCTCTGATGTCGACGCTACACTCCTGGAACCTGCGTCCTGCGCCGCTCATGGTTTGGATAAGATCGCTCCTAAGATGGGGTCCTCGGTGTTGTTGTTCGGAGCTGGACCCACGGGTCTGGTGAGTTCTCTCTCCTTGTCCCCGTCGATCTAACGATGACTCGAGTTGGAAGCCCCTTCGGCTAATATACCTGGGTCTAGATCCTCGCTCAGCTCCTCCGTCTCAACGGCGGCTGCCGCGTCGTCGTGTGTGCCCCCGAAGGCCTGAAACTAGACCTCGCCAAATCCCTAGACGCCGGCGACGAATACATCGCTCTGTCGCGGAAGGACCCGAGCGCGCAGTTCGCGCAACTCAAGAAGGACAACCCGTACGGATTCGATATCGTGGTCGAGGCGACCGGTAGCGTCAAGATCCTGGAGGACTCGATCAATTATGTCCGTCGGGGTGGAAAGCTCGTTGTGTATGGCGTCTATTCGAACAAGGACCGCGTGTCCTGGCCTCCTAGCAAGATCTGTAAGTTCATCTTCGTCTTCGTCTTTCATTATTCTTGCTTGATTGCGAGTGTCGTTTCTGCTGGTGTGTGTGTGTGTGAATTGGACTGTCTCTGACTGATGCTTGTGGGAATAGTCGGCGACGAGATCAACATCCTGGGTAGCTTTTCTGAGACGTACAAGTTCCCTGCTGCCATTGACTACTTGGACTCGGGTAAGGTGAAGGTCAAGGGAATAGTGAACAAGGTGTACAATATTCACCAGTGGGAGGAGTGTCTCGAAGCGATGAAGAATAAGACCGCGATCAAGGCGGCGATCACGTTCGATTGATTGTTTACATTGAATTGGTGGGATACGTGGATATATAGATTGCCCATACTATGTAGGGAATCAGATGGTGATGATATATGACAACGAAGAGAAATTCGTGTATGATGACTCTGAATGGTAATTGACTGAGATTCACGAAACGAGAACAGAGTGAGATGTAGGTTACTGAGGGGAAGAAGTTGAACGAAGAGGACCTTGGGAGAATGAGATGGATGGTGAACTTATGTCATCGGCCATAATCCTCAAAGTACACTAGTTACACTATCTTATCGGATAAGAAAATCCACCTCCACCACCTACCTCTCTCACCCTCTCTATCCCTCCCTTTCCCCCTCCCTTTCCCCCTCCCTTTATCCCTCTTTATATATCCCCACCAAAATGGTAAAACCCCTAACATTCAAAGGTGACAAGCCCAAAAAGCGCAAAACCCGCGACCCTGCCGCCGCCTCAACCACCGGCACCCCCTCCGCGAAACGCGCCCACACCGACTCCAACCCCTCCTCCTCTGCTGCGTTTGCCCCTACAGACGAAAACCCAGACGACCAGACCTGGGTGAACGCCGACACGCCGACCGACATCGCGGGCCCGGTCATTCTGGTCCTGGCCTCGGAGCCACCAACGTGTATTGCCAGCGACGCGAACGGGAAGGCGTTTGCCAGCGAACTCGAGAACACGATTGAGGGGGATCCGGGGACTGCGGAGCCGCATGATGTGCGGCAGGTGTGGGTTGCTATGAAAGTTGCGGGGACGGAAGCGTTTGGGTTTAAGGGACATCATGGGAAGTGAGTTATCTATATTATCCTATCCTATCCTATCTGTCTACTACCTGTTCTTGGTCGCTGCCGTTTTCCCTTCTACTTTGGGGAGAGGAGAGGAGAGGAGAAAGAGAATGTCTAGAAAGGATTGATGGCTAACAAAATGCTTTCTATCCCAGATACCTCGGCTGCGACACCTACGGCATCCCCAGCGCGACGGCATCGGCCATCTCGCATCGCGAATCCTTCCTCGTGATCCCCGGCGAAGTACCAGGGACATTTGCACTGCAGACGGCAGGCGGCGACAAAGAGAACTTCATCTCCGTGAAGGAGGTAACGTCGAGCAAGAATGTGAGTGGGAAGGCGTGGGAGGTGCGTGGGGATGCGGAACAGATCTCGTTCGACACGACGGTGCGGATCCGTATGCAGGCGCGCTTCAAGCCGAAGATCAAGGCATCGAAGGAGACGAAGGCGAGGGAGAAAGTGAGTCGGAAGGAGCTGGAGGAGATCGTGGGGAGGGGGTTGGAGGATGACGAGGTGAAGAGGTTGAAGAGGGCGAGGCGGGAGGGGAATTTCCATGAGGAGATTTTGGATGTTAGGGTGAAGGGGAAACACGATAAGTTTGCTTGATTTTTTGTCTATTTTTTGGGTACTGGTCTTTGAGTTTCTGGATACCCGTTGGTTATTTTTGCTTGGTCTTTGGAATAGGAAGGAGATCGAAGATATGTATTATATTATGTATATCTAGAGTTTATATTCGTCCAACATGCAGAGGGGGGTATCTATCAATCATTTCAAACATCAAATAGAACAGACCAAGCACTATCGGGTTGTCCTCCGAAGCATAAAATCTAGATGTACCATGCGATTCGTCACCGGGACCGGATAACTCCCTGGCGGTACAACGCTCTTCTTACACAACGGGCAAAGACTGCTATTTTGCTCCAGAGAGGTGTCAATGCACTCGACGTGGTAGATGTGCCCACATGGAAGCTCGCGCACGATCGCCACGTTGGGCACAAAGTCGTCGAGGCAGATTGCGCAGGTCGTTTGAGAGTGACTGAGTCGATTCCGAGGAGGCGGTGCGGTGCTTTGTGTTTGGTGGTGGCTGCTAGACGATATATCATCTTCTTGATTGGGCGAGACCTCCTTCTCTCCGATCTCCACCCTCCCTTGGACGTTGTGGACAGCTGAGTCTGTCCGTATTCGAGTTTCACTCTCCGTGTCGGTCTTCTCGGGCTCGTCTTCAGCCTTGTCCAGCTGGTGAGTGGAGCCATCATCGCCCGATCTCGACTGAGTGTCACTGTCGCTGAGTGCTTCGAGATCCGGATACGCATACACGGGGAACGTATCCAGCACCTCCTGGGAGACCTTTAATTGGTGCAGGCCCAGGTGCTCGATGTCCGCCTCTCCCGCTTCAATTCGACGCTGCAGACTCTCGCGTCGTCGCTTCTGCACGATCTGGTAGCAGAGAAGTAGTATCACGCTGAGGACTAGCACCGTTCCTACGATCGCGAGGATGAATCCCCAGAGACTGGGCATTTTCTTTCCACCTCTATCTGTAATCACCCGGAAATCGGCCATTAGCCTTGATGAAGACGAGAGCGTAGTTAGTAAAGTAGGCAATGATAAACTCACCTAAATTAATGAGGGCAAACAATCGCGTCTCGCCCTGCCCCTCCTGTAAGAATTCCGTAGACTCATTATAGGGGCGGCTCGAATTCCCCGAATAATATGATAGTTGGCGCATGATGGTTGCACCCGCCGGGCCAGGGATCGCATAGACCGGGTACTTATTCCGACGTTTCCATTCCTTGTCCCTCAACGACCATACCGAACTATCTTCCGTCGGCGGCTTGGTGTCATTGCTTCCGGGTATGTAAAAGACCAGCGCATTGGTTCCGACACGCCGAGAGGCATGCAGGAAGGACTGCGTACAGTCAGCGCTTATCCACGGCGCAAGTCCAACGGTGTGATAGCCGAGTGTTTTCACGTCCTCGAAGCGGGTGACATTCGCGGGAACATATTCAGCCGTGGCATTGACGCATGGATCGTGAGCGTCGAGACCAGGAACAAAAAATAAGCCTTTAATGGGACCTTTATCAGGTGCATTTTGGGTGGACAGTGTCTGGACCAACCCGTCAAGAGCCAGGTGGAATGTCGCACTATCCTGTAATACGCAATCTTATCAGTATTTTCGTTCGATTTTCCTTCCCTCCCTCCAAATCTAAGCTCGTGCCTTTTCTTTTCTTTTCTTTTTTTTCTCCACGTGCCGGAAAAGAACGCAACGTACATTGACCAAAGGTGTGTTATTAGTCGCTACCTCCGGGCCTGTGAAGAGCGAGGCCGCCGTCGTGAGCGATGCGGCAGCTATCAGGGAAGACATTAGTCCATGGACTTGGGTGGTGACAGACAGAGATAGTCGTCGATCTGCACCGTCCAACGGCGAAAACACGACATGTCAGGAGGATCAATCGTACCCATAACCAGCAGGACATCTAACCAAGTATTTCCCTGTTCAAAAAGAAATGCGAAACTCTAAGGCGGCTCAAATCAGATCGAATCCAATTGCAAGAAGCATCCTGCATGGAACTGGAGTGACCAAACGGAGGATGCGACAAGAGAAGACGGTTAGATTGGGGGGAGGGATGTGAGGGTAAATCAATAGTTTGAGCAAGAATGCTGACAGGTCTCGAAGGTTTCGCTTTCACTGCCAAACGAGAGTCAAAGGCATGGTTTAGCTGCATGCTATTGATCCATCTTGTTCCTGTTGGTCCGTTTTCCCTTGCATCGGTTTTGGCCTGATAGCCGCCCTTCGAATTTTTCATTTTTTTCATTTCTTTTTCCTGTCTGTCTTGGTTCGCCCCTTCGCAGATCCTCGCTAACGAGCTGCAGATTACCGTTTGCGGACGGAGTGAAATGACGTTTGCAGAGTGGATTCCTACATGGTGCTGCACGGAAGACCATGGCAAGACAAAACCAGCAGCAGCAAGAGTTATTGATGTATGAATGCAATGAATTCCCAAATGGCTATATACTCCGGAGTAGTTATGATATACGATTATCCATAGTCATGCCAATCCAGTCGAGGCAGAGTAGTCAGCAAGCAGGAGTGGATGCAGTCGGAATAGTCTCACAGCGCAACCAGAGGCCTCATGGATATGTGGAACTGTTCAGAGAGGATCAACGGTCTCCCAACCCCGCAACTTGTCAACGATTGAGCATAAGGGAGATGATTAAGTCTGATGTTGGCGCAGAGAAACGGCGACGATCCGCTTACCCGATGGGGCAACGGCGTCAATCCTCCAGATCACGTGCTCTGCATGTGACATACATCATGTGATCTGGCACCGACCTCACGGTCCCCAGGCAATTGACCTCAACCGGTAGGCGCGTCCACATCCCCGTGTGTCCTGTTCAGACCCAGCCGACTGCAATCCTTCCCGTCGCATCTATCTGCCCAGCGATATTGCGCCTGCCCTCTACTGATCAGTCGTGAGCGTGAGCGTCATGGGAAATTGAGCCCCGACCGCCTGAGCCAACCCAACGTACCCTTCATATTCCGAAAATCCCCCGCAATCCCTCGTCCTACGCCTGTTGAAATAGATCGCTTTACAAAATGCCATCTGCGAACAAAGGCAAAGGGAAGGGGCGCGATGTCCGCCCGTCGCGAAGCCGCAACACAACCCCCAACTCCAGCTTCAGTGCCGGCCCCACTGCTCCGGCCTCCAGTTATCTCGATAATGACGCCTCGAAACTACTGATCCCCCAGACCATTCAATATTCGGAGATCCTCGATCGCATGGGTGGCGTGGGCCCTATCCCAGACTCCAAGTCCCTAGAATCTTTGAAAGAGCATCTGGAGACCCTCTGCCAACTAGCGGAAGCTCGCGGTGATGCCTGCAACGCCGGGATCCGGGAGTTGTCGCAGAAGCGAAAGGAGGTGGATGACACGGAATCATTTGACACGGATCGCCCTAAAATGAAGCGCGAGGCCGATGAGGAGGAGGAAGAAACGAAGGTGTCTAAAGGAGGGAAACTGAAGAAGCGAAAGGAGCGCGGCAGCAGTTCGAAGGAAGATCGTCCACTTAACCACGGCGCTCACGAACTGTCGCGACAGGATGGCGCAGAGACAAAAGTGGAAAATGGTAAACAACTGCAGTCCCTTTCACGCGATATCGTTCTATCTAGACAACAACTAATGGATCTCTAGCCGCATCTCCCTCATCGAAGAAGTCGAGAAACGCCTCGGAGGGCTCGCCGTTATCTCCCTCCCAGAGATCACCTCGAGCGAATGCCACTGCCGAACAACCTGAAACAGCCGACTCGCCCATGTCGGACGACAGTTCCGACTCGCATCAACCGGAGCCGGCGCCCGCAGTTACTCAAGTCCAAGTTTTCGGTCCCAATCCGCTGAAGTTCGATGACCCGACCGTTTACAATATTCGCGATGTGACGCCGGAAATGACTGATGAGGAGAAGAAAGAAATCTATTGCGTCAATCGCTTCCCTCGGAGTGATCTGGCGCATATGATGGCGGGCATTCCGCCAGATAAGGATTTCAGCAACGCAAAACCTACGAACCAGGTCAACGCTAACACGTTCCTCGCCTACATCGACCCCTACGTGCGGCCGTTGACGGAAGAGGACATTGCTTTCTTGAAAGAGAAGGGAGACCGTGCGACGCCTTTTGTCATGCCGCGACGCGGGAAGAAGCATTACAGTGACGTCTGGTCCGAGGAGGACGGCATGATGAGCCTTGACCAAGCCAACGGGGATCGCGAGCGTCTCCCTCTGAACCAAGGCCGCGGTAACATCGACCAAGTGACGGATGAGAATGTGGAGACGGACAAAGTCTCCGTTGGGCCTTTGGTTAGCCGACTTTACTCTTTACTCCGCTACGAGCATCGCGCTCCTGATGAAGCCCCCGCTGGCAGTGGACAGACCAACGGTGAGATGTCCACGACTAACGGTACCTTCAACGACTCCATGGATCTCGATCATCCTCATCCCCCTGCTGCGAGCGGCGAGCCCGAAACCAAACCTCAGCTCTCCGCAACCTCGTTCCCGGACGCATCGCCCAGCGGCTTCAAAGTGCCCGCCGCCAAACTGGACCACGCCCAGCTGGACGAACGTCTCAAGGCCGAACTCCGCCACGTCGGCTTCCTCGGCGCAGAAGACAACCCGGACTACGACGCCCACTACGACGACGACATCGCGCAGCGCCTGCGTCTCCTGCAGAGCGAACTGAAGAAACAAATGATCATCAACAGCGCCCGCAAGACCCGTCTCCTCGAAGTCGCCCGCGAACGCATGGCCCACCAGGAGTACATGACCATCCACGACGATCTCGACTCGCAGGTCCAGCAGGCCTACCTGAAACGCACCCGCACTCTTGGTAAGAGCAAAAAGGGCTCCCAGGCCAAGCACCGTCCCGGTGGTGCTGGCGGCGGCAGCCACGTTGCCACCGGTGTCGGTCGTCCTGCTATTGGGGATGTCGCGCGAACCCTCATGGACCGTCGCAAGCGCTGGATTGACTGCATCGGACCCGTGTTCGGAGACTGCAAGACTTCCGTGCCCACGGGGACAGACTCTGTCTTTGATCCTGCGGTTATGGCCGAGTACGAGAAAGGGGAGTTAGAAGGGTGGGATGAGGAACAGGAGTGAAATCAGCTTTCATTCCTTTCTATCATTAGATGAACTCTCTTCTTCTCTCTTCTCTTCATTTTTTTCTTCTTATACCCCTTCTAATATCTGACTCTTTTTTATCTTATGTTCGTGTACAGTCAGTTGGAATTGGTGTTTCTTCTCGCTTTTCTTTTTTATCTTTATTACTCAACGATGGACGATCTGGATTTGAAAGGAACCTATGTAGGGATGGACCGGGTATGAATGAGCATGTCTGATTTGATTGCTAGTCATAGATTTTCTTGAGGCGTCATTGTGGAGCTGGCTGTGTTTTTTTGTCCTCTTTCTTTGTGTGATATGGTAAGGGGGCGTTTTATTTTGGCGATTCTCTTGTTATGTGTTATTGTTTAGCAGGCAGAAAGAACTATGAGTAGCCTTCGATGGCTGGATAATGTCATTCATTGTCAATCTTTTGACCTTGCATAGCAGCAACTTAGCAATTTGGTATTCGATGGTCTTTCGGATGACCAACACTTGCTCTGTCTGAGCTTTTCATTTTTACTTTCCTATACTATACTGTACTTTATCCTGGGTATCAAAAATGGTAAAACAAGAACCAAGAATCGAAAATACAAAACCAAATCAAATCAAAGTAGACTAGATCGATAGACCCAGACCAAAAAGGAATCCCAAATCTCATGCCTCGCTAGCGAACCTACTGTGAGCTTACCGATGTATAATCAACACCTCACCGGGATAACGCTTCAACCGCGCCGTCAACTCCCTCTCGCTCATCTCCAGCTCCGTACAGATCTGATCGAAACAATGCATCCCGTCAAGATACTTCGACAGCGTCTTATCGTCAATATAGTCCTCGTCGTCTTCATCGTCCACCACCACCACCGTCCCCGGTCGACTCCCGCTATGCACTGACGTAGACTGGTCCCCTCCGCCGGCGGCGATGGGAGCCGGGTCATCGCCGAGGCTGGACGCGTAGGGACTGTTTGTGCCAGTGCCGGGCCCGCGCGAGGATGGGCCACTGGTGGGGTAGTTATGGAGGTGTTGGTGGTGGAGATGGGAGGATTTGGACGGGGGGGCGGGCTGCCCGGTCGCGATGGCGTATTTGTGGACACGGTAGAGGAACCCCTTGATCACGCCGAAGGTGATAAAGCGCCGGATGTCGATGTGTGCGAGGTGTCGGCTATGTTGGATGTACCAGTGTTTGACGCTTTGGCCTTGTTTGAGGGTCGCGTAGAGTTCGACGATCGAGACGCCGTCGACGATGGTGTTCGTGCTGCTGCTGTCTTCGGGGGGGATGGTGGTTGTGGTTGAGGTTGTGGAGGAGCCTTGATGGTGGTTGTGGTGGTGGGAGGCGGAGCGTGCGGTCGAGCCGGATTTAGATGTCGTGCTGGGACTCACGGGACGGGGGCTTCCGTTTGTGCTGGCGAGGTCGAAAGGGATGGGGTCGCCGGTGGGAGGCCAGACGGCGTCTGGGTCGTCGTGGCGCGGGGGTAGGTCGGGGTTGAAGTTCGTGGAGGCGGTGGTCGGGGAGGCGAAGGTGGCGTTGACGTAGCGGGCGCATTCTCGCTGCATGTCTTCGTCGGAGGCGATGGTGGAGCTGAATAGCGCGGTGGGCGCGTAGATGGCGGAGAAGGAGAAGATGTCGAGGAGGAAGAGGCAACCGTAGTATAGGAGATGGCGGATTGCGCGACAGGTGAGGGAGAAGTCGGTGTCTGCGAGGATGGAGATAATGCGGACGCTGTTGACGCCGTTGATATGAGGGACGATCTACATCAGAGTTTCGGTTAGAATGTGCGGTCGTGTTTCGCGACAGGAGGCGTACCCGCTGCATCGTCAGGTCCCAATTTTCGTCCATAAAGGCCTGGTATCGGACTGTGAACAAGGGGACCTGCCAGGCGCGGACTGATGGAGGAGCCGGATAGACGGGGAATAGTTTCACGTTCAAAGTGTTCAGGTCGTCTAGAATGCCCAGAGATCAGCCATTGCATTTGGGTAGACGAGTAGGGAGGCCATACCAATTGGAATCATGCTCTCGCAGTAGTTATTCAGATCCTCCATCAGTGTTTCGCACAAACTGTACACCTTCCCTTCGCCGCTCTTGGAGTGATCCCGCGACAGGAAACCATTCTGTTCCTCCAACCCATGCATCAAATCGGCGAGTTTCTGGACCACGCTCTTGTACGTGCTGAAATCCTCCTCTTCGGCCAGCACCAGACAGAAATTGAAAATGAACTCATTTCGATCGTAGCGGAGCGATTTCATGCAGATCGGATAACCTAGGATGCGGTAGCCATTGGTGCACACTTGGATCAAGTTTCCGCAGAGCTCCTGGCGGGGGATCACGAAGAAGGAAACGTCGGAGAAGGTAAAGAAGGGCGGCTGCGAGGGTGCCGTGCTGGAGGGGACGATGGCTCCATCGGGGACTTGGTGAACGACCTTGGGACCTGCAGAGGGACAGACCGGTGGGTTAGAGATCAATGGGTCAATCGTTTGGGGTTGGGGCTGGCAGACTTACCCTCTTGCGTGTCGAATTTGCTGTAGAAGATGGCTTTGATCATAGCGAGGCGGGCATTGACAACAGGGAAAGGAACGAGGGAGGCGATCGTTTCAGAACATCGTCGCGTTCCTTGGGTTCAGTGGGTTGTTCTGATGGTGGAGTTGCAGGAGTCGTGGGGGCCTTCGGCCGTGGAGACTCCAGCTCTCCTTTGGGCCTTAGGCTCTTGGTTCGCTCCACGTCGATCCTCTTTTCTTTTCTTTTCTTTTCTGTTTCATCCTCATGCCACTACAGACGAAACACGGTGTTATGCAATGTACAGATTTAATCTATGAGCAGGATTCTGATTATATTCTTGAAAAACAATTGTCACCATTTTTCATGCAACGCTAAAATAAAACGGCAGATAGATGAATCCACAGGGTATTAGACTCCACGATAGGGGAGATGAAATGCAAAAATTAGCACATCTAAACCAGTCAGTACTCAGTAGTCGAAACCATTTGCGAGACCATGAACAAACAAAAGAAAAAGACGGATGAGAACACGGGGCCGAAAGGATGAAAGGTACGCCGGGGACATGAGCTAGGAAAAGAAAACACCACCGCTGATGCGCCAGAAATGCATCAAATGAGGAAAATGCGTGCGCTTGCTAGAATCCGGAGATTGGCAGAAAGAAGAAATATCAAGGATCAAATCAGAAATTCACCGGTGACTTCCCCCTTCTTCCCTAACGGGTAGCCCCCGGTGGCGAATGAGGGCGTCGAATGGCATTCCTCGGACTGCGCACATTCGACGGGGCTGGGAGAAAGGACAGCGACGTCGCTTGTCGAATGCTCGTCCTACCCAGATGGGGCACGGAGGAAGGCATGTCATACAAGATATTCAACGGCTGGCCTGTTCGAATCGCGCTGAGCACGTCGGGGTAGCTTCCGCGTTCGCCGGCTTCTTTAAACCATTGCTCCCAGTCCTCGTCGAGGGGGACATTGGCGCCCTGCTCGCGAGCAGCACTCGCCGCCAGGAGACGATGGTTCAGTTCCACCCCGCAGCTCTCCATCTCTTCGTCGCTCGATTCCTCCTCGACCTTCAAGGCCCGAATTTCGCATTCGACGTCGCGATCGGTGGCGGCGACGGCAGCGGGGCGCACGACGTCTTCGTAGATCTCCTCCTTGGGTTCCTCTGGTTCCCGGATCGGCTCGGGACCATCCTCGTAGTGGATTTCGATCGAGGGTAGCGGAGCGGGCGAGGCGGGTCTGACACCGTCGGCCGTAGTGTCTTCTACCTTGACGTCTTCTTCCTTCTCGTAGCGCTCGCGGGCCGACTTGGTGCCCTCCCAGCGACACAGGGAGGAGATCTCCGCCTCCGTCAATCCCAGTTCGTCAAAGACTCTGAACAATCGACGATGCCACGGAAACCGACTGAGGCGCATGCGATGGGGTCCGTACGAATAGTCTAGGCCCGGGTACTGCGCTTCGACTTTGTCTAGCGATCCATAGAAGGTGGAGGTCTCGATGCGGACTTCGGGCACTAGGTTGCGAGTGATGTGAGCCGAGAACGTCGCTGGGTCGCTCGTTCGAGGGCGTGGGAAGGTTGCGCTGTGCACAATTTGTGCCAACGATGGTTTGTGCATGGCGACGAGGAAACTATTTAATCGGTCGGCGTAGTTTGGGGTTCTGGGGGCGAGTGTCGGGTATCGACGATCGAAGCGAAGCGGTTTTTAGGAGATGGGGAGCAGAAACGGTATAGATCGAGAGGGGAAAGTATTCAGGGAAAGAAGTCGGAAAGAGCGAGATGGAAAAGAGACAACAATAAGTCCCAAAGGATAAAGAAGAAGACAAAAGACGAAACAACGGCAAATAAAAAAAAATAAAGAAGGGGAAAATAAATGGCAGGGGCTATAAAAATGCCTGCTAAATTTAGGAAAGTAAGAAATGGGCGAAATGGACTAGAAAGGAATTCGAATTCCCAAACGCCCTGTTTGCGGAAGGGCGAGAGATAGTAGGGGATCGACGGGCAATCGAAGGGGGGAGAAAACGAAGGGAACAGGGGCCACAGTTGGACGGAGTAAGACTAGCAGCGATCTGGAATTCCGATCTCACCAGAGTTTCAGGATAGGATCAGAAGGATGCATACAGGGAAAGCCCCCGTTCGAGAGAGAGAGACAGACAAAGAAAGAAACAGAGAAGGTGTGAGAGAAGAACAGATGATGCAATTGCGGTATGCAGGATTGATGACCGATGACTCGGTCAGGAGTTGTTGGCTGGTAACTAGTTGTAGATATGTAAGAAAGACCGCGAGGAGCAGACGGATTTCTATTGCTCCTTCGGTGCTTCTAGTTTATTTTTGTTCTGATCGGAGGAATCTTTCTTGAAATGAAAGGATCTTCGACCCCTGAGTTGAAGGTGTGACACACGACCGAAGGCCCGGGGCTTCAGGTACGAATCCGTACGATTCAGGACCCGAAGCTAAACCCAACTCCTGATTTAGACAGAAGCCGAAGTGTCCATCGTTGGATCGAGGGAAACGGGTTGAAATGGGCGAGGGACGGCGAGGAGAGAACAATAAAGGAACAAGGACGGGCGACGGGGTCGGACGTTGGACGTTTTCTTTATATACCATACCTTCTTGAACATTTGTTTACCTCTCTGCCTTTTTGACCCGGCCTCATCGGACAACGACCAACGCATGCCAAATTGACCAGCGCATAGGAAGAGCGGCGTGGAGCAAGCAGAGGTCGCTAGTACCTCATCCAGCGGTCGACAACACTTCTCGCCCTTATTGACTATTGAGCCACCGCACTGCGTTGGCGAAGCGGGTCCCTTCATCCACTCGCCTCACGCTGGTTATCTGCACGGCCAAGTGGTCTGGGTTTTTCCACCGTCCGGCCTCATGTAGGTACGTAAATAGGGAAATCCGAGCTGGAAGGACTCCACGGTCTAGACATACCTCCGTCCTGAGTACGAAGTCTTAGACCGTGAGTTAGTAGTGTTAACTAGAGACTGGGACGCCCCCCGACGATCCGCCCCCGTCCTTCTTTTCTCCATAATCCTCCGAAATTGGTCGCCTCGATTGTCATCAGGCCAGTCAGAGCGGAGATTATGAGAAATCGAAACCAGAACCAAGGATCGAAAACGCAAGGAAAGAGTAGATTCCGGGGCATTTCGATTTCGGTGGAATTAAGAGCGGCGCTCACGTGAGATCTCACCTGGTCGGTCGGAATAAAATCATCTTTCATCTCTTTCTCTTTCCGACCGTCGTCTGCATCATTTATTGGCTGCGGCTGAATTCTTCTTCTTTCCTGGACCGTCGTCCTGACTGTGTCGGTAGTGACCACCGACTTGACGCTTATCGCCACCGTCTGTCCGTTGACCGACAGCTGCGATATATGCCCAATATCACATCCAGGCATCAACAGGAATGCCTTCACCTTCCAGTTTCCCCTTGCCTTGATCCGCAAAGGTTGATCCGCAGAGGCTCCCTGCGTAAATGACAAGTCTTGGCACTCATCATCGCTCGACCTAGCTTATCCGGCTTTCACGCAGAAATGGCATAATTCAACGTCAGCTTTGGTCAGCCAAACCTGCATCTCCGTCATCCAGCTAATCAGCGACCCCGGAACGTTCGGCTTCATCAACTTGACTCTCTCCAGGGATTCAGTCTGCATTATTTCTCCCCTTCCCCTCCCCTCCCCTCTAGTTCGTGTCCACTGATTCAATTTGGAGCCGCGATTGGGCTGCTGCCAGCGCTCATTTATCGAGTCACTACGTGTGCTGGGTGTCCGTAATCCGAAGGGTCCCCGCAATTTCCTGCAGAGGGGCGTCGCGAAGCATTATCATGCTCCTGTTATCGTCAAATCGAGTTATGGAAGTGCATGATGACGTATGGCCTTCGAGAGGGAGAATTATGGGGCTCGTGTCTGAGGTGAGATATACCGCTCTTTCGATGAGATCGTAGGTACCTACTGGTGATTCTTGGATGTTTGGGGATGTCAGATGGCCGATTATTAGGATACGATGTTCGTGACACTCATCTAATACTGTACGTTCGGGTCATGGGAATATTACCTTATTAATTAGATACTCTATATTCGGCTCTATGTATATTGATTCATGCTATGCCTGACTGGAAGGCATATTGTTCTGGCTGGAATGTTTGAAGCTCAGGATACTTGTCTCTCGGATCGATCGTCGTGGAGGTGTAGAACCTGCATCGACAGAATAGCTGCAAATGGCCCATTGGGCAGGTTATAAGAGTTCTTTTTGACTAACAGTAAACATCGGGACAGGACTTCGATTCGCTCTCGGTAGTTCATAGCAATGCGATATAAAAAGACCATGGGGGAATGACCTGAGGCATCTACGGAGGATGCCAGGACGATCAATCCGCCGACTTCAGATAAACTGACTAAATAATGGTCTATCGAAGTAAATTAAGAGGCAAACGGCTATCAGAAAGGAATACGGGACAGACAAGGGTTGGGCATTTTCAATGGCTATATGCCTCGGATGCCTCGATAGCCTCAGGCATACCTCTCAGCGCTCACGCATAGAATGCCTCGAGACCCATTACAGAGCGTGAGAAAACAGCTATATGCCTAGAGGTAACTGCGTAGAGTTAAATCATCAAGATCATCATTAATATTACCATTAATATTTCCTAGAAAGCTCTATCATCACGATTGAATAATGTATCTGCTAAAGCAAAGGCCAGGACAAACAGACTATATGGATTTGAAGGAGAGTCGGAATCACTCCGTAAGGACAACTTCATACTACTTACCTGTAGTTCCCACCCTTTCCTCGACCTTCTCCTCATCCCCTTTCTCACCCTCACGATCCTTCATACCATATTCTGTCTCCAACGTCGTCCGCAGTTCAACCTCCCTCTCCAACCACGCCACCAGAAACCCTAGACCCGCAAAGATAATCGAGATCTGCCACACGCGTTGCAGCGCGTCGGTATAAGCCTGAACGATATCAGTCTGCAGCTCCTCGGGGAAGCTGTGCACAAAGTCGCGAGATGCTTGCTGATATGCATCGCTGACGCGCAGAATGGCCCCGGCCTCCGGGTGCTGATCCAAACCGGCGGCGGCAACGCTGGACGCGAACCGGTTGTTGAAAATAGCAGCGGGGATGGACACGCCCCAGACCGAGCCGAAGGATCTCAGGAATGCCCACGTGGCGGTCGACGCGGCGACGTCGCTCTCTGGAAGCTCGGCCTGAGCGGCGGGCAGGGTGGAGGTAATGACCAGACCGGATCCGATGGCCGCGAGGATCTGGAACCCGGTCCATTTGCCCGTGTCCGAGTCTTTGTCGAGGAGGGTGAATAGACCCATGCCGAGGGTCATGAACGCGAAGCCGGCGATTTGGATCCATTTGTACTTGCCGGTCTTGGTGAGGATGGCACCGGCGAAGATCGCGGCGGGAACGACCACGATGACTGTGGGGAGGACTTGGACGCCGGAACGGGTGGGTGTGCTGAGCTTGACGCCTTGGAAATAGACCGGGAGGAAGTAAATGGCCCAGTAGAGGAGCATGCCGTGCAAGAAACTGAGGATGAAGGCAGCGAGCGAGGTACGGTTCATGAAGAGTCGCGGAGGGATTGTCGGCTCGGGACAGAGTCGCGTCGTCTGGAGAACGTGAAAGGCGACAAGACCCAACAGTCCAAGGACAAGGGGTACGATGACATGCCAGCTCGACCACGCGTAGATTGTCCCGCCGAAGCTGAGCGCGATAAGGACTGCTACCACCGCCGCGATCAGCAGGGTATTGCCCAGCCAGTCAATTCGTTTCAACTTCTGTGCCAAGGTAGTCTCTTTCTGATATTTCACTTGCAAGAACAGCAGCATCAGCAGCAAGGCAGCGCCCGCGATCGGTAGACTGATGTAGAACGACCATCGCCAGGTAACATGCTGTGTCAAGGCGCCGCCGACAAACGGGCCAATGGACGATCCGACGGCGAAAACGACGAAGATCAAAGCCATGAACTGGCCTCGCTCGCGGAGGGGAACCAGATCGCAGACCACCTAGACAGGAGTTAACACGCACTCTTTCCATCATAGTTCTGGTGTACCAACAATATCGATCAACATGTTCACACCACCGAGTCCTATTCCCTGGACGGCTCGTCCTCCGATGAGCATGGCCGTCGACTTCGCGCCTCCACTAATCCCACTTCCGAGGGCAAAGAACGAGACGGCGGAGATCAGAGGCCATCGCCGTCCAAAGACATCTGCTAGCTGACCGTAGAGGGGCTGGAACGCGGTGCTACCAACAAAGCATCCGTCAGGTCTCCTTGATCTCCAGTACGGATGACAAAATATCGATAGACATACCTCGAGAGAAAGAACGCATTGACAAACCAAATATAGGCCTCGCCTGCGTTCAGGTCGCGCGAAATGGTGGGAAGAGCCGTCGAGGTGACTGTCGATTCCACGGCAGTCAAAAGGGAGGTGACGGCCAGACCGGTGAAAACCAACCAGAATCTCCAATCGTAAGGGGATTTCTCCTGGGCGGGGGACATGATTGTGGGTTGAACGATTGACGTTGCGACGTTGCTGCTGGACGGGGTTGTAGGGGTTGTAGGAGGCTGAATTATCAAGCTGCATCGAGGACTCTGTCGGATGAACGGTAAATTGGGGGAGAGGGGTTAATTTCCGAAAGCCGGTGGTCGTGCTACGTAGGAGTTACCTGCCTGCTGCTGCAGCGTACAAGGGGGGCATGTTGGTGCCGGCCAGTCACTTACTGGTTGGTAAGAACAAAGAAACGAAACAGAAGCGGAGATCAAAATAATCAAGTCCAAGCTCCCTTCCTTATGCACCTGCGCCGCCGAACGGATGCCTTCTCGGATATTTGACGATCCTACCCATCTGGACAAGCGTTCTGGTTAGATCGGTTGGGGGAGATTTCTCTTGACAGCGCACGGTTCTCGTGGACTTTGGGTCTCTCTGGAGACGGATCTCTCCGCCGACGTTGACACCTTGTCGATCCCGTCTGTTTTCTCTGTTTTGTCATAACAGGATGTTCTGTTATTTTGGCGCACGTATGTACGTAAGTATAGACAGGGGTTTCTTTTATTTCTTCTGTTGGTGATGGGTGAGCTGAAGAGACCTGTCAGGCCGGGAGGAGAAGGAACTGACAACAGACCGAATTGAAATTGCGAGCGTTGTGCCCGATATACGTGGTACAGGGAAACCTAATTGGGGACGGAATAAAGTTCCAGTATTATATTACGGCCCTTTCGCTGCCAATTAACAAACAGTCCTTGTTGACGCCAAGGCCCTCGTGGCGGGCACTAAAGGCCCGTTAATATTGAGAATGCAATGCTACCTCTGGCCCTCCCCCCCCCCGGTCGATACCACCCTCCTTGCGTCGGTCTGGGGCCAGCCAGTCCGCCTTTTCTCCCCTCCCCATCGGCCGTTATTTGTTGGGCCTGACTGTTATTGGTACATGGCCTACTTGCACGTCGTGCGACACTTGAATCCCCAGCGGTTGCATCGGGATAGGCTGAGCTCCTCTCTCCGATCGAATCTCGCAGCGGTTGCGTGACCACGGCACTTGCTCCACGTCATCCCACGTCGTATGCGCCAGATTCACCACGCTTTCCGTTTCAGTTTTCGGTTTCGAATGGCTGGTGAAATTCGACTTGAAACTGCTGCCGTACGTGGCTTTGCGCGTGGTATGCGCCTGGACCATCCGCAACAAGGGCGCGCACGCCGGAATGCAGGCGGTGGTAATGCCGAAGCAGACTTGCACCGAGGTCCACATGAAGCTGTCCGTGTCGTCCCAGGAGAGATCGCCGTCGTTGACCATGTGCCACGAGTAGTAGAACCGGATTACCGAAATGGCTGTGACGAAGATACCCATGGAGAAGGCGAACGTCAACCCGATCTTCTTGCGGAGAGGAAGTTGGAGGTTCCACAGCACGATGGCAGGCACCGCGAGCATGACGATCTCGGACGCCAGATCCAACAGCAGCGGGACTCCCAGGTGCAGTTGCTGCGGAAGGCAATTCTCTTCGAGAGGCTCCGGCAGCGGGTAGCCAAAAATGGGATACACCCGCAGCCAAAACATCTGCGGGGGAATGCACGCGCAGATGAATTCCACCATCGACCCAATGCCCAACCCGATACAGTAATAGAAGAGTATCCAGATGGTCCATTTCACGGGCCGGAGCACGGTTGTGAACGCTCGCTGGTAGAACAGCAGAATCGACAGTTTGGTGAACATCAACGCGGCGGCTTGAAGCACGGTCACACAATAACCCATCTGAACTGCCGGTTAGTCTAGATCTCACTATCGCGATAGGGGCATATGACGGACTTCAAAGATGAAAGCCGTTTTGGCTGGCGGGTCCGGATCGATCGCCATGACACGGAGCTATGGGAGTGTGGCGTTAGCCTGTCTCTTCTTCCTTGACTCAGGGCAGGATGTTTCGGTCTCACCTGATGCTTTCCCAGTCCACTTTGAACGGCGGCAATAGTACATGCTGCCGTTGCGATCGCTATTACCGCAGCAATATAGATTAAGATGCTGTCGGCCGTAAACACTTTGTGAATGATGAACTGGGCCCATATTCGAAGGATCACCGCCAATACGCAAAACACAATACTAACGACGCAGGCAGCTAGCACCTCCGGGCCCCGATCCTCGTGGAGATGTGCTTTTTGGTATTCTAGAGAGGCCTGCTGCTCCGGAGTTGTCGTGTTGGAGGACATGTTCTGCTTGGAGGGCGATGTGGCGGTCTGCACAAATTGAGAAATCAAGAGCTTATAATGATCAAGAAGCCCACTAGATCCACCGCTCGTGAAGGATTTACATGATGCAAGGGGAGACGCACGGAAGGAAAGGTACCACGAGGCCTTCCTCCGAAAATAAGAAGACAGAAAGGGTGGTAAGCAGTGGCAAGCGCCGAAGGAGGGGAGGGAGGGTGAACGGGATCGCCTCGTCCTCTCCCTCCGGCTGAGCCACGAGCAGCAGCATATTTCATTTTGGGGCCAAATATGCAAGGCGTAGGCACCGTGCGCCCACCAACGGGGATTGGCACCTTGGTCCTAAAAAAGAAAGTCTGGGCGGCTGACGGGCTGCAGATACGGACGGTTGCACGAGTGGACGGCAGGTTATCACTGCGGCCACGCCACGGTCATACTGCTATTAATCCTCCCGTCTTGCCGTCAGCATCCTCCTAGAACCATTTCTGCAGAGTTGGAATCAGAGGACTTCATGATCATCGACAAAGCAAGCCAACTATGCGCATAAGCAGCCACATTAGATAACTTAGCCATATTCGTCCTGGGCATGCAGAGCTGATTCCGTTTAATAATCAAATCCTCCGCGGTAAGTAAGCACCAGACAGGCATCGAGACCGCTTGCTGACCACAGGGCACGGGGAGAGTAAATTGCAAATGTAGTACGGAGAGTCGGTCCGGGGTATGTACGGACAAGGGCAAGGGAGAAGGGTTCCGTCTTTCTATTTGTATTTTTCCCGCCGATCAAAGACCGGGGGGAGGCAGTAGTCTAGCGTAGGCCTCGTTGATTTCAACTTTAGGGCTAATTCCGTAGTTACATGTATACAATACGTCCTCAACATTGATCGTCCATCATGACTCTCACCTTGCTACAGTACATAATGGCTCATGCCGACTACCCATTTGGCCCGCAACATCTCCTCATCACCCCTGTCTTCTCCCAGGGTACGGAGTCCCGGAAACGAGCGCAATCTTCCAAAATGCCCGCGACGACCAATCCACTGCCCAGGACGCAGGAGGCGATAACCGTCCAAGGACCCAACACTCTCCGCTGGTCGACCAATGTCGCTATTCCGGAAATCACGCCAGACCAAGTCCTGGTGCAAACGAAGGCCGTTGCGCTCAATCCATCCGATTGGAAGATGATCAATAACGCAACGGTCACCCCAGGCCCAATCAGCGGCGGTGATTTTTCCGGTATTGTTATCCAAAGAGGCAGCAATATTCGAGGCGTCGAAATCGGAGACCGGCTATTTGCCTACGTGTTTGGGACCAATCCAGCCCATCCCTCCGACGGCGCATTTGCCGAGTATGTAGCCGCCGTTCCAGACCTGTGCTTTCGCATGCCGCCGTCCATGACTTTTGAAACTGGCGCTTCCCTTGGCTTAGGCTTGATGACAGTTGGCTTGGTGTTCAAATCATTTGGGTTGCGCCCCTTTGAGTCACCAAGCCCTAATCCGCGGGTGAAGCCGTACGTGCTGATCTATGGGGGCTCGACCGCCACCGGAACGTTGGCGATCCAACTGTTCAAGCACCACGGCTTCCTTCCCGTCACCACCTGCTCCCCGAGGAACTTTGACCTGGTGCGGGGACTTGGCGCAGAGGCGGTTTTCGACTACGCGTCCCCCACGTGCAAAGAGGATATTCGCGCACATACCCAGGGGGAACTAGCGTATGCCATGGACGCTATTGCTGATTCTCGCGCCACGACCATCTGTTACGGTGCCATTGGAGAGGATGGGGGCCAGTACACGGCCCTGGAAGCTTATCCGGAGAGACTAAGGGCAAGGAGGAAGAAGGTCAAGCCGGACTGGATCCTTTGTCCCACCATTTTCGGGGAACAGATCGACCTTGCCGGGTCATACCAGCGCGTGGCACTGCCGGAAGACCGCGAGTTTGCTATCCGTTGGGCACTCCATTGTAATGTTTTGCTGGAGGCGGGGAAATTACAGGCTCATCCAATCCAGGTCCAGCCTGGGGGGCTGCAAAGGATCACCCACGACCTAGGGCTGCTACGGAAGAAGCAGGTTTCGGGGAAGAAGCTTGTCTATCCGTTGTCTTGAGGGGGGGGGGAAGTGCGTTTTGTCTTGTTTGCACAGGTTGCATCGATTCATCAATTCAAAGTGTGGCTATTTGGTTTTATTCTTGTTCTGATTAGACACCTCCATAGATTTGCCTTTTTCTTTTTGTCTTCTTCAAATGCGGATTCCCTCAGGAGCATCGGTCACAACACTGCTAGAACCCGCACTAATCCGCTCTTCGTAGGTGCCATAATCAGCTTCCACAACCTTGCCATCATCGACAAACACTTCCTCCCAGCCCGCGGTCACTTTAGCCCTGGTCTGATCGCAGATATCATCTTCTCCCGCTACCAGAGACTGGAAGTCGGGATCCATGACGATGGCCTGCATCGTCTCTGTGTTGCGGACCCAGACCGACACCTGGATGTCATGGTCGTCGATCTCCCAGCCCGAGCGGATAGCCCAGGGGATCTTGTCCCGAATGAGCTGCTTGCTGGTGCTGGGGGTGTGGTACTGTAGGAATGATCTGAGATAGGATGGTGATTTAACGGGGATGGATTCAACGAACCTGAACAACTTTCAGAGCACCGTGGCGGGCCTGTACCAGGGCAGCCTTGGGAGCATGACTCTTGCTAGCGTAGTCATGGAATTCTTTCTCCGAGATGCCTTCCTTCTTGTAACGGAAGGAAGTGAGCTTGAGGACGGTCTCTTTCTTAGGAGCCATTTTGATGATCGATGGGGTGGACTCGAGGAGGATAATTGCAAGGCAGAATTCACTGATGCAAGATGCGAGACTGCAGTGTTCAATGGGCTTCGACCTCAATTTATCTCATAGGCATAGATACCAATCCAAACCTTCCGACCGGCCTGTCCGGAGATTCCCATCCCTACTTCCGTGATACTGCACGGTCAATACCGCTAGGCCCGAAGTAGGACCCCTGGAACGTGGACGGACAAGGGTCCCCTGGCTGGTGTGTCTCGACGCATTAATTAATTCATTTCCTGGGATTTTCTTAGGGGGAAGGGGGGGGGGGACAACGTTACATGCAGAACTGCTCAGCTGAGGGGTAAAATGTCGAATGCGTGAGACAGAGAGAGCCTCCAGTCGCAACTTCCCTCCTCGCCCCCCTCACCTTTTGCATCCATTTCTGACTTCATTCTTTGTTGTCTCCGCACCTGTCAAGCATGGAATCCTCTCGATTGGCTTTGCTCGCTTACAGCCCCCACCTCAGGGTCGTTCGCACGCCAAGGGTGAGAATGCGAGGCTGCGGAAGAGGAGGGCGACGGAGTACACGGACTCATGAGCCCTGACCCCGTAGCCTCCAGGTCAGCCTCCGACTTAGCGTTGCCCTTTTAGTCTCATTCGAGTATGGACGCTCCCTCGCCGACTGACTGGCTTGGTTGGCTTCGATTAAGAATTCACTAAGGGAAGGAAAAAATAAAAATAAAAATAAAAATAAAAGAAAAGAAAAAAAAAAGAAAAAAAAGAAAAAACAAGAAAAACCCAAAATAAGCAGACCGTACGACGCGATAATCTCGCATTCAATCTTCAAAATCCAAATAACGTTCTGTCATCACGACACCTTGGATTGATCATACCACACGGGAGGGTCTGGGGCTTGGGGATTCTCGCTATTACCCACCTCAAACGATGTCGTCTCCCCGTGAACCGGTCACCATCGTAGGGAGCGCCTGTCGTTTCCCCGGTGGCGCTGACAACCCTCAGAAGCTTTGGGACTTGCTATCGCAACCACGCGACGTCGGCAGGAGAATACCGGCCGATCGCTTTGCCGTCGATGGCTTCTGGCACGAAGATGGCTCACATCATGGTACCTCTAATGTTGCTCATTCGTACTTCCTGGACGAGGACCCGCGGCTGTTCGACGCCAACTTTTTCAACATCAATCCCCGTGAGGCGGTGGCGATGGATCCTCAGCATCGTCTCCTTCTCGAAACCGTTTACGAGTCATTAGAGTTCGCGGGATGGTCGCTCGAGTCGATGCGGGGAACGCCAACCGGCGTCTATGTTGGTCTCATGTGCGCCGATTATTACGACGTCCAGGCTCGGGATCCCGAGTCTCTTCCCCAGTATAACGCCACGGGTACAGCCCGGAGTATCTTGTCCAATCGAGTCTCGTATTTCTTCGATTGGAAGGGCCCCTCGCTGACCGTGGATACCGCCTGTTCCTCGAGTCTGGTGGCCGTGCATCAAGCCGTTCAGGCTTTGCGTCAAGGAGAGTGCACGGCTGCCATTGCGGCCGGTGCCAACTTGATCTTGGGCCCCGAGATGTTCATCGCCGAATCCAAGTTGCATATGCTTTCCCCAACGGGCCAGTCACGCATGTGGGACGCAAGTGCGGATGGTTACGCGAGGGGTGAAGGGATCGGCGTCGTGGTTCTCAAGCTTCTGAAGGACGCTATTCGAGATGGAGACACCATCGAGTGTGTCATCCGAGAAACGGCTGTGAACTCGGACGGCCGAACAAATGGAATCACAATGCCATCCGCTGCCAGTCAAGCCGCGCTTATCAGGCAGACATACCTCCGGGCAGGATTGGACCCGGCAAAGGAGTCCGAACGGTAGGTTTTGACTACTTCTAGCCGAATTGCCAGTCTGCTAATTCGTCGTCAGATGTCAGTATTTTGAGGCACACGGAACAGGGACGCCCGCAGGTGACCCTATTGAAGCGGAAGCAATAAAGTCCGTCTTCTTCCCTCGTGCAACCAGCCCGAGTGAAACACAAGTGAACGCTCTTTTAGTGGGCTCCATAAAGACAGTGGTGGGCCACACCGAGGGAACGGCGGGTATTGCCGGTCTGATGAAAGCGTCCCTGGCCCTGCAGAATGGAACCATTCCGCCAAACATGCATTTTAACCGTCTCAACCCAAGCATATTACCGTTCTACAATAACCTGCAGGTCCCTGTTGTCCCCACATCCTGGCCCAAAGGGGGAGTTTTCCGTGCCTCGGTAAATAGCTTTGGGTTTGGAGGCACAAACGCACATTGTGTATGATACATCCTCAGACATTATGGATCATAGTCTGCTAATTTTCCGTTTAGATCCTGGAGCGTTACGATCAATCCCTGCACGGGGACTTGCACTTGTGCAAATTTTGCCTAACGGACCCTGTTGCAAGCCGCGAAGGCGACTTTGTACTTTTACCATTGTCTGCGTATTCAGAGCGCTCACTTTCACTGCTGGTTGATTCATATATTGAATATCTAACGAGGAACCCCTCCACCGATCTAGGATCATTTGCACATACATTACGAAGTCGCTCTATATTTCCATCCCGAGATTATGTCCGTGGATTCTCACGAGAGCAAATCTTAGAGCAGTTGCATGACTTGAAGGCTGACTCGAGCAGTCCAAGGAAAGGCCTAGAAAGCAGCAGAAATTTGCCACCAGGAGACGCCGGCCGTGTTCTAGGAGTTTTCACCGGCCAGGGGGCGCAATGGCCAACGATGGGCCGTGACCTGATCTTGAGATGCGGGGCCTTCTCTTCAACTATTGATCGTTTAGATGACACCTTGAGACAGCTTCCTGACCCACCTAGTTGGACGCTTCGTCAGCAGTTAGAAGCCGACAAGGATGAATCAAGATGTAACGAAGCCGTCTACTCCCAGCCCCTGTGTACCGCTATACAAATTGCTCTGGTAGATTTGTTGCGAAGTATTGACATCAAGTTCTCTGTGGTCATCGGCCATAGCAGCGGGGAGATTGCTGCAGTAAGTAAAGATTACTCCCGTAATTCAGAAAGTAGGAGATCGCTCATGAATTCCATCCTATAGGCATATGCTGCTGGTTGCCTGACAGCCAAGGCGGGTATTATCATCGCCTATTATCGGGGAATCTATTCAAAGCGAACAGAATCGGAAACCGAACCTGATCTCGCGATGATGGCGGTGGGAGTGAGTTTTTCCGAAGCTCGCAAAATCTGTAGTCGTCCGGAATATTCAAATCGAATTTTCGCTGCCGCCAGCAATGCGCCCTTCTCTACAACAATTTCTGGGGAGAAGGCAGTCTTGCAAAATGCATTGGAGGAGTTCCAAGAAAGAGAGATCTTTGCGCGAATGCTTCACGTTGACAGGGCATACCATTCACCTTTCATGGAATCCTGTGCACAACCCTATCTGGATGCCCTACACCGGTGTGACATCAAATACACCGACGCACAACCTCATTGCACATGGGTATCTTCTGTCCATGGATTCGAGATGGATTCAAGCTCTGATATAGTTGACAACAATTACTGGATACGCAATCTACTGCGGCCAGTGCTGTTTTCCAACGCCCTGGAGCAAGCAATCAAAGACCATGGGCCGTTCGATGCTGGCATTGAAGTTGGTCCCCATGCAGCGCTGGCGGGACCAACGTCGCAGAACCTCAAAGCCACGAAACAAACTCCAATTCCATATTATGGAACCTTAAAACGCGGCGAGAATGACATCTTGGCTATTGGCACTTGCGTGGGCAATCTATGGACGACTTTGGGTTCTTCCGCTGTTAGCCTGAGCAAGTTTCAAACCGCCATCAACGGTAGCCCATCCGGCAGCTTCCGTATGTTGAAGGATGTTCCGACATATCCATGGAACCATGAAGAGGTGTACTGGAAAGAGACTCGTCTGTCAAAGGAGTATCGGAGTCGCCAGCAACCGCATGAGCTGCTGGGCCCGTGTATCGAGAAGTCAGAGCAGCAGATACGATGGCGCAATGTTCTTCATCCGCAAGAGATCCCGTGGCTTCAGGACCACAAGTTGCAAGGGGATGTCTTGTTCCCTGCGGCTGGGTACTGTGTCATGGCCGCGGAAGCTGCATTGAAATCATGGGAGCAGCCATTGCAGATGATCGAGCTGTATGATCTCGATATTCGACGTGGTATAAATCTTGACGATGGCTCTGCTGGGATTGAAGTCGTCTCGTATTTGAATCGGGATTCTTCTGAGAATGGACGCGCTTCCGGTGCAAAATCGGCTGAAATGCGATTTTCATGCTGTGCCGGCAAGATCGACGGAACGGATCCCTTGAATATTCGGTTCACTGCTAGCATTCGCGTCCAACTGGGAAACCCGGACGTTTCACTGTTTCCTCCTAAGATGGAAGACTCTTCGGAGCTGTCTGCTGTCGAAGTTGACCGTTTCTACATGACAAATGTTGGCCTTGAGTATACCGGTGTTTTTCGGGGTCTGTTGAGCGCAGAAAGAAGGATGTTTCAGACTTCGGCAAAAGTGAACTGGCTCCAAAGCTCATTACCGATACATCCGGCTTCACTAGACTCCTGTTTCCAGGCCCTTTTCGTTGCATTTGCAGCGCCAGGAGATGAGTAAGTTACTCTGGTATTACATTCCAAGTTGTTTCAGTTCTAATTCTTTCCCTATCAGAAGCCTGCGAACTGCCTTTCTTCCTAGGAGAGTGAAGTCTATGAGGTTGAATCCTTATCTTGTGCAAGGGGCCCCTGGAAAGTATCAACCACTCTCTGTTGACGCTAACATTACTGAATTTCGCCCACCTACCCAAGACGATTCCTCTCATTTTACCGGTGACATTGAGATCTACAACACCGAGGGCAACTGTCTAATCCAAATAGAAGGATTCAGCTGTGTAGCACTCGCTGCTTACTCAAAGGAACAGGACAGGCAGCTCTTTCATACGACTGTATGGGACCAGGACATCTCTTTCGATATGGTGGTTTCCGATTTCAAGTTTCCCAATGAGCACCATTCGGCTTCCTTGACAGAATGCGAAAGGCTCGCCTATGATTACTTCCAGATTCATGAATGCATCACCCCAACATCAGAGACTGTTAAAATTGGGAACATGACAGGATTTGAAATCAATGATTCAAGCTCCTTGGATATAAGATTAATCCAAGCTGCTCGCAACGCCTCTCTGGTGTCTGACGAGAACCGACATCTTCAATTTATCGCGGCACGGGATCGATACGTGGAGTCGGGCCTTTGGGTCTGTCGCATAAGAAACCACCTCACGCGTACTGTCAAGCAGGTTTGCCATAAATTTGCTCGCATGAAAATCCTTGAGCTTTTTGCAGGAAACGGCGCAACAACAGAGCTTGTTCTAGACTCACTAGAAGGCGCATTTGTGTCATATTTGGTGACGGACCCATCGCCGGAAGCTGTACAAGTTGCGCAGGCTGGTCTGACATCGCGAAACGATAGACTTCAGTTTATGCCTTTGGATATCGGCGAGATTCCATTTGAGCAGTTCGAAGATCATACATTCGATCTCATAATTGCAAACACCTTTCCTTGCAATTTTCGAGATACATGTTCGTCATTGGAAAACGCTCATCGGCTTTTGAAGCCGGGAGGTATCTTACTCCTCGCTGGAACGACTGGTATGTCGTTGTTTGCATGTTTTATCCGTGAGCAGGTGTACAACTTAGCGCCTATTGAAAGAGGCCCAGAATCAATGGTCCGCTCCGAAAGTGACTGGGACATGGTACTGGAGGATTGTGGATTCTCCGGGGTGGACTCCATAGCCTACGACACCGCCGAGTATTCAAACCATTGCCACTCACTGATCATCTCCAGAGCCCAAGGAGCCCCCTTTGAGACGGTCTACCGACCGCTGGAAGTGGCGAGCATGGTCCCTCTGGAAGATGACATTCTTATCATCGGCGGCAACTCGTTCCTTGGAGCTCGGATAATAGGTGAGCTTCAATGCCATTTCAAGACCTGGAACCACCATATCACCTATGCCTTGTCCGTTGATGATATACTTCGCGGGGGTATACGTGTTCCAGCGTATGTGCTGAACCTGGAAGAGTTGGACGAACCTATTTTCAAGGACATGAATCCAGTAAAATTCCGTGCTCTTCAGAATCTTTTCCAGCAGTCCAAGAATATCTTTTGGATTACAGAAGGTTACAAACAAGCCGATGCCTACAGTGCTATGACCGTTGGTCTTGGTCGAGTGGTGACTACGGAGTCGCCGAACTTGAATCTTGTATTCCTCGATGTTGACAACCCCAAGACGCTGGAATGTTCAATCTTAGCTGTCTTGTTTACGCAGTTTGTTCAGGGAGCTGAAGCTCGCATGAATGAAAACCAGGCTCTCTGGGTTCAAGAACGTGAGATGGCAATTGAAAATGGGCGCCTTTATATTCCCCGGGTAGTGCATGCGAAGGAAATGAATGATCGATTCAACTCTTGGTTCCGACCCATAACGAAGGGCCTGCCATTGGGAATTTCCTCTGCCCAAAGGTTGTTACAATCCCATTCCCTGGAAGACAAAAATGAGCCCCCCGTTGCTGTGAATGTAATCGCGTGCTCATCGATGGCCTTCAGAATTTATGATGGAACATGTGTCTATCTTTCCATTGGTTTGATGGAGCATGAGGGGCGCGAAACCATGGCTCTTGCCTTTACATTGTCACAGAGTCAACTGATTATGGCAAGCAATTACTTTGTGCTGGACAATGTCATCAGTAAGGACTCGGTGCCGGACGTCCTGAAGTTCTTAACTGCCATGCTTGTTTCCGCAAGAGTGCGAGAAACCGCCACATTTGGAAAAACCGTCATTTTCACCAACGATCCGGAACTAGCTAAGGTGCTTTTCCTGGCTCAAAACGACCACGAGCCACTCCTGAGACTGGCTACTTCTGACAAAGCGCTTGCCGATCTTTACGAGTCAACTATTTACCTGCATCCGCACGCGCCCCTGAGGAGCCTTCGACTGCTCCTCCCGAAGGATATTTCTTTGTACGTGAACCTCGATCCCAATCCGAGGTCGCTAAATGATCGACTGCTTGAGGTTATCCCGGAGGCATGCGCTACCATTGACTGGCACTGCTTCTTCTCTTGGCGAGCGTCTCCTTCAACAAATTTACTTAGCAAGTCCACCTCAACAGTCGCTGTCTTGGAATCAGTCTGGCATGATTATCTCGCGAATGAACAGGCGCTCCAGGGTGTCGATACGAATAACTTTGAGACCACAACAGTCTGTGCGGTAGAGCGATTTACCAACACTAGAATCGAATATCAAGTGGAACGCCTGGACCCGAAAGAGTTTCTTCGCAGCGATGCAACCTATTTCCTGGTCGGAATGACTGGGGAACTTGGCGAGTCACTCTGCCGGTGGATGGTTGCAAATCATGTTCAGCATATCGCAATTGCCAGTCGATCGCCAAAGCCGGCTCGGTGGCACCAAGAACTAAGATCTCAAGGGTGTCAATTAATGGTTCTGAGTCTGGACATCTGTAATGCGTCCGAATTGAAAGACGTGCATGATCAGATCGGGAAAACAATGGCGCCAATCGCCGGAGTGGTCAATGGCGCCATGGTGCTGGCAGATGCTGCATTCTTCAATATGGCTTTTGAAGACTTTGTGCGTGTTCTGAGACCTAAGGTGGAGGGAAGTGCCAGGTTGGACGAAATGTTCTCCGATGCGAACCTGGATTTCTTTATCATGCTGTCGTCCACAGCCTCGTTGATCGGGAATGCTGGTCAAAGTAATTACTCGGCCGCTAACATGGTGAGTGAATCTTCTGTTTTGTCTTCTTTTATCACTTTTTTTGGTTTTTCTTCAGGGTCCCCCGTCTTGCTTTCTAGTTTGTACGCCTTTTGCTTTATGATCTGGCTAACTTCAAATAGTACATGAAAGCAATTGCCGAACAACGGCGTCAGCGGGGCCTGGCTGGCTCTTGCGTGGACATTGGCATGATCCTAGGTCTCGGCATCGTCTCTCGCGAGAAAACACACGAGGAACCTTTGCGCAGAGCAGGTCTGATGGCAATCGCAGAGCCAGATTTTCACTGCATATTCACCGAAGCTATCCGTGTCGGTCAAACTACTACATCGGAATCTCCTTGTTTCTCCACTGGTCTGCACGCTCCTCTTGGCCAGCTCAGGCCTCAGTGGTATCGTGACCCCAAATTTATGCACTTCCAAGTGAACGAAGACTTTGATTCCACTGCCAAGAATTCGAGTACGATGGTCTCACTACGAGAGCAAGTCGAAGGCATTAGTGATACAGCTATCGCTGCATCTGTCGTTCAAGAGGCCTTTATGGGGATGCTGCAGAGCTTGCTTCAACTGCCTGCCCCCATTGCCAACCCCGCTAGGCCTCTCATTGAGCTTGGAATTGACTCCTTGCTTGCCATTGAAATTCGGAGTTGGCTTCACCACGAGTTAGACTTTCAGGTCTCTGTTCTTAAGGTCTTGGGAGGAATATCGCTTGTCAACTGTAAGAAAGCATCCTGAAAATATTGGCACAGCCCCGCTAACCTCAATACCCAGTATGCCGAGAAGCTACGGAGTACATCTTTACAAAATTAGTCGCCGTCCCCATGGAGCCCGAAAGTATAGAAGTAGAACCCATGAATCAAGAGCTTCAATTCTCTTCGGTGCACTGGAATGACAGAAGACAATCCGATACTTTATCCTACATATCTCGGCCTCGAGATGATTTTACGGCTGAAAGCGCGTCCCTTACGAGCTATACAGTTGAAACAACTCCTCAACTCACTTTACAGATCCCAGATACAGTGCCGATCGCCCTCAGGTATCGAATGAATTCGTCTACGGAGAGAACCGTGCCACTCTCTATCGAGCAGGAAAAGATGTGGTTCATGCTGAGTTCCATTGATGACCCATCAATGTATAATTGCATTATGCAGTACGAGTTACACGGCCATCTGGACAAGGACCGACTCAAGGCTGCCGTGAACACGGTGGCTAGGAGACACGAATCACTACGGACAGCTTTCGTTGCTGAAGCACCAGGTGGAATTCCGAACCAGTCAATTTTGAACGATCCAAGAATACTCTGGACAGAAATTAGCAGCGCGGATCCCTTGGACGTGCCGAAGGAGTTCTTCAGCCATCAGAGTCGCGTGTTCAACCTAGTTGAAGGAGAGACAATGGCTATCTCAGTGATTTCACCTAGCGAGGACCATCATATCATAATATTCAGCTATCATCATCTTGCCATGGATGGAGTTAGCTGGCAATTGGTGCTACGAGAATTCGCTGCTGCATACAAGGATCCAAAAAGTCTTCCACCGGTTGCCGCTCAGTATGTAACGTTTGCCAACGAACAGCGGAAATCAACTCAATCACTCGCTCACCGAGGGAGAAAGATGTATGGTGGTAAACGCTCTCAGGAAATCCCAGCTCCGCTACCTCTATTCCCCTTTGCAAAGTCGAGCTTCCGACAAATACAGACAACCTATGAGATGACCCGCAAATCTTACCGTCTTGACGAAGACACCTCGAACACTATCAGACAAGCAAGCTCGAGTATTGGAACTACGGCATTTCATTTTCACTTGGCTGCCATACAACTGTTTCTTCAGCAGATTCTTCAGGTTGATAGATTCTGTATTGGTATTGCGAATGCCAACCGAGATGAGGCTCGTTTTGAAAGAGTGGTGGGCTTAATGGTGGAGATACTGCCTCTTATATTTGAACCGCAGAAGAACCAGACGTTCTCGAGTCTGGTCCAGGAGACTCGGTCAAGAGTTTTGGGTGCATTGAGCCATTCTTCAGGGGCTAACCAAGCTTCCATGTCCTCTCAAAAATATTTCTCGGGCAATGAAGTACACAGTCCCCTGTACCAGGTCCTGGTCAACTACATCGCCGGAGTCACGCATGATGTCACTTTCGATAACTCAGTCTTGCAATACTCCACATCAGATGATGCTCGTCAGCCCCAGGATCTGGTGATAACTATCCTGGAGGATATCGACGGGACCACTCTTTTATCCTTCCGGGCACAAGACTATTTGTATGACGGCGCGGATATCCAGCTCCTAGTGTCCCTGTACGCTCGCTTGATCCACGATCTGGCTCAGCACCAAGAAAGCCAGCTCATGGATTATGAATTTTTTGGGTCATCCGAGCCAGTCTCGGAGCAGTATCTCGGAAACGGGCCGGAATTGGAATGTCCTTTCTGGTCAGACAGTATCTCACGGCGCATATCTACTGTCATAGAACGCTACCCAGACTCCTTTGCCGCGAAGGATCAGTATGGAGCGAGTCTCACATATCAGGCAATGGAGCTTAGGGTCCAGTCTATCATAACAATTCTAGTTGAGGCCAACGCAGGTCCGGGTGACTTCATTGTGGTAGCCTGTGGGCCCTCTGTCGATGCAGTATGCTCCTTGATTGCAATCTGGCGTGTGGGCGCCATTTATGTGCCCGTTGACATTGACCATGGCGTCGATCGACTGGCAGTGATCGTGAATGACTGCCATCCTTCGGTTATTCTGTGCAAAGATGCGCGTACAATCCGATTTTTGCAGCATGATGACAACCTCGAGATAGTTGAGCTGACCGATGACCTTCTCGTGACGAAGACAATGAGCGTTTACGATGGGAACGGAGAAGACACGGCCGTTTTACTCTACACAAGCGGAACAACCGGCGTACCCAAGGGTGTCTTGCTTAGCCACGATAATTTGCGGTGTCACATCCAAGCCGTTGAACAGGAATTTGGAGTTGATAGACCAGTGGTGCTGCAACAGAGCTCGCACAACTTTGATGCGTCAATATTTCAGATGTTGACATCTCTGGTGCATGGAGGAACGCTAATCATGACGAGCGGCCGAAGTGATCCGATGGAGCTTGCATACTTTATGCTGAATGAATCAGTTACCTTGACATTGGCGGTACCGTCAGAGTACACACTGTGGATCTCAGAAGCAGGTCAGGTCCTGGAGAAATGTTCTTCTTGGCGGTATGCCTTTTGCGGGGGCGAGAAGATGGGCTATGCGACAACCCAAGCGTTCGCAGGACTAGGTCTCTTGGAGCTGACATTAGTCAACGCTTACGGCCCTTGTGAAATCTCGGTCGCCTGTACAATGGGAGTCATACCATACAAACAAGTGCACAGTGACTCCGATTCCATACATACCGGGCGACCCTTGCCGTGCTACAATCTAATCATGCTCGACGAGCGACTAAGACCGTTACCGAGTGGATGGCCGGGTGAGATTTGCATTGGTGGGCCTGCTGTTGCCAAGGGTTATCTGAATCGCGACAATGAGACGAGCAGCCTCTTCATCGATCTTAACGGTCTACAGCTGTACCGAAGCGGCGATTATGGTAGAATATTGAGCGATGGGAATCTCGAATACCGCGGCCGGATCTCCGGTGACTCTCAAATCAAACTTCGCGGCATGCGCATTGAGTTGGATGAGATTTCCAATGCTTTCATACAATCCTCCAAGGGGGTGCTGACAGATGCCGCAACGATTGCCAAGGGCGACGAGGGCAACCAATATCTCATGACATTCATCGTGTTCGCTCATGCTCTTCGACCTGCCGATACCGATGATTTCATCAAATTCCTCCTTGGCACTTTACCTCTACCTGTCTATGCCAAGCCAGCGATAGTCACCCCTATCGAGCATATCCCTCTCACGGGAAGCGGAAAAGTTGACAGAAAGGCACTCGGCAAACTGCCGGTCAAGCGTAGCCCCCATCGTTCGGCCGAAGTTACCGGTCTTGGTATCATCGAGGTGAAGCTGAAAGAGTTGTGGGAGGAACTTCTTCCCCCAATGAACACGTTTATCACCAAACAGTCGAATTTCTTCGAGCTGGGCGGCAACTCACTTCATTTGTTGAAGCTTCAGGCGCGGATTCGTCAGATTACCAACGCGAAGGTTCCCATATCGAGTCTTTTTAGGGCGTCCACATTCGAAGAAATGGCAATTCTTATTGGAATGACTACGAGTGCGCACCAGGCTGAAACTTCCATCGATTGGGATGTGGAAACTGCAATTCCAGAAGACCTTGACCGAGGAGAAACCATGCGTTCATTTACCGAGGCCAAGAAGGTCAAAGAGGTCAAGGAGGTTATCCTCACCGGAGCCACCGGATTCTTTGGGAAAGCCCTCCTTCGCCAACTGGTAGATAGTCAATCCGTCGAGCGGGTCCATTGCATCGGCGTTCGGCCAAACGAGGATGGCTCGCCTAGACAGCTTTCCGTTCAATCATCTAAGATCCGCTTGTACAGCGGTGATCTCTCTCACACCACCTTAGGCTTGAGCGCGAAAGATATATCGACGCTGACTGCGACCGTCGATTGCATCATCCACAATGGTGCTGATGTGTCCTTCCTCAAGCCATACACCTCGCTTCGAGCTGCAAACGTCTTATCGACCAAATTACTATTTGGACTCTGCCTACCCCGTCGCATTCCATTCCACTATATCTCCACTGCAGGTATCACAAGCTTGTCTCAAGAGCAAGTGTTCCCGGAGGAATCACTTTCTGGTTTCCCGCCGGCTTCCGATGCCGCTTCTGCATTGACGGAGGGATACTCGGCATCTAAATGGGCTAGCGAGGTTTTTCTTGAGAAGGCGAACGCAAAATTCGGCACCCCTGTTCACATTCACCGGCCCAGCAGCATCACCAGTCCCGAAATGCCCACAACCAACGTGATAGGCACAATCCTCACGCTGAGCCGGGCAATGAAAGCCGTTCCCTCCACCGACCTTTGGGAAGGGTACTTCGATTTGATCAGCGAGAACCGAGCAGCCGATCAAGTTCTTGATAGCATTTTCCGAGCCACGATCGATGATGATGCTGGTGTTCGCTTCTCGCATGTCTGCGGCGAGACTCGATTTGATGTTAGAGAATTGAAAGAGCACATGGAGTCATTGGAAGGGGTTGCTTTTCAACAGCTGCTGTGGAAGGAGTGGGTCGATCGGGCGAGATCCTATGGTCTTGATCCGATGGTTGGGGCTTACTTGGAGAATTTCGATAATGGCCAGACGAAGATGTTGTTGCCTTGGCTTCTTCATTCGAGTGAACATGACTGATGAAATATATGGCGTCTTTGGAGTTATAATTTTTGGGTCTTATTTTCTGGGGGTTTGACTTATAACTGGTTGTGTGTCTATAAGCCATTGTGAATTCTGCTTGCGTACTTGGTTTGTTGAATATATTCATCATTATCATTATTACTATCACTATTAGCTATATCCCTCGTAATTACTACACAGACCCTCGATAAGATCTGATCATCATTAGTTAACAGACAGATAGAGTTCTTAGCGAGCGTCGCTGCTAACAAAAGGTTCGAATGCAGTTCCGATGGGTAAACCTTATTTGAAATCAAAGTTCAATCTCTTCCTCCGTATGATTATTGCCCGCCGAGACAAGCGACATGGACGCCCAGGCATCAAAACTGTCTGCTCGAGCGGCGAGATACGCCGCTTTCCAGTTTCGAGACGAGCTTGATCGATTTAACGATGGTCGGTTTGTATGGGTGTGGGTTGGGTTCGTTTGGTCGTTGTCATTGAGCATATCAGAAGTAGACATCATTTGACTGGTTTCTCGCTCTGGAGAATGGGTTTGGTCGTCATGTGGTATTGTGTCATTGTGGAGATCTAAGATCTGTTCCGGAGAATCGAATTCTGATGAAAGGACGGAGAAAGAGTGGGTTTTCTGGCTATCATCGATGATTTCCTCGTCGTCTTCGTGATTAAGGTCCATTTTCTCGATGTTCTCCATGTTGTCGGATGGATGAGGCGGAGTTTCCGAGCTTTGAGTCGATTCATTCTCATGGTGGGATTCGTTTGGTATGTTGTGGATACCAGATCCAGTTTCTTTCGTGTGGTTAGATGTGAGGTGCTTTGACTCATCTTCTGGTTCGGTGTCGAACGATGAAGGGAGAGATCCGAGTTGATAGAATGGGTGTTCGGATCGAGCGTTGTTGAGGAAGTTCCATGCTTGACGGATTTCATTCTGCTTGGTCTTTTTGGCCTTGGGAGTGGAAATTGAGATAAAGGGTCTTTTGGGAGAAGATACTATGCCGGATGCCGTTTCTAGGGAAGATTGGATCAGGGGAGGTGTTTTTTCCGATGACATGGGATGAGAGATTTCGTTGAGACTAGGTAGTGATTGAGGATGATCATGGGGTGCTGTGCGTTTAGATGGGATTGATGATTCGACGCTGTCTGGCAAACTGGAGGTCATCTGGCTTGATTGTGGCGTGATAGTGTCATCACGTCGTGGTTTCTTTCTTGAGCGAAGTTCTTGGTCGTGGGCTAGCATGTCTCGCATGTGTTGGTCGTGAGCGAAGTTTTTTCCTGAACAGAGATGGCCGAATAAAGACTGCATGGACACATCTTCGGTCCAAGTGAGAGGATCAACTGTGCAAGGGACGATGTCTTTGGGTTTGAATGCGGCGACTAGCTCGCATAGCTCGGTGTAGGATGAATGGCGGGAGTATGGGAAGTGCTGTCTTTTGTTAGGTAGGCCATGATTGGTGAGGAAGGGAGGCCACGCACGATTGTCTTAGGATTTGGTTCTTTTTCCGATGAATGTTGGATTACATCTAGCCAGAGCTTTTCTCGGGAGTGACCACGGCTGAGGAGACGTATGAGTTTATCTAGAGAAATTTCATGATCGTTCGTCAGTCCGTAACTGTCCAGCGAGAGAACCTTGGTCTTGGATCTGAATGCATCAAACAGAGCCTTCCTTGTTTGTGAGAGACTTCGGGGATCCTGTATCTGTTCGAGACATAGTCTGTCTAATTTCTTTAATGTTGATTCATCTGGTAACTCGAGTTCATGGATCTGGTACAAATCGCCAGCCCCGCCACCGATACCGATTTCGGGGACTTTTGACCCATCTTCGCCGCGATGGACGATCGGGACAATGTAGACCGTTTTCTCGGATGGAACTGCTGAGCATTGTACACCTGGCTCGCAACTGTGAATACGAGAGTGCTCGTCCTCGCTCAGGCATCCAGAAACAGACCGATTCCCGAGCTCGTATCCACAAAGGGCGGGCGCTTCGGTTGCGTCTGTCCTTTGGGAGACAAGTGATTTGTAAAGACCGAGTTGGTATCGATCCAGATGTATCTATTTTATTAGCATGGGTTGAATTCAACGTGAATGAGCGATCATGCTCACCTTCGAGTTCAGAGCAGCAGAGAGCGCGACCCAAACTTCCTCGTACCCGAATGTCCAGGCACGGAAATAGAATGTGGTATCATCCGAATAGGGAGCGACCTTTCGTAGGAGTTCGGATATTCCTTCCGCTTTTGACGGAAATACATTCGATATGTGAGAGGCGCGAGCAAAGGTATTATCCAGGTAAATTTTATCCAGCCGTCTGTTTCCGAGAGTGTATGGAATGAGGATCGGATGCCGGATGAGGCTGTTGACCCACCATGTTTCCGCTAATGATTCGTCAGCATTACTTAGGGAAGTTCTCTTTCAGTGATTTGTGCACACCTCTAATGTCACCTGTATACAAGATAGCTTTTCCATTGCCCTCGATCAGAAACATTACGGCCCCGGAACAGTGGTTTGCATCGAAGAGGGTAACTCTGATGGATTGACGAGGGGTAAGTTCGATCTCTGTTGGTGTGTTCAATGGAATTGGTCTCTGCGTGCATGGTTAGCTAGGAAGTATAGTTCAAGGGTTGGTCAGGTTACCAGAAGCTTTGATAAATGTTGGTAATGTAACCGCCTTGATTCAAGAATGCCTTTGTTGAAGTTCATACGATGCGGATATTTTTCAATACGTAAAAGTATCTGGCAGTGATGAGTATCGGGTCTCCAATGTAATTCGAGATGAATGGATACCTCTCTGGTTGCTGCGGAGCAGTAGATAAAGGGAGCCCGCAAGGACTCCAGCCCCTGCAAGTGGTCGCTGTGGACATGGCTGAGAAAACATGCTAGGGGATGAGGCCTCTCAGGGGCTTTGCGGAAGTAGTCGACTGAAGATGGTTAGTGATGAGTATGGATGGCGCAAGGATGTTATTGGTTATTTACTCCGAATGTCAGGGAACTCTATTGGAATTGTTAGAAAGCTGGTCTATCTGCGCGTTGATTTGGGGGATTCGATACGCACCTTTAACAATTCCATCGAAGGTGGACATTGGTACAATCCAATGAAGGCAGGCGCCTATGAATCTATCTAGAAAAGCATATTTGGGGGGCTAGGGCTGCTAGGGTTGACTCGAGCGAGTATTGACGAGTGGGTTGTGGAGGATGAAAGAAGGAAGATCGAAGAATGGAGAACGGAGAAGGCAGCAGCAGAGTTGATGCCTGGGTCCTAAGGTGTCGCGGCCGATATTTGCAGCACGTGGTGTTATACTGATTGGAGAGGTCGGACCAATCACAAATCGTCTCCGTGGCGCAATCGGTTAGCGCGTTCGACTGTTAATCGAGAGGTTGTCAGTTCAATCCTGACCGGGGACGTTCTTTTTTGCTGGTTCTTTTTTTGCTCCCCACCCAATCTGTATGGGAAGGGGTCTCCGCACAAGGAACTCGGTCGATTATGGATGGTGCCTGAGGCTCTTCACGAAGATCATCTCTGGGATCATTCCATGTTTCTGATCACGAAAGTAACATATCAATATCATTGCTCACGCTGGTAAATCTTTGATAAAAATACCTCAAACACTCTCTTGTCTAATCCCTCCGATTCATCAACTGTTTCGATCCTCTTCCGCAACTCCTTCACATACTCTTGCTCGAGCTCCCGGTAGACCAACTGGATATCAAGATCCTCGAACACAGATTTGACTTTCATCGCCGCGACTTCATTTCTCTTGCCATAGCATTCATCCAGGATCTGACGCTGGGGTCCTGAACACCCACTCAACGCCTCATTGATTACCCACGAACATTTATTATCCTGAATATCGGTACCCACCTTTCCCGTCACATCCGGATCGCCAAACACATCAAGATAATCATCCTGGATTTGGAAATACTCGCCCATATAAAGCAGAATCTCCTGTGTCTGGCGCAGATTTTCAGAGGTCGCATACTGCAAGTAATATAATGCCAACGCCACGGGGAGGAAGAAACTATAGTATGCTGTCTTGTGTCTCACAATGCAGAGATATCGCTCCATGGAGAATTTATTCAAATCCACTGTCTCCTGGGGTGCCGTACTCATCTCACATAACTGTCCCAACACAGTCTGAAACGTGGTTTCATTCAAGAGCTCGACAAGCTGAATGTACGCCGGGTGAGAACGGAACCGAGACTTGAGGAGCATAAATATGCAGGAATGCAGCATCGTTCCGTCGTTGATGGCGAGGAGCCCTACTTCTGGCCGCTTGTACCAACAGGGCTGGCCGCGTCTAGTGCTTGAGTTATCCATGATGTCGTCGTGGACGAGGAAGTGGGCCTGGAGAAGCTCGACCATCCATCCGAGAACGCTAAGATCATGGAATTCGAGGTCATTGAGAGGTCGGTTAAGTAGAATAGTGCCGGTATCGACGACCGAGAGTCCGCGATTAAGTTTTCCGTTGAGAGTGTTGTACGTTAAAGACTTCAGTGTTCGGTCAGCTATAACCTATTCAGGTATGATGGAACAGAGTTACCTTCTCAAACCATTCTATAGTGGAATCGGGAACGCCGTATTGCTTTGTTTGTGTCAGGACACGCTGCACCAGGGAGGGAAAGACGGCTTCAAAGTCTTCGCGGCTGCTTTTTATGGTCATGTTGAGTGGGTAGAAGAAGATATGTGCTTGTTGCAAATAAGGTAGTTTGCATGTCTTTGCAGAAATCACTTGTTAGTTATTATATTGTTTTCGATGTATTTGCTGGTCATCTTCCAGCTGAGATAATCTTGTAGCAGGTATATTTCCTTGGCATCTATAACTTTAATCTTAAATTGAACGATTGACGTATTTGCGATCATCACGTCATACAATAGCCTGTCGGAGAATCCGATGGAAAACACAGTAAATACCTCTCGCCTCAACTCTATTATACGCCGTCTACGGCGCACTTGTGCAGTTTTCCATTTCGCTATTAGCTTTGTGGTTAGGAATCATATTAAATGGTGGTGATTAGCTAAAAATAAAACAGAAGAGTAAGCTTTCTTTTCCGCCGTGGGTCGGTAGATATCAAGATAGGATGGTCTTTCCGAAGTCCTTGATCTCTACGCCTGGCACTACTGGTTTAGGAAGGAGAGAATTTCATAATATCACCTAATTTACTTTGCACTTGTGCCTTATCCTAATTCTGTTTGGTGTGTGGATGGGTTAGCCTTGCGTCATCGAATGATTTACTGATTAGACAACTTTGTTAAGACATTGCTATCTGAGCAAAATGCCAGAACCATAAATTAACAACTCAAAATAATGTTCGATCTGTGAAGCGTATCTCAAAGTCCTGGAGATTCAATCTCCCAGCAGTTTATTGCGTCACCTGACTCTTTTCTAAATCTAAACAAAAAAGGAAAAGAAAAGAGAAATGCACAGAGCCAAATTTCAATTGAAAACGACAAAAGCAAAAAAAAGCTCTCAGGCTCTTTACACTTTCAATGAAAGCACCATTGAGCCGTTTTCGTCTCTCGGCACAGAAGCCAAATTGTACCGAGTTGTCGTCAGGCTAATATTTAAATTAGTAACATGCTATTGGATAGTGTGATATTGTATGGGGATTACAGACCTCCAATGAAGGAACCCAGTACAGTAGTCATAACAAGACTGTAAGAATGTCTCGCAAGCTTTATCCCCTAGCTGTGTTGCTAGACCTGCGTCGTACCGGGCCAGATCATGGCTGGCGTCTTTGAGCAAATGAACAGCCATGTCGACAACCTCCTGAAGGGAGTCGTTGGACTTGTAGAGGAGAGGAATGAGGCTGCACACTTCTCCCTTTTCCTACTGGCATTTTAGTACTGGATTTAGCATCATGTCTTTGGATAAACAAACCACTTCTTTTCGGAGAGAGAGAATATCGTTGGTTCTGGTGTTTGTTAGTAATTAAGTTCACATGATGATCATGTGGCACTGTGTATACATTGCGATGATTCTATTAGTCTGAAGACAGATATCTCTCATAAAAGGATGCAGGAGCGTCGAGTGCGAAAGTCGTTTGTTCATGCTAAGTCTGGAGGAAAGGTCAATACGAGCGGTAGCGAGATGGTGCAATAACTAGAATTACTCTGTTGCAGCACAAACTACGCCCATGAGGTTTGTGCCAAGTCGATAAGTCCAATACTCGTCGATAGTAGGCAGTCGTCCCTGGATGCGATGTTGCTGTTCTAAACAGGACATCTCAATAGTGAACTCCATCTCCTCCAAAATCAGACCCCTGTGCACTGTATCGTGTATCAGTTCACCATGACCTCTCGATTATGTTACATAGGCGTCAGCCTTTCACTTACCGGGATCATACTCCTCTTTGATAAAATGAGCAATCGGCTCGAATCTCTGCAAGAAATGATTCTCGAACTCCTCTGGAAATACGCTTCTTTTTTCAGCCCCATCCATTCCAAGACTCCCTCTCATGTACCGCAACGTCTGGCCCCGAAACCTCTGACTAGCTGTGAAATCCCCTCCCAAAGCCAGAGATTCGGATACTTGATCCAATTCATCATCCCACATGAGGAGCCATATGATCAGATATGCAAGAACCTGCAGGGTTCTAAACTCCGCATGAGGCCACCACAAACAAGCCAACAACGCCAAATCAGTCGATTTGACCTTTTCAGCCTTCTTTGGATTTCCCGGGAACAGGCTTCAGTGTGTTAGCTGCAGCAACAGTGAAATAATAAAGTTTCGGAACAAACCACGAGGCAGGAAGAGTTTTTTTACCTATCTATGAAATCATTTGTGGACGGGACAAGTTTTGCGTGGTTAGGGTTTGCGGTTTCAGCCGCAGGGAAGAAAGCCCGCAGCTCGGGGATGAGGACCTGCTGGTCTCGAAGGCCGGACAGAATCTCATGGGGTGGTTTGGATTTTGTGGCTAACATTTTCAAGCAAAAACAGGTAGCACTGTTGGTCGAGAGCTGGCTGACGAGGTCGAGGCGCTTTGATGAACTCTGGATCAGCCGGATAAGGCGTTTATATCTACTATCTTATATTGCATGGGTCCTGACGTGGCGCAAAACACCTTAATGTTCGTATTCCACAATAACACTAACTTTTCTAATCGATTCTGAGACTCTTGCCTAACCTGACTTACGGAAGTATGTTGGGCTTCCTGAAAAGGAGTCCTCAGCGTCATAAATGACGCGGCAAGCTCAACTGTACACGGATTTTTCTCTTCTTAGCAATGTATGCATATATTCAGACTCAAATTTATGTTTGTATTATGTAGATGGATGAAAGAGGTAAACATTACAGCGCAAGTCTCTCGTTGAAAGTTGTCATTGTCTCCATATCTGACGTCCTTGTTGGGATTAGAGGCTAAGGTAAGCGACAAGAAACATGTGAGACTCCCTATTCGGCATTGTACTTGCTACTTCTTCTCTAAGTTGGGCACCTGCATCGGATGGTCACTAAGAGTTAGTTCTGTTGACGTGGACGAAATAGTCACCTAAAACTGTAGCTCGTGATATCAGTGAAGATCCGGGTCAAATAATCAACAAAACGCGTCACTCCAGACGGTATAATGTGCTTTTTCTATGATGTCGATAACCAAATAAGGAACTTGTTTCTACCAGAATGGTTATTGCTTTTCTGTTGACGTCTGTTGTTAACATTGTCTTGCTGCAATGCCATGCATTCATGGCTTTTGTTGATGTAGTAGAAGCCCTGCGCCTGTCTCAAAGGCCACGGCCACCATCCCTTAGCTCTTGTTATACTATAGAATAAGAGTTTTCAATGACTTATTTCTTCGACTTACATGAAGTTTGTCTTATTTCTGAGTATTGATTACCCCCACCCTAATCTGACTTTGTGGCTTAATCATGCTGTCCCATGGAACTTGAGAATAAACCCCCACCCCGATGGCAACATTTACACATGGTGGGAGAGTTCTATACACAATATAAATAGATAAATCACTCTCAGTTTATGAACGTTATAAGAAAAGTCAGCTCTCACTTCTTTCGAAATCCAAGGTTACATCACCATGATCTTTCTCTTCGCTATTATCGGATTTGTTCTTCTCCTCTCCTTGGTTCACTGGAAGAGAACCCCTCGATATATCCCTCCAGGTCCAATACCCCTCCCTCTGGTTGGCAATCTTCATCAGTTCGTTCGTTTAGTTCCATTGAAGACTTTCCATGACTGGCATAAGAAGTATGGATCGATCGTTGGACTCACTCTCGGGCCCAGGACCATCATCATCCTGGGCACTCACGCCATCAACAAAGAACTCTTAGGTGGCCGAGGCCAAATCTACAGTTCTCGACCCTATATGCCTCTAGTCTCAGACAATATGACCGGTGGCCTGAACACGGCCCTGATTCCATACGGGGAGAGGTGGAAGACCCATAACCGCATCCATCTCGCGTTGTTGAATCCTCGAATGGCCAGGCTATACGAGGGTCTTGTGGACTTTGAATCCAGGAGATTGTTGGATGGGATCTGCTCGACTAACGACTTCTCCTCTGTCATTTACCGCTACACTGCGAGCTTGATCTTGGCGTTGCAATACGGCAAGTCTGTCGATGTGAATGACCCGATCGCAAAGGATTTCAAGGAGATCACACACAAATTTGTCAAAGCAATCGGGGCCAGTAGCTTTCTGTTCGAGTGCTTCCCTATTCTGCAACGAATTCCCTCATCAATGGCGCCCTGGATCAAGTCAAGCAACGAGCTGCACCATGCCACGACAAGTCTGTTCTCTTCCAGCGCAGAGAACGGCCTCTATTCGAAAGAATGGAACTGGTCCAAGTACGTGCGGAATCTGAAAGATGCACAAGGCATGCCTGAGGAAGAGCTCTGGTATCTGATGGGCATACTGTACGAAGCCGCAACGGACACCACTGTCGCTATTCTGCGCTTCTTCGTCATGGCGTGCGTTTTGCACCCCTGGGCGGTTAAGAAAGCGCAAAGGGAGCTGGATTCCGTGGTTGGAGACTCCCGATTGCCTAAGGCAGAAGATATGGGGCAGCTACCGTACGTTAGAGCCATCATTAACGAGGTCATTCGGTGGCGTCCTGCGACTCCGGAGGGGATCCCGCGAGCGACCTCTGCCGACGACGTCTATCAAGGATATCATATTCCCAAAGGAGCGACAGTATTGGTCAACATGTGGGCCATGCATATGGACCCGGATGTATACGATAACCCTGAATCATTCCGTCCTGAACGATGGATCGAAAATCCCAATTTACCACTGGGGATCTTCGGATATGGCAGGAGAGCTTGTTCGGGGCGTCACTTTGGCCAAATATCGCTCAACATGGTCATCTCGCGAATGTTGTGGGCTTTCTCGTTCAATCATAGCTATGAGGATGGCCGCCGCATTGAGATCGATCCTTGGAATATGGAGCAGCACGGGGCCAGTTTGAGACCACTGCCGTTCCCTGCTGATATCCAACTTCGGGATGAGGGCCGCAGAGCGGTTCTTCAGAAGGGCCCTGACGTGGCAAAGAGTGTCGAAGAGCTTTTGGCTCAAGTGGAACAAGAGGTTGCACAGTAGCTACATGCATCGGAGGGTGTTTTCTTCCTCTATCATTTATCTGATACTCTCATGTATGCCATGTCGCATTTCTGACTTTTGAATTAAAATATCAAACAGCCATCACTCTTCGAACCACATAGCGATCATCCGTCTGAATTTCCAAGAGAGAGGCAAAAGACCACGTGCTACGAAAGCTATTTTGTCTCTAATCAGAAGATCAGAGACAGCTTCTCTCTCGCAGCCGAGGACCTAAATTTTCTTTTACTTTGCTCAATTCTATAGGAGGAGGTTTTACATCGCCCTTCGCGGTGATGAGATTCACCTCTTCGACGGTGAATGTATCTATGACGGCGAAGCACTTCGCCGGGGTAGAGTTCGTTCCGGCAGCATCATCGAAGCGTCGCAGAAGCTCCTCGTAAGATGGAGGGGATTTTTCTGCTGCGTAGCTAGGAGGTTTCTGGGCATCGGCCATGATAAAGAAAGTCAAGAAAGATACTTGTTGTGTGTCAAGATACAAAGTTTAGTACGTCAAGAGGGGAAAAATATTCTTTTTTGATCAGACATATCAAGTGCTTCTGTGTCTTCAGTCTTCTTAAGACTCTCTAGCAGAAAGTACATTTTCTCCACTTTGAGAAATTCTATAACCAAGGCCGAGATGGAAAGGGAGCTACAGCTCATCTCCCGCATTAGTGCCCTTTCCTCAGCTCATCCAGCTTCATGCAGCTTCTCGTTCAATCAGAAAGGCCGGAAATAGTTTACACGGAATATACGAATAATACTCCGAGTCGTGGCACTGGTTATGCATGTTTCTGCAATCCTGACCAGGGACATCTGACCGCTGATGTTGGCGATGTTAACGACCTGTAACATCCTAGTTTCGCTAAACAATAAATACTTGCATATCTATATCATATCTAGAGACAATCTAAGTACATACGACCACAGGGTGTGGAGAACAGGGCTTCCCGTCCGCTCAGCCGTACTTAAGCCATCTTGAGTCCGCTCAGTTAGTTGTCGAAGAGCCCTTAACCCAAATGTTTTTCTGAAACGATCTTTAGATCGGGTGCCAGCGATGGGGGTGCTCTGCTTATGTACGGTCGCCGGTAGTCGCCAACGTCGCCGGTGATCGTCAATGGTCGCCGGTGATTGCCAGTGGTTGCCAATGGTCGCTGGTGGTCGCCAATGATTAGAACCAGAAAGGTTTAATGAGCTGAACAGGGGTTTTTTGAGCTGGTTCAGAAGCTGTCGATAAATAGGCGGAGAGCCTTTGCGATTTTGTTGTAACTTCTGAACTTGTTTTTACCCTGCCTTGCCGAACTCTGAATCTTACTCGAATCACGTGTTACCACATGACCATGACCTCCAACAAACTTCAAATTATCGAGGAACGTTGTCGTCTGGCAGCTTCCCGTGGTTTCACTATTGATTTTCAACAACAACAAGAGAGCCAGGAAAATGTTATTTGTCACAAAAAGCTTGCCCCGACTACATATGAGAAATATGATCGGGCATTAGGAAATTGGGAACTGTAAGTTCACTCTTATTATTTTTTCCTTTAGGAAGAAATAGCTCAGAGATTTCTGACTGAGGATATAGCTGGCGACTCTCACGGAATGAGTCTAAGGAAAAGAACTTTTCGCATGATGAGCCAGATCCAACCCCTCAAATCCTAAAGTCATTTGCCGAAGACTATATCGCTACTAGGAAGAAAATTCCTTCCCAAAAATCAGCGTGTCATAACCTGACTAGTTTCACTTCTCTCTGGGAACGAGAAACATCACGAACTTTGCCCCTTCATGTTAAGAAGGACGTCCTAAATGTAAATTTCCACGATATACGAAGAGCCCGATTAGCGTAACTAACTTAATGTTTTAGTATATTCGGAATACCCTCACTCCGAAATATGGACTTCGTACTGAACCGAGAGAACGGGCCCTGGTTACAGCCAAAGATATTGAGTATTTGTTACGCCGTCTATTCGGCAAAGATAGCCATGATTACAAGCATGAGCGAGCCAGAGTTCAGACAGGGTCTTCTTTGTCCCTCTTTGCCGGCTCTGGGGCCCGAGCCGGTGCTATTGTCGAATCCAGTTCCTATCGAGACTCGAACGAGTGTCTCTATTATAAGGTTAGTTCTACCTTGTGATCTTTTTGAGGAGTGAATCTAATAGATTAAACCAGCACTTGTCCTTCAATATCAAATGGAGTGAAAACGGGCATATTAAACGATGGGTGACCATCGACCCTGAATTTTTGAAAGGTTGGCGTTACCGTGATGATGTCAAAATGTCAGTCCATATTCAAACCTTCCTCAATTCTTTAGCTTATATTTTTGATTTGCTCTAGGCCAAAGAATTGGTTTCGAGAACACCCTGTTCTAGGATTCAATTTTGTCTTCTGGGTGATTGTGCATGGTATTGCAGACAGTGCATTTAGGGGCATTTCGTCAGTGGACGATCTTTTAACAAAGCGCCCACCGGTCGGAAGGGAATCATGGACTTTGCAGTGGTCAGATGCTGCCAAAGAGCTTCCATTCTTCCGCATGATTACTCCGAAAGGACCTTCGCCAGATAGGGCCTTAACATTTTCTGCTATGCGTCATAGTAACACGGCACTTGCTGAGAGAGAAGGATTCAAGGATACCCTGCGCATCCATGGTATCAGGGGTGAAGTAGCAAACAGGATTGACCGTACGACCCCAATGCAAATTTTGAATATAGTGTTACTAACTGTCCTCTAGCCAAAGCATCTGAGGCTACGCGTGGCCAGGCACTTGATCACCAAAACCACGATACCTATCTCAAGTATCAAGCACAACTTAAGTCTCTGGACGTACAAGCCATGTTCTACAATATGGAGCCGGACTATGAGTGCCGAGATATGGAACAAAGCATGGCCCATCATCGAGACCCAAATGCGCCCCAGCACATTGACGCTGCTGCTCTAGCCGAATTCGAGAGTGATGATGAGATATTAGCACTCAATAAGCAGATTGCTGCATTGACAAAACAGATTGCAGGTCGTCCTACGGTACACAGGGATCTAGACCTGGAACGTCGTAGGCTCTACAGCAGGAAGGCGAAGAAGCTCGAAGCTAAGCGGTCAGCCTTTATCGCCCAGTGGTGGGAAGCTTCTTATGACGAATATATTGCCGGCAATGACTTCTCTGAGCGCGACACGACCTGTCTGTTCGACATATATAAGAAGTACATGCCCGCACGATCCCGTCTTTGGGACAATCTTTTCAAAAAAGTTTCTATTGACAGCAATGAGGGCAAGCAATGCCTGCACGACATGATCTCTTTATGCACTTCAACGGAGAATGTCGCTTATTATCCCGGATTGGCACCAAAAGACGGCCGATGTCCAACCTGTTCACGAGAAATGTCGAGGTTTGGCGCCTATTACCGCTGAGATAACGTGTACTGACTTTCTTTTAGCATTTCTCTACAGTGTCGCGCAAAACACGTCCTGCAGTGTCGACGAAAGTACTTGGATGCTGCGCCCTACCAACAATGTTATAAGAATGGCAAACGCGCTCATCGCCGTACCCAGCGCTCATTTGTGCAGTTCTGTTATCTCTGTGCTGAATTGGTTTATGACGCAGATGAATGGGACAGGCACTGTCAACACCATCTAGAGGACCTTCAACCTCGTTGTGGAATCCTGACCTTTCGGTACACAACCGTCGCGGCCGGACTTTGTCCCTTCTGTTTAGGGGATGAAAGTAAGGGCCCCTCAGAACGGTTCAAGCAATGGATGACCAAAGCCACTCTTTTAAATCACATTGATGATCACCTGAAATCTCATCAGTCGAAGGAGGTGATGCGGTGCCCGCATCCGCTCTGCCAGAAGAAAGAGTATAAAGGCGTTGTAGGGCTTCGGCGGCACTTTTACGATGTCCATTCTATTACAGAGACCCGTTCAAATTGTGTTACTCGAAAGCGGCGATGGCCGTTAGAGGAAGAATCTTGCGATAAGACAGAATCTATAGAAGGTGTGAGTTACAAACGACTTTGCAAAGAAGAGACAAGCGAGATAAGTGATTAATGGAAATGTACAACTGATCGTATCTGGAAATTCTGGAATAATGTCTTTCGGAATGTACTAAGTCCTCAGGCATAATCTGGGCCTCAGCTCAGTTGGGACGGAGATATTCTGTTTGCTTTCGGGTCTACGTGCTGCGTTCGTACATTAGATCACTGGTAACGTTTCTAAACAAGGGATCTTCGCATGTATGTAAAGTATACGTTATAGATTGGCATGCATACAAAATCTAACTAGCTTTTATCCCGATTCTTCAAAATATTGGCAGCGATTGGCATTGATTGGCATTCAAGACTACTAAAAGTGACATGTTCTGCTCTGAGGAGGCACTCAAATCATTCAAGCGTGTGAGCCACTGTGCTCAAAATGTTGAAAGAATTTTCCCACTTTTGATTAAAACACCAGAAACTATTTTCTGGGATTTCAAGACGAGCCTTTTCTTCCGCGTAGTTGAGGGGGGTTTTGCCAAATGAGTCTCTAGTATGTATGTCCAAGACAGGTCTTGATTTAAGGAACTCTACAAGATCCTTAGTGAACGCACCATGAATTGCCCCATGATGCATAAATGTCCTCCCGTCAATATCTTGCGCTGTTGGATCCAAGCCACATTCGAACAGAAATTTGAGTATTTCATGGTCTGCTCCCCTGTGTTGCATGAGGAGATGGGCCAAATTTTCTCGACGTTTATTGACCCATAGCGTATCAGCACCCCTCTGAACAAGTAGAAAAAATATGTCTTTATCAAAACGAAAGTGAAACGAATTCACATATAGAAAAAGTGAGGAGCTTCCATCTGAGTCAGGTTTACCGGTATCGCAACCACGCTGGATCAGAAACTCAACCACGTCAATCCTGCAGAAAACGGACGAGACAACATGGTGTAACGGGCTCCTGCCGTGGCCATCTAGCGAATTCCAGACCCGCGAAAGTTCTCTATTGCGAGCCTCTGACATGAACTGCAAGACGCCTAGACGACCACAATCCAGTGCATAGTGAAACGAACTTAACCCGTCGATGTCCCTCGATAACAAGTCATGACCTTCATCCATAAGTTTGCGGACAACCTCTAGGTTCCCTGCTTTGCTGGCGAGATGGAGACACGTTTGAAGAGATCCGTTAACTTGTAAACTATCAGCTCCCTTTTCGATAAGTTTGCATAAGATAGACCATGCATAATCCTCATAAAAATTTATCACGTGTTGAGGGTAATCTCCATAAGTGTTGACAGTGTTAACATTGGTAATTTCGCTCTCGAGGAGCGTGTCAACAATTTGTATTCGAGCCTCATCGATGGTACGGTAGATATCAGAAGCCTCTTCACTCTCATGGTCCGTGATTAAGTCTCTTAAAAACTCGATGGCGTAATCACCAGTCCCCCATACATCACCCCATTTTCGACCCAGGAGGTGGCCCCTGATCGCAAGATGTAGTGCGGTATCGCCAGTACCAGAAACGGCATTTGGATCAGCCCCATGTTGGAGTAAGAAGGCAGTCGTTTTTGTGCACGCATTCAGAGCAGAGAAATGAAGTGCTGTAAGGTTGGTATCTAAATTTTCCTGGGCTCCCTTCTCCTCAGACCAGGCTGGAAGTATGCTCACTGTTGTTCTTCCAGGCCACGATTGTCTTTGAATCCTTGTTTTCATGTCGAAACCATTCTGAAGGAAAATTTGTGCAAGTCGAGTATCCCGGTTCCCAATTGCGTAAAGGAAAGGTGTCATATTATCTTTGTCATACACATATGGGCAAACCCCACTCTTAAGCAGGAAGTCGGCTATCCTGCAGGTATTGTCGTGACCTTGGTTGTGATTACCTTTTTTGCAGATAATGTGGAGGGCGTTTTGGTGTTCGTTATTTACTGCTTTCATGCACGCTCCGGATTCAACTAACAGCTTCATGGCTTCAAGTTGAGAATATCGTACGGCAATGAGCAGGGGGGTATGTCCGTATGTGTCCTCATCTTCCAGTTCGTCTTGAAGAAGGAATGAGATCAATGGGTTAATCCCCCAACGGGCTGCAACATGGATGGCAGGGATGTCGGTGCCCAAATCGCCCCAGGAGTCTTTCCTGAGGTAGTTGTAACTATCTAGCCACCATTTCCATGCCCCAAGTCGATTCTGAAAGAATTGCTCGTTCTCCGGTGGAACAACAAATTTTGTTTGCGCTAAGTTTGCGTGCTCTGCCCAGTGCAGTACTGAATAACCAAGGAATCCGTGTTTAGGCTTCAGTGTTGACCTATCCATGTTTGGCCGACAATTTTGAAGGATGATCTCAATGCATCGATATGAAAGAGCATAATTCGATCCGGTAGGACTAATCTCTTTCATCTCTGCTAACAGAAATTCTTGAACCGACCTATGTAATGTTCGCACATGGCCATTGTCGACAACAATCAACAAATGGCACAAATCAATAATCTCTTTCGTGAACTGGGCGCGATTACTGAGATCTTCGTCAAGATATAGTCGACATGCCTCAGCTAATTCCACTAGCGTCAATGGTCGCACTGCAAATGTAACAAACTCTAAAACCTTCTTAATCAGTGGATAATCATCTTGATCGTAGGTTGTCGTGGATGCAACTGTTGCATCAAGCAGACTTTGATATAGAGAATGTAATCCTCGTGGAAGAGCCTGTAGTAAACCGATAACCTTCCTTGACTGCACCAATTTTAATTCATTACAGGCAATCCCTACCCACAGGAAGGTTCCGTCAGCTTTCTCCTCGAGAATGCGAGATACATCCTGAGCAACGGACTCAGTGTACTTGTTTCTCTTTCCAAGTTCCTTCACTGTATCCTGGATCATAGATTTCAGATCGCCCTTGATCTCCTCGCATGCCCCTAGGTTCACAGATCTGAAGGTGGATAGATAGCCCTCAATGTCGGGATATGGGCGACTGGTGATCAAAATATGCAACTTGAATCGGACTGATCTGGCGCCTTGTCTGCAGAAAGATTGGTATATCTGATCAAGCAACATTATCTGTGACCCCGCTTCACATTCGTCCAAAGCATCGATAATGCAGTATATGTCAGGCCCATCAGTCGACGTTCCAATGTCCATCAAAATGGACCATAGTGCATCAAACGACGAAAAGAGGCCTTCTTTTCGAATGTCATATTTTGCCATGACCCTGTTCAAGAAAGGCCGATATTGTTTGACGATCTGATATATGAGACCCCTCAGTATGGATGTTGCCTCTCTCTGGTGTTCAGAGCTGGCTTCACAAAAAAAGAAAGATAGAACATGATTTCCGTCAGGAAAACAATCTGACAGTTCCTCGGCAAGTGCTATAGCCATTGTTGACTTGCCGATTCCAGGGTTGCCATACAGCCACAAAAGGCTGTCTTTCAGGCAGCCAATGCCTTTATCCTGCTGAAGCCAAGACTTGAAATCGTTTGACTCTAAAAACCAGCTACAGGTCCCAGGGGTGCGGCTTCCTTTTCTCCGCTTTAACGAGTTCATATCCTCCACAGGATCGGTAATGAACAGGTGTTCTAGACACGCCTTCTCCTTTTCAGTAGGCTCGAAAACTAAAAATTGATCGGTTAACGATAGTTCTATAACGTTACAACCAAATATTAATAGCTGCATACCTTGTTTTCGTGTCAGAATGCTCTCCGCCGGCGGGACAATTAATAGCAGTGTCTTAGCATAAGCAGCTGCGGCAAGAGATGCAAAACCCTGCCAGTCTTTCTGCTTATGGGAGTCACAGTAATCGGAGATCCCCCGTATGACCAGGCACGGAAGTTGATCCATGATCCCTGCCGCTTCCATCTCAAAACACAGTACAGGCAGACGTTTGGCAACAGAGTCTCGCACCTGAGCATCCTTTATGACTTGATTGCCTGACGCAATCACGCCATAATGAATATGCGGCTCATTACTCTCCCGTGGACCACGCGGCACTAGTTGGCTTTTATCACATGTTGAGCAGTCTGTATCGTCTTTCGGATGCTTATATATCGAGCGGAAGAGCCAGTCATCATCTGGGCGCGCAAAGGCTTCGATTGCCTGATGTTGATGTAAGATATCGCGTACTTTCCGCCCGATCCCTGTCTTAACTATGTACTCGGAGCGCATTTTGGATACAGCATTCAAGAGCAGCGTAGGTGGCTTATCGAGCGAACCTATGCGCTTGAAAGGGCTTCCCTGGAGTACCTTCCCATAATCGGTTTGGACCACACCGGAAAACGTTTCAGTAGGTTCACTGACAACCACATCACCAAGGCGAATATCGACTCTGTTGATGGGTATCCCCCCTCCGACTCCAACCATCAGCCCGAATTTAATGAAAGGAAATGTTTGTCTCATTTGAGCCACCAATGACGTGGCAGAAGTTGTTCCGTAGACACCAGATGGCAGACAAGCGATTACTACCTTATGTCCACTCATGCTCCCAAGGGTGTAGATATTGTTATCAGAGTCTGGTTGGGGCTGCCGGCTGTGAACGTTATCGAGGAGAAGCTCCGCAGCCTTCAGTTCGATCGGCAACGCGCATATCCATGCGACTGTGTACTCAGGGTACTCATGGAATAGCATGTTACTAAAAGACATCATATACCACGGTAGAGGAAACTATAGAATATCTATCATGTAAGGAACTTGTAGTACAGTCCTCGGGTAGGACAATCTCCTTAGAAAAGAAATAGCAGGACGAGTGACGCTTGATCAGGACGGAAGCGGGGGAGGGGTAGTCTGGGTCGCGAGGCTGACTGCACTAGCCAGATAACAGTCTTAACTAATGCCCAGTGTCTAGATATGTCATCACGGATCTAGCCGCATTAAGACTCATGGCCAAATTAACGCCGGCATCGATGCGTACGACAGCATCTCAGTTCGGGTAAGCCTTTTTATTGGGGACATTGTGAGCGGATAGAGAGACACCGCTAGATATAAAGTTAAAGGGCCATCGACATGAATCAAGCAAGATGATGCCCAAAGAGCAGCATATAATGTTGAGATCTTTGTAGATTATACAAAAGGAGATGTATTCTTGTTGGCCATGTCATCCTACCATGTATCAGGCGCGGCGCAAACCCTGTTTTAGAATATTTGGAAACCCCCCTCCCTCTATACCAAGACGCGTTCGTACACGGCAGGCTAAATGTACATTTAGGGCCGCTAGAAATGCATTTCAACTCTATCCAAAGATATTCGACTTACGACTTGGCATCCTTGTATAAGGATCTGAATGTCAGCTTAGCCACAATCAGGAAGAGTAGAATACTAGAGATAATAGTTTATATTTTCTACCAGGGCCATCATACTAGCATAGTCAAAGTAAGAAGAGATAGAGTAATGCCAGAACCTCCTGAGCCAGGGAGCTTCCCGGTACGGAGGAACGTTCTGGAGGAACGTTCCGGTTAGTTGGTATAGGATCAAGGGACCCTCCGGTAGGCATCCAGGAACCTTCCTGGATGCTCATGGAGCCTCTCTGCCTGAGGCTTTGCCTCAGGCAGTATATAGAGGCCCCAAATCCTCGCTCCTAGATAGCCTTTCCTCCCCATGGGAAATTCCTTAACTACGAGTCATAAACAAACTTGTCTGTTACTAAGCTCCTTTGTTAACTGTCACATAATTTCCCCATCGTCTTTTTCTTTTTCACTTAAAACAAACAGACTAAAGCCTTGTGATCAGTTTGAAGCCCTCCCGTGAACGCAACTACACGACAACGCCCTCTCCCCTTCGCACCTTTGAGCGCCAGGGCGACCCCGAGAACGACCCCCAGGGAAATTTACTCTCCTACGGGCACCATACCCCTTCCGTGGCCAACATGGTGCTAGGAAAATTTCAAACAAATGCCCTCCAAGGGCTGTGCACCGAAGAGCAACTCGACCTTCTCAATTCCATTGACACCCTTCGTTCCCAGGGTATCAGTCACTACATTTCTTTACCACAGATAATCGTCTGTGGAGATCAGTCGTCAGGAAAGAGCTCGGTATTAGAGGCAATCTCAGGTGTCTCATTTCCAGTGAAGAGCAGTTTATGTACAAGGTTTCCCACAGAGCTGGTACTCAGAAAGAGTGTTCAAGTAGGGGTACGTGTTTCAATCGTACCTCATCACTCTCGCAGTGATGTCGAACGAGATTCCCTTGGTAGTTTCTGTGAGCAGCTAGACGATTTTGAAGGACTCCCGGCTCTTATCGACAACGCGAAAGCGGCAATGGGAATAACAGCATATGGTAAAGCGTTTTCGAATGACCTCCTTCGAGTGGAGGTATCAGGCCCGGACCGTCCTCATTTAACTATCGTCGACCTTCCAGGTCTCATACACTCCGAAACTAAACAGCAATCAGCTTCTGACGTCCAGCTCGTGCAAGACGTTGTTCGGACCTATATGAATGAGCCGCGGAGTATCATCCTCGCTGTTATATCCGCTAAGAATGATTTTGCCAACCAAATCGTGCTGAAGCTGGCTCGGGATGCCGATGAATCTGGAAATCGAACATTGGGAGTCATCACCAAGCCAGATACGCTTGTTCCAGGGTCGGAGAGCGAGTCCATGTTTCTTTCACTGGCAAAAAACCAGGATGTCGAGTTTCGCCTGGGATGGCATGTCCTCAAAAACATGGATACTGAAAAGGGAGACTGGACACTGGCCGATAGAGACCAAGAAGAGATGCTATTTTTCTCCGCAGGCGCCTGGGAGGACCTTCCAAGGTCCCTAGTAGGTATCGATGGTCTTCGCTCACGACTAAGCAAAGTGCTTCTCGGACAAATTACCACAGAGCTGCCAAGTCTGATTGATGAAATCAGAGGGAAGGCCAACAGTTGCAGATCTGAGATTATGAAACTTGGGAAGCCTCGGACATCTCTCGACGAACAAAGGTCCTACCTCGTACAAATCAGCCAGTCGTTTCAGAGCTTGGTCAAAGCCGCTGTAGACGGCACTTATAATGACCCTTTCTTCGGACATGTGCACGCTGAGAATGGTTTGGAAAAGCGACTACGTGCGGTAGTTCAAAACCTTAATGAAGAATTTACCGAGCGTATTAGCCTCAGAGGTCATTACCGCCGGCTATGTGAGAAAGGGGTTACCAAGCAACAGCACAACGGCCAGATTCGCACAACACGGGCGGAATTTACCGCCTATATTGGGACTCTTCTAAGAAAAACTAGGGGCCGTGAGCTGCCGGGCACATTCAACCCTATGATTGTCCGTGACCTCTTTTTGGAACAATGTGGTCCCTGGGAAAAGCTCACCAGAAGTCATATCAAAAAAGTATGGTCATCCGCAAGAGATTTCATAGTCCTTGCTGTTCGCCACGTCGCAGATGAGGCCACTTTCACTGCGCTGGTCGATGAGATCATTTTTCCTATTTTTGATTCTGTCTTGCAGGACATGGAGCAAAAGACTTCTGAGTTACTGGCACCGCACAAGACGGGCCATCCAATCACGTACAACCATTATTTTACCGAGAATCTGCAAAAGATTCGTGCAGAGCGCCGTGAAGGCGAAATTGGTAGCATTATGAAGCGATTTTTTGGTGTAGCTGATCTTCACGAGCCCTACTTCACGGATAGGTCTATTGATCTCAACCAACTTCTGCAATCCCTTCTGCGGCAATCAGAACCAGATATGATCAACTTTGCTTCAGCAGAGGCGTTGGACTGTATGCTGGCGTACTACAAGGTTACTTTATATTTTCTCAATGATGCTTCTCTGCGTTTACTAATATGGTCCCAGGTTGCTTTAAAACGTTTTGTTGATGACATTGCAAATGAAGCTGTGGAATCGAAATTAATGCTGGCCTTGCTCGATATTTTCTCTCCAGTAGTTGTGGTTAACATGCACGGCAAAATGGTAACGCAGATCGCTGGCGAGTCTGAAGAAAATAGGTCTCTTCGCGACCAACTTGACAGGAAATTGCAGGTCCTTACTCGCGGATTTGAAACCTGCCAGCAGTTTGTGGGTGTTCGGGGTTATGGTATGGAATAAAACCCAAGTTAACCTTATTTAGCTAACATTAAAATCAGAAGCAAGGACCTTCGGTATCTCCGGTCAGCCCACAAGCACATTCCACGGTGTGGAAGTAGAACTCGAGGATGACATGCAATCTATCGCGGAATCTTCTAACCATTCTCAAGAGACAGAACACATATGTGCGCAGGCGGAGCCTATTGATGTTGATGAAAAGAAGTTAGTGTCAAAAACGGCAGAACCGAACTCTTCTAACGAATGTTCAGAAGCTATTGAGCCGCACGAATTGTCATTTTCAGTACTTTCGACCACTTCTACCCGGAAGGGCAAAAAAGGAAAGAATAAGAAAAGTGGCAACAAAACAAGCCGTCTGAAAACTGACTCAGTTGACTCACCGGTGTCATGAGTTCAGGAGCTGATTCAATGTCTCCCACGCTTGCGATTTAAAAGATGTTTCCAAATTGAAGTTATGCATTATTTCGTCAAACTTGTTTCCAATAGAAATTGACTTCTTTCGAGAGATTTAATCCGTCCGAGGGTCATATTTTGCAGAGGCCTGAGGCCACGATCCTCTTCAACACCTAAGCAATCAAGTATCTCTGTACTCTAGGCTACGTTTTAGAGTATCACTTCATTCATTTGCATTCTCATGGCTTAAGCCTCGTACCGCTCGGACCGATCAAACTCCGCCATTTATCTAAGCTAAACCACTTCAATATAGACCGCTGCTGGGTTGCCGAATGGGCAGACCAGCGATTAGTTCTACGCCAAGGTCGCTATATAGTTTAATTTATTGCACTGCGTAATCGTCACGCCTTCCACATCCTTCCTAAGACACTGCCTTACATTATAATTCGAGTTTGTATGTACTATCAGACCCTTTTATTACGTATAACAGAGTTGTGACAAACGGCTACGCAGGCGATAAAAAATCGCGAGAATGTAGGGCATGCATTCAACGAAGAAACTAAGCTAGGTTGTGAAGCTAGTCCCGATCGGGTAGTTAGGTCATAGGGTATCGCGAAGGAACGTCTTCGGAGGCAGGTACAGTCCGTGATAAGAGTTGCATTTTATGTATTTTACGTATTATTGTAATACAGCATTTTAAGAAAATATATATAAAATTTTAGCAGCCTATAAGATTTTACTTGATAGGCATATAATAGTGTCATAATCGAAAATGATGTAACATCTCCGTGTTTGTGTCACATTCAAGAAGCATTAGGTATCGCGGTTGCTTGCATGGCCCGCTGGCTTACTGATTACGTTACTGCAGTAGTTAACTAACAAGTGTACTTCATATTTACATAACCAACCAAAAACCCGCTTGTATTAATGTATATTTGAATGGTCTAAGCCCGGAAAATAAGCTAAACTGGTCGTAATCTATCTGAGCGGCAGGGTGGGCCCCTCTTGGCCCTGTAATTTTGCTTGATATGCTGGTATTCGTGGTGAGGGCCACCTGACGCCAATCATATTGGTTTCAGACAGGCCAGATCAGCTTAATGCTACCCTTAGAGATGGGTTGTGAATGCTGAAGCTAAGGCCAGGTGTATCCTCTATCCTATTCAACCTCGCAGGAGACCATTTAGTGCCTAGTTGTGACTCGTCCCGTATAAGAAGGGCAAGAACCCCGGATATTGCAGCTGCCCGCAGTATCGGCGAAAGCGCAGAGAATCCTCAAGAAAACGGGTATCTGACCATTAGTAGGTTTATCTGACCGCCTCGATCTCAACCTTATTCAATTGCTAACTGGAAAGTAGATTATGGGTAAAGCAAAGAAGACAAAGAAAAATTCCCGCAAGGACCAATACATTGCTAAGCCTGAGCATCACCATGGCATGCAGGGTCAAGGGAACCAAGCGCCAGAGGAATCAGAACAAGACGATCATGAAATGGAGTGGGATGAGCTAAAGCAGAATGACTCCGATTTCGCAAACACCGATGACGAAAGTTCGAAGCCACGAAAACGACGCCATCGAAAGCAAAGGGTCGACGCTTGGGCACAACCAATCATCCAGGATTTTGTGATAAGCAAAGGTCAGGAGATTAAGGATGCCTTACAGTCAATAGATCCCGACCTGTTAAAGGTCGAGAGCATCTTCAAAGACGCCAATAAGACAATCCAAAATGCCTATAGAGACCGTGGCATTTCTTCGAAGGATAAGCTTCTGCCGGAGAAGAGGTATCAGATTGAATATAGTTCGTGGTCCGCGTACGTCAAGTTCAACCTGGCCAAAAACGACCCGAAGAAGGGATGGGAAGCATTTGACCGGATGTGTCAAGCTATCCGTCTGATCAACCGTGAACATGGGCTGCCGGAGGATTGGAATTTCTCGCCAGACACTGCGACTAAAGAGTGTGGAGATCGACCGGCCGATATGGAAGAGGCTCCCGATGTTAGCGATGCAGATTCAGCTGTGTCGTACGACGAAGTCTCTGAGTCGGAGGAGTCGGATCTTGATGAACTCGGAGGAATTGACGGATTGGAGTCCAGGATGCGCAAGGAATATAGCGCTCTGTCACGCGGCAAGGTCCTATATTGGTGGCCTATCGGCACAGGAACCCAAATCTTCGTTCGATACGGTTCTAAAAAGAAACCAATCTATCGAGTCCGCGCGGGGTCGTCTGAGCCATATGACCCGCAGAGGGCCGAACTGGTCCTGTCTACCACCCGTGGGAATACCAAGGTACCGGGCGAAAAGAACGGGACCCCTCAAGAGGTATGGGCATACAGTCGCAATGACGTGGCCGATATCATCGGGGTTGGATGGAAAGTGGAGGATGACGACGAGGCGAATATAAATGCTCTGGCACTTATTCGGCCCCAGCGCTACGCAGTCTATCCTCACACCAGGGCCTTGGTGAGATGGAAAGATGATAATGTCACATTGGAGCGTCGCGGATTTATTCGACGGATCGCCAACGGCAACAGTTTCAATGGTGATCGGATGGTCTATCTGAAAGCCAAAGAGCTAGAGAACGCTTTTTGGGGGTATGATGTCGAGGAATACTGGGACCAGATCAGTTCCGACGACACCGATGATAGCTCGTCGAAAGAGACTCCAAGACGCCGAACCCGTACTCCCCAGCGGAGAAAACCTTTCGGCAGACACAGACGTGGCAGTCGGCCGGCAGACGTGGAACGAACGGACAGCGATACGGACTCTGAGTCGTCTGTATCAAGTCTCGACTATCCACGAAGACGTCACAGGAGGAAAGAATCCCAACCATCAAAGAGCACACCAGATGCGGAAATACGTTCCTTGAAGAAGAAGCTCGAGCAACTCAAGGTCCAACAGCGGAACAAGGACCGCAAGAAACAAAATCTCTCACGCAGTCGGCATAGTAAGAGAGCCCGCTAAGCTAATTGGATTTTGACGACAGTTTTTCGGTTTCATGCTTTATTGTTTCTATGATTTGATTGCTTGTATTGTATCGTGTTCTTGCTTTGTTGACCAGGAGACGTCTCGGATCATTGTAAACAATTATGAGAGCGAAGTGACGATAAGTGAGGTTTTAACAAGCATATATTCACTGGTTCACTGTTAAGCTGTAAAAAGTGTCAGACTATCGCTATCTTAAGGGCAGTTAAAAGATTAACGGCAACACTTTACTGCTTTGTGTTTGTGGCATGAGCTTTTTTGTTTTCTGTTTGAGTTTTCAATGTTTGTGTGTTTATTCATTATTTGCAAGTGTCCCTTATGTATGAAAGTCAATCGAAATTGTGTTCTAATCACCTGCCTAGCGTTAATAAAAGCGGTTTTGGAGAGCCTAAATGTTTGAATTTGTACATAGCAGAGATTTACATCCGCAAATAACCTTTAAAGATCGACTATTTCGCGCAAATCAATGTAGTCCATACAAGGGAACTCCGGTTGCTAAAATTTTTACGACTCATTTAATGTGTTTAGGTAATTTTTTTGGCATTATGATCGCAGTCCTCGATATCAGTTTGGATTTACAACATTAGCCTGTCTACTGTTGTATCGAGCTTTGCTTTTTGGTCTTATGCTAGTAGTGCACCCTCCCGGCGCTTCTGCACCACATTGCTTTATCGGGATAGTTCTTTTTAATCTCCTGTGAGGCGAGGATTTATGTATACTCCAGTACAACAGTCAGGGATATACTCTTTCCCATCCGATACTAGTTTGCCGCTCGTGCTCCTGCTGAACTATCCTCAACTTCCAAAATTTGTAAAACCCTGTTAGTCCTAGTGAGGTGATAGCAGATAGCCCAGTCGCAATAACCGTCAGAAGGGCCATAATCGACCAATTACTCCCCCTAGCTGTATAGATATTGATAAGGGTAGTGAGGAGCCCAGCACAGGCATTAAGACATGTCGGCCTTTCACAGTTAGTATGTCACACCGTACGTAAGGGAAGGGTCCTGCAACTTACAAAAAAAGTCGATTGGTAACCCATATGTAATTATATCTCCACCTATAAAGGAGAAGCAGCAGAGTAACTGCACCAATCCCGAGGAACGTGCATGCGATAGCTATCAGGGGCGGGTTCTGCACAGTGCTTAAGATGGTCGAGCTATGATTAAGCTCCTTTTGAAGTGACTCGGAATTCTGCAGAGAGGTAAATGTGCCGGGAACCACAAGATAGCCAGCTAATAGAGCCCAGCTAGCGAAGCTTGCTAAGAAATTATACGCCCAGTGGATATTATTCAGCTCCAAAAGCATATGAATGTACTCCGTATCCACAGTGAAGTTTGTTCCGGTACGCGCTGGAAGGGGTGCATCAGGTTGTGGTGCATCCAAGGCGGCTTGCATTTTCTCAGAAGAAACATAACAAAAACAGATCAAGATGGCCAAAAGTGAACAATATCTGCTTACAATGGGGTCAAAGTCTTCTATTACTGAGGTATATAAATTATAAGCGGTAGGTAGCCTGTAAGGTAGAGTTTGGTAAGTATCGTGTTATAGCATACACAGTCTTAATTGCCTAGCCAATGACGTAAGTTAGTACAGCAAAGGGGCTCAAATAGCAGATTTTGGTTTTTTACAGTTAGTTGGCGCCTAGAAATTACAAAAAAGCTATCCGGTGGAGATTTACTAAGGAAAAAAAATTAGGGCCATAATACCCTCGACATAATGTAGTAGATTACACGTCTTTTTTCAGCGCCCCAATTGTGCCTTTTGTGCAATCGTGCATATAATATTCATCGGTCGAAGACACCAGCTCCCGGACTTGATTTTAAGAAACGGATGCTAGAAAGCGTTAGTTTGCTGGACTTTGATTGGAGATGTTTATTCATCTGACACATACTTTGAGAAGTTGCTCTGTTGTTGCCGAGCATGGAGCACCAGCAAAATCTCCCGCGAGCAGTCTTACAGTCCCACCCGCCTCTTCAGCCTTATCCAGGCGAAGTAGGTTTCGTATCATAGCGCATACCGCCTGCAGATCCTGGGTCTTTCTGCACGGGTTCGACGCACGGATCATACTCTCACCAACATTCCCTAGCCACTGTCAGCCATCGGGAAGTGGTTCTGTTAGCGGGCATACTGACCGATCTTGACATCTCCATTCTCCATGACGAAAATATTTTCCGGACACAGGTCTCCATGGCCAACACCAAGTTCATCATGGATGTAACTCAAGCCGTTAAGAACCTGACAGAAGGTTAATCACTTGCGCCGAACAGGATATCCTAAAGTCTTACCTCATTACAAAGTGTAGCTACTTCAACTTCGCCCAGTTTGAATACCGGCCAAAGTTGGCAAATTTCCTCCAGGGAGATACCCCAGCGCTCGTAAACAAAAAAAACAGAGTTATCGGTTACAAAGGCCTCTTTGAGGTTGACCAGGTTGTGATGGTGAGTGGCCCTCAAATGGCCCACTTTTTTCTCTGTATCGTTTGTTGTAAACTTTTTGACATATGCCACTGGAAGGTTTTCTGTGAATTCAATGGCATTAATCCCACCCCACTGGGGCTCCATCCCAACAAAAAAACGATCGTATGTTTTATATGGGTGGCTATATTGAACAAAACTTGACCCTCTCGCGACTGGCTCTTTCATGCTCTCGGGGAAAGTCTTTGGAAGAGCGGTTTGACGCAAGTTAATTGGAGAAGCAAGGACCTTGGACTCTGCCATCATTGTTTCAATGTAGTTTGATTTAGCAGTCCTTGCCACTTCACGCATGGTATTTATACGCAAGGCAATGCCTCTAGAAAGGGATCAGGCCTATGATTACAAGTCTAGATCGATACGCTAATAGTGAATTTGTCTTTGAGGTCAAGTGTATTACAGTATATGACAAACATGAGTTTGACATGGTCCAGCAGTTTGAGTTTTACCGGCTCCAGTTATCACCGATTTTATGTTCTCATGGTATGGCATTCAAAATCAAAATTTCACCATCCTCGGGTCATATATCGTATCCATGGAAGGGACTTTTTATTTATTTCATTTTATTTTGTTTTTATATATTTTTGATGTCTAGTGGGTGGTGGGGCGTAATCTTTATGTATCCGTATTAAAGAAGACAGGATATTTTACATCTAGGTTAGTGGGTCAAGGAACAAGATATGTTTTCCCTTGAATTTTCGTCGATTCACTTTTCAAGTGAGCAGAATGGTATGTCCCATGCGGGGCATGGGGTAATTTTCCTGAGTGGGTCAAATATTATTGTATCTTTCCTTGGCTCAGGAACAAAGGCTAGATATAATAAATAAATTACAAAAGCGGGCTGTAATTTATATGGTGGGTATTAGAGGTGGGTAAATTACTCTGCAGCAGAGTTTCTACGTAGTAGGTTTTTAAAACATGACGAGCTTTTGTTCAAAATGCCGGCATTGTATTATCCACCCAAATCGTGCCAGTCATAAACTTAATAATAACCGTCATTCTGTAATATCCCAGCCTCCCTGCCCCGAACTGTAATAAATGTAATATGCCATTATCCCGCAGACTTCGGTTATTCAATCAGTCGCTATTATGCTGCGACCGGGCCCTGAACTACTTGACTTGAATGAATTGTGTCATCCCGCAACTTCATTGATTTGCGGCCAACTTCGTACTGCACCGAGGGCGTTTTCCTGCTGTATGCTTTATGAAAGTTAATTTTATTTGTGTATTTTATCTATCAAATCTAGCCTCGGTTTAAATTTCTCAGGCCTTAAGCTTTGTATATCTCAATGTAATTAAAGAGTAATATATTTATGATTAAGTGAGGTAATGTTGACCACGATTGTATATCTTCATATTTCTCACTGGAGACGAACCGCCTTTAATAGCCAGCCTGAGAATTTTTCTCGATATGGACGATACCCAGCACCAAGCCGGCTTTGGTGATCTCCCGCCCGAATTACTGTTGTATATTATCCAATATGCTAAAGAAGGTAGCTCTTTGTTACCACTCTCATCAGCCAATCGAGCACTACGCCAGCTTTGTGCCTCCCACATTTTCAGAAAGCTAAAGGTGGCCTTCTCAATAGCGGGAATGGACCGCCTACTGCATATATCACACTCTAGGATAGCACCGCATGTCCGAGAGATTGTTTATGAGGTTCCCGAGAGAATTGACCCTCGTGAGTACTAGCTACCTTCAATAGATAACTTGCTAATAATGCTCCTAGTTGTCGAAAACTACGACTATTTTCAATCTCAGATCTATACGCCAGCTGAGTATGACCGTGATCAGAACGAATGCTTCTGGACTTTTGGGGGAAAGAAGGTCCCATACTCGAACATCTTTCACTATTTTAGCGCTCGGGCACAGGAACAGCGCCTGGTCCAAGAGAAAGCTCGAGACACCGAGGCCCTTATAACCTCTATTCCCCGTTTTAGTAACCTGGAAACAGTGGAATTGGTCTTCATAGACGGGATTCAATCACCTTTTCGATGGTTTGCGGGTCGCGTCTTGGACGGTATGCACGCCCTTACCGAGCACCTGGTGAAAATGACAGCAGCCATGATGGTCGCCGAGCTGGATGGTGTAACAGTAAGGGCGTTCACGATATCTGGGTTTTACTCTCGACTCGAGCCAGCCGACCCGGTTTTACTAGACTGGGTTGGCCACGCACTCAGGCACGTTGAAGAGCTTAAGGCCATCAATAGCCCTACGATCTTGGAGTTGCTAAGTCGAGTTTCTCTCCCTTCTCTGCAGCGATTCGAGCTGGCAAGCTGCTGGATATCCTTAGAGAATCTCGAGGAATTCGTCCGAAAACACGCGGCTTCCTTGCGTTTTCTTCACCTAGAAGAGACGTGGTTACTCCACGAGAAGATCAACGAGGATGGAATCTTTCTATCAATGGCGAGTGCACAGTCCGTATTCAACAATTTGGAAGTGATTTGGAATATTGGCATCCTTGACGAGCTTACGATCAATCGTCAACCTGGGGGATTGTATGAGGCGCAGGCGCGGGTCTGTTCCTAAAGACCTTCACATGGTTCAATATAATTGCAGCCATTTATTCCGAAATGAACCGTTTTTGAAATCTTTTAATCAGTATCTATTGTGACAACTATTGCCAGGATCCTAACGGTGTTGGTTGCCTGAACCCTCAGGCAGATAACGCTTCGGTGGCTGACTAAGCCAGGCACACAAAGTTTCTTCGAGTGTTGTCATTAGTGTTGTTTCTTCCTCACGCTTAGAATTCAACATATTTCTCACCTACGAGCTTGCTACATAGTTGGAGAATGGTTGTAGCATCTATAAGAGAATCACAATGAAGCTACGCGATTGACCACTTCAGCCTCTTCCTGATTTTGGTAATTCTTGTTCGTTTTTATCTTGTTGACTTGCTCTTTTTGCCTTCCTTCATAGTTCCGTTTTCTAGGCCGAAAATGAAGCGAGCAATACACAAATCAGGTCTGTGATTGAGATGGAAAATCTGCTAGGAGCCTTTTGTGTTTGATCGAGGCGGTTCATCATCGCGGGGTTATCTACAGGTCTGCGTGCCCGAAGGTAAAGATTACCCGTGACCCGAACACTTCCTATTGTGGTTAGGATATTTCTGGCAGCCGGCGCATCCTCAAAACAAACAAACGCCCCTTAAGAAACCTACTTGATTTCCCACCTTTTCAACGGCAATGAGAAATGTCCTCCCAAGAGATACAAGAGCTGCGCCGGCGGCTCGAAGAAGAACGCCGGTTACGAGAAGAAGAGCAGCGACTACGAGAAGAAGAGCAACGGCGACGAGAAGAAGAGCAAAGACGACGTGAGCGAGCCGAACAGTTTCAGATCGAAGCTGAGGAACAACTGAAAATTCAAACCCAAGAAACGACACTCCCCGAATTTCTTGACGCATGTCATGTGGATTTATTTCTCGGCCTGACAATCCAGAAAGACAGAAATTCGTCGACAAAAGGAGACCCCGCGAACGCCGACCGTAAACTCCGCCCGGCCAAGATTCGAGAGTGGACCAGCTTTCCAAACGAACAAAGTTCGGTCTGGGAGGACCTGATGAATACTAAGTTTGTGACAGAACGACATTTTACGCCCCTGATAGCGTTAAAAGAATATGGAAAAGAAGCCCGACAAAGGATGGTTAGTTCAGAGTTGGATTTAGGTTACTTTCAACGGCAGACTGTTGAGTCCCGCGTCGCGACCGTTGTCAAACAGCTATACGCAAATCGCCGTCTGCAACAAACGTTTTGCCTGAATGGAGACATCAGCTTTGAAAACCACGCCAACACCCTGACAGATGAGTCAAACATCGTGGCGGATATGAGCTCTATAAGCCTAACTCAGAGGCAACCACGTCGCTCTGGCCGTTTGGCCGCAAAATCGGGTAGCACTGACCCTTTAGCTCAGCCGCCAGGAAAAAGCTACAAAAATACACAACCAAGAAGCTCTCGCCCTCGAGCCGACCAGTTCTGTGTTTACAACAAGGGTCCCGAGGGGAAAGCTCCGGCTTTTATTATTGAGTATAAAGCGCCTCATAAACTTTCTCTCGCCCATATTAAGGCCGGGCTCCAACCCATGGATCTTGACGAGGTACTCCGCTTGCAAAAAGAAGAAACGCCTGAATCCACCTGCCGTCGAACAATTGCCGCAGTGATCACACAAGCATTTTCTTACATGATTCACGGGGGGCTAGAATATGGCTATGTGTGTACCGGTGAAGCATTTATATTTCTCCGTGTGCTTGATAATGACGCTTCTACTATATACTATTATCTTTCAGTGCCAGAAGAGGATGTTGGGCCAACAACAGGATGGACAGGGCGTCCAAACAGTGACAACCGACTCCACCTGACTGCGTTGGGCCAGGTATTAGCGTTCACTCTTCGCGCTCTGCGGTTTCCAACTCGGGATCTCGCTTGGACGACCTGGGCAACGCGTGGCTTAGACACCTGGGTTATGGTATACGACGACCTACTGGACGAAATATCAGAGAAGGATATCCCTTCTTCGGATTTCAAGCCACCGACACGGAGTAGGAACGAATATTGTCGAGCAACCCCTGTAAAAACCCGATCAAAATCTACTGCTATTGCATCATGTAACTCTTTGCAAAATCCGAGGCCGCCTGATGATGACGCTGGAGATGGCTTTGATCCAGATACGCCTAGTCGACGACCCCGAGAACCCTCCTTTCCTAACCCTTTGTCATCCTCATCAGGGACAGGTGAGGCATTACAGGGTTTTCACTCGAAAGGCAAGTCTCGACAGTACTGCACACAACTGTGTCTCTTGGGCCTGGTCAAGGGAGGAGAATTGGATCGAACTTGTCCTAATGTGTTGGACCACGGAACCAGTCGACACGAACTAAATCGAACAACCCTCATCCATCGACTGAGCCGGCAGCTATCCAACAATAATCTTTTTCGTGATTCGCAGCTGGGATGCGAATCGCTGCACATTCATGGGACCCGTGGAGCTCTCTTTAAAATCACTTTGTGGTCTCACGGATACGTTTTTGTTGGCAAAGGGGTGCCCGCCGAGTTTGTAAAGGGCTCAAAGCACGAGAAGCTCATCTATTCACGCCTTTCTCCAATTCAAGGGACCTCAGTGCCTGTTCTACTTGGCAGCCTACGACTTAGTCGTCCTTTCTCTTATGACGGCATAGCGGAAATTGTTCATTTAACACTGATGGGCTACGCCGGAGGGACCCTTGCAAGTCAGCAGGGTCTCGATCGTTGTGGGATTGTTAGTCAGGCTGAGAAATCCTTACAGGCAATCCACAATCTAGGTGTGCTTCACAGTGATCCGATACCCGGAAACATGGTTTGGAACCAGAAGTTGGGTCAGGTGATGTTCATTGATTTTGAGCGGGCATCGCTGCAAACCCGACGTGTACCACTTGGTCGCATTTCACCTAACAAGAAACGAAAACGGGATATCTGCTTGGAAAGCCCAAATAAGCGACTGACATGTTTTGAGCGCGAGAAGCGACGCATGAGACATGAATTAGGATGATCATATCTTCCAAAACAGTACTTTCTGAATTCGTGACATCACCTGGCTCCCAAGACATTCCATTTGTAGAGTGCTTAGCCATTCCATCTCAACGCCAGTCCACCGGTGCAAGTTGTCTAGAACGATAATAGACAGATAATTGTTATAAACAGCGAAGCCGTTCGAGTTGGCACTAGCGACAGACAGACCTGTGTGCGCACCGCTTTTAACATGTTCAGCTCTTGCAGGAGATAATACCATGTCGCTGAAACAAAGAAATGTCATACTTTGCTCGAGTAACTGGCGTTCAAAATTTGCAGCGTTTCCTCTTATGCCAATAGTTATCATTGCTACCAACGACTCATGCCCCAGCACTGTCTCCCTTTCGGCCCTATTTTTGACGTCAGAACATGCCTGGAATCACTGAAGTAAAAAAAGAATGAATGAAACAATTCGTTTTGCTCAAGGAAGTACGAATAAAAAACGGGTAACGATGCAAATGTGGATAAATCTTCGAGCATAGCGGTCCCCACCGCTGCTGGAGAGGAAGATCTCAGCGCAGCGTTTTACCAGTTCTCGACCGATTTGCTTGTTATCAGCAAGCACGCCATTATAGATAGCTTTGGTCGATTTGGATATGACCCCGACTGTTCAGGCATCTAAATATCCTTGCCTTTCTAATGTTTCAACATCTCCAACCTACCCTTTACGACAGCTAAGCCGGGACACTATGTCACCAGGACAAGATCAAACTACACCACTTCTAAGCACACGTTATGTAAATTAGGGCCGTCTATCTTAAGTTTTTACTGGGAACTGCAAAACCAGCTTCACTGCCTCACACTTTCCTCTTTATTGTGAGCCCCACTGCCAAGGCGCTAGTCAGAAGAATAAGTGCGCATTATAGGGCAATCCGAGCACATAGGCTTGGTGAGCAGCATCAACGGAGTATCTAATTATACAGTAATTATATGAACTGGTATGGCTGAGGATACGTCTGACTCAACAGGTAGAACCGTGGCGATTAGACTTCATGGATTCGCCACTCAATTAGAATCTAGAACCGAGTAGCATGTTCTTGAAGGAAATACGTCTAGATAAATCCGTCTGTCTCCCAGGCCCTTCTTTTGTAAAGATACTTGAAAATATAATGTCAGAAAATGATAATTAAAGGAAATTGATTATTTCCGGAATCCTAAAAAAGAAATCCGACCTGACTGGTGTCCTAAGGCAAGTATGTTGGATTTGGTCGCTGAACAAGAATATCTAGCTTCGGGAGGGAGCCACAAGACTTGTTTCCCGTTTACAGCTATCCATTCACTCTGTGGAGATACCCATGGGTCGATATTCAGTGAATTGGGGATAGGGTTGCCACAGCTGGATTGTATCTTGAATGATCCTAGGTTAGTTTTGAGATAGGAGCTATCTGGCGAAAATTCGAGCTCCGAGATAAAACCCTCAGTGCTCAGGATTCCCTGTAGAGCGCCCGTGGCTGGATCCCAGAGCCGTACTGTTTTATCTGCTGAGCCGGACGCCAGTAGCCGGCCATCAGGTGAGAAAGCCACAGAATGAACCCAGTCTGTATGGCCTTCAAGCGTCTGTTGGAGAGCGCCCGAGGCTGGGTCCCAGAGCCGTACTGTTTTATCTGCTGAGCCGGACGCCAGTAGCCGGCCATCAGGTGAGAAAGCCACAGACTGAACCGAGGATGTATGGCCTTCAAGCGTCTGTTGGAGAGCGCCCGAGGCTGGGTCCCAGAGCCGTACTGTTGTATCTGCTGAGCCGGACGCCAGTAGCCGGCCATCAGGTGAGAAAGCCACAGACCGAACCCAGTCTGTATGGCCTTCAAGTGTCTGTTGAAGAGCGCCCGAGGCTGGGTCCCAGAGCCGTACTGTCCCATCGTTTGAGCCGGACGCCAGTAGCCGGCCATCAGGTGAGAAAGCCACAGACCGAACCGAGGATGTATGGCCTTCAAGTGTCTGTTGAAGAGCGCCCGAGGCTGGGTCCCAGAGCCGTACTGCTTTATCCCTTGAGCCGGACGCCAGTAGCCGGCCATCAGGTGACAAAGCCACCGACTCAACCGAGTCTGTATGGCCTTCGAGCGTCTGCAATTCTGCACTCCAGTTCTCGAAAACTTCTGGGAACTGGCAGATCCAATTAGGAAGTTCTGACTGGAACTTCTCACGGATTATTGCTGTTCGAGGAGAAAATACCAGTCCTGCACAATAGATCTGAAGTGGCGCTTCATCGGCTATCTGGCGATTTTTCAGAACAAATCGCTTTGCATCATATAGAAAATCAGCTAGCCAGTGTGACTTTTTCTGCCAGTTAGCGCTTAATCTTCTGGCTCCTATTCAACATTACTGACCTTTCCTAGTGACTGCAAAGCTGTAATATTGTGAATTATTTCTGAAACCCATCCAAAAAGACTCATCACTTCCACCCAATGCAAGAAATGCGACTCTAGAAAACCTTTTATTAATGTCCAGTTTATAGCGGATGGTTCACTGTTCTCTAAATGGCGTATCCAGTATCGACATGCATATCGAAGTTCAGGTAGAACATTTCTCTCGAGTGCCGCCCTGTCGATCTCATCTCTTTTCACGCCTGGGTGTGAAAGACAGCATATATCTTTCTGTAGTTTCCGGTCCATATACTGAAGACAATCCTTGGCAAGTTGCATGTGGCCTGCCGATTCATGAATCCAGAACTTATCGGATGCTGAATGATCAACCAGAAACTCGCGAAATGAGAGGTGAAGAAGCTGAATGGGGGCATCATTTTCTTTTGGTACTGATACCACAGACTGGAGAGAATTCAATCTGCCTCGGACTTTGGTTTCGTCAAAACAAATGAGCTTGGCCAGGGAGACCGATGAGAGCGGGCTGAGGAGAAGAACAATAGTACCCATGATTCGGTAGAAGTCGGCCATCCAGTCCTCTCGTTCTTTCGGCTTTTTCTGTAACACAATATGCTCTAAGACTGGGAAATAGATATCAGTCAATTTTGAATATTCACTGTCAATCTTCATCCCGTCGCTTGAGCGTGAGGATAAGATAGCTTGGAGTCGGGCATCTGGTAGTTCTCCATCACAATTAATGAACCGACATATTGTCGCGGCGTAGATGAATAGAGGAACAGCCATATTGACTAGGGCCTTAAAGTTCTCATCCCCAGGCCAGTCTTGAGGTAGTTCGTCGTGATCATCTCTTATCCCATTAAGCTTTTTCCGGAGAAAAATTGAGATATCGTCCTCGATAGTCGACCTCTTCACCTGATGGAGAATGATCACGTCCTTGTCGATCGGTCGAAAACCCTTGATGACAGGTGGTTCTGGCCTACTAGTTATAAACACTCGTAGCTGGACATCTTTCAAGTTATTCAACTTAGGCAAAGTTGAGAGAAAGGCCGCGACGTCAGCTGAAACTTGGCACTCATCCAGAGCGTCGATGACGACTACCAGGATCAACGGAGTCCTTAAGCCAAGATCGAGGCTCTTGAGGGGTTTAAAAAGCAGTTCATTAAACTGTTCTTGTGGATTGCGGCTTCCAATATCACGCAAGTCCCTAATTACCTTCTTGACTGGCTGCTGGAGACGAGATAATCTCTCCATCATTTGTTTAGTAAGCGTGGTAAAAAGTCGTCTGGCATCCTCACGGTCTGTTCCGCCCTTCTTAAAAAAGAAGCTGCCACCAAGCAAGCCCTCATCATCTAACCACCGAGCCACCGTCCGTGACACTGTGGATTTTCCTGTTCCTGCCATGCCCTGCAGCCAAAACACAGCTTGCCTATCTGGGTCAGTGGCCCAGCTCTTGATATCCTCAAGAAGTGCAGTTCGAGTCTCTTGCAGACATTCTTGATATTCTTCGCCGGTATATGCGTTATAATGAGCCTCTTCTGCAACCTTAAGCTCAGCAAGGATGATCTTGTCATGGATTTCATTGACTGAGTCCAGCATGCAGTCAATTTTGGTCAGTATTTGATCCGCCTTTTCAAGTAGCTGATTTCCTCTCTCCCTGTGTTCACGCCGGTCAACTATCTGGAGCCATCGGCCCAGATGTGATTCCGCTTCATCAATAGATCCCTGGAGTTTGGAAAGAGAATCTCCAGGCATGCTCTTCCAGATCCAGACAGCACGGCCGCGATCATAAAGTGACTGGACCAGGGCAGCAAATGTTAGAACTGTGATATATATCTGAACAAGAGCTGTCTCAACGTGTTCGTCGGTATTTGGGTCCTTTTGATATTCGTTCTCAACAAAGCTATACCGGGCAATAATGTCCGTAAGGAAAGCGCAAGATTCCAACCAAGTCACTTTCTGACTGCGATAATTTTGCGTCATCTTAAGTTGCTTCTGTTAGTCACATATTTTTTGATGTCTTTGAGGGGAAAATATAAGCATACAGTGAGTCCTAGGGACACGACTGCCCAGACACTATTCGCATGTCCTGTTGGGTCGAATGTCACAGCTGCCTGGATAAAGTCCTGGAAGCTAAGAACAGCCTTGATGATCTTTTGGGCTGGTTCTTTAATCTTGGATTTTTCTTGGTCGATTTCGTATTGGATCTTCACAGTTTCGACTACCCCACTGAGTGCCTTTAAATGACCCACAGTATCGGGATTGATATTCGCATCATCGCAGTCGATCGGTTTATTGCATTTCGGAATCGGTATAGACTTGATAAGTTGTTGCTTCTCTGGCTCGAGGTCATCAAAAGCGCGTTGCCACAGATCCGGTTTCGTAGGAGGGGCAGATGCAGGCTGGATCGAAGAATAATCCACTGATTGATCCCGTTGTCTTGACCGGTCGCACTGGTCCCTGTCTGGCGTGTCGTGTGAGACAGTATCGTGTTGCTCTAGGCCTTGACTTTTGACATCGCGTTGCCTGTCATTTGACTCGTGCGTCTCTTGACAGTGGGTGGGCGGAGCTTCCAGACCCGTTGAAGAGCCTTGGCTGATTTGATCGGGATCACTTACAGTCCCGTGGTCTCGATGCCACAACCTTTTCATTTTGCCCTTGACGCCCCTCAGTTTATCCTTGACATCGTGTCTGGTAGTTTCAGTCCCCATTATGGGCCAGTCAAGATTCGACAGTCAGAGTGAGGTGACGGCACGGCTTTGTCAGTGCTAAGGCTGCCAAAGTATTAATATATATACCCGACTGCTGAGTTGGCACGGTACGGCTGAGAAGTGGGACGTGCTCTAGGCATCTGATCCATTAAATTCCTAGCTGAAATTCCGAGCCGATCCAATTGGCTCAACAGCGCAGGAGTTGATTCTTAGCGCTAGACTATCGGTCTTGGCGTGGATAAACGCGTTGGCTTCAGGAGGATAGGGTGGTATCCCCGCAGCGTGGCCCCTGTCCGGTTTCCCATTTTCAGCGGGATCAGCGACACCAGATTCTACCCGCATATTGACAGGATTGTATTTGATGTCTCGAGTCTTTCAAGGATCAACTGATGCTGGAATATTTGAGGACTTTATTGAACAGCTTCCCCGGTCGATGGCCAGAGCCGAATCAGTTCTTATTATGGACAATGCGTCTTTCCATCATACTGACCGAGTAGCTGAGCTATGCTCAAATGCCGGAGTGAAGTTGTTGTACTTACCACCGTATTCTCCTGATTTAAACCTGATTGAAGAATTCTTTGCAGAACTCAAGGCGTTCGTGAGACGAAATTGGCAGAAACATGCAAATCGGAATTTTAGGGATTTCCTAGAATGGAGCTTGGACGTTGTGGGGTCAAGAAAACAGAGTGCACGGGTCATTTTTGACATGCAAACATTGATGTTGAGGATGAACAGATATAAATGGGTTATATATCGCAGAGTATATACTCCATGCAGCCTTATGGGTTAATGTGATGTTCGTGTTCATTATGTACCAGGCTTTCTATTAAGCGGAGGAGTTGTACTTAACGATATTTATAGTATGGAATACTGTAACGTGGGATAAGGTTTATTGATCTCGCGTCCCATTGTATGAACTAAAGCGTTACTAATGTTATGGCAAAGAGCGCTTCTGGCATAATTTATCAAGGTCATTTTGTATGCACCCATTTCTCAGACTAGCTCCTTGGCAGTGGGGCCCCAAATAAAGAAAAGAGTTCAAGACGGTGAAGATGGTTTTGCAGTCCTCAAACAGTATAGCGTATGATGTTTGACAAGATAGCAAGGGACTGAAGGCACCAAGGTTCGACCCCCTCCTGGAGAAAGCGATGCTAAATACCTCTGGATTAGCTTAAACTTTTTTCTTGAGTTCAGGGCATCTAACTTTGAGCAACTCATCCACTGTTGCAGTTGACGAGATGTTCATAAAGCTCTCAGCTTCAAGGTGGGGTCCAGATAGATCCTGTTCTAAGCAATCGAGCCTCAATAGCGTAGCTGCGATCTGGCCCACGGCGCGGTTGTCCATACTTCTGTCTTCGATATCTCGGCCGCGGACCATGCCATCTCCAACGTCGGCTTTCCAAGTTCAAGGTTAGCTTGGGTTCATATTGTATCACAATACAGTATCTCTTACTGATCTTCACTTGTCCTCTATCTGTTAGGATGATTGTACTGCACGATAGATTTCCATGTGCGATGCCGACTTCATTATGTATGTATTTGAGCCCTTTGAGAAGCTAGTCCAATGTGAGCAAACATTCAAGATTAGAAAGGAAAAGGCAGGGCAAAAGGTACAGACCTCCCGGCAGATACACGCAACTGCACCTGCATCCTTGAAGAATACGTTGGACGCTCGACGAATCTCCTCCAATGAGATACCGTAGCTGTCATATGCAATGACTATCGATCTATGGCCGAGGTAGGCTTCTTCCAGGTTGACTAAATTTTCGTGAGATGTTTTAACAATCTGGTCTGGACGTATCTGGAGTATTTCCAACGGATAGGTTTTGAAAAAAGACACTGGGTACATGTGGACAGCTGCAAGAGCCAACGAGTTCAGGCCACTGGACACCGGTAGAATGGGAAGATACAGCCTTTTTGTAACAGGAGGGAATCTTTGCTTCCTGAATGCCACAGGTAGTCCTGCATTATCAGGAGCGCTCCAAACGGCCCGAAGAGGAAGGGTGGTCTCCAAGCTCTGTTCGTGAAGTGAACCTTTATCTTCAGGTTTGTTCTTCAGCACTGACGGGATAATTGTCTGACGTCCGGCTTCGAGCATCTTTATTAACAGAGGTTATAAACTGCGAGATACACAAGGACCGTCTTTCAGTTAGGAGAGCCTTATATATAAGAGAAGATAGTACAGACATCACGCAAGCGCTATATTGGAGGGCGCCTTCTGGCCTTGCCTCCTAATATTTTAAGCCCTCCAACAGAGCAACGCCTATCAATTAGAAAATGAGTATTACCAGTTCACGTGATTAGTGCGATAAATAGAATTTAATACCAAGAATGACGCTATGATAGCCCAGCCTCTCCTTGCTATGTCTAATTAATTCACTTAATCGATTCGGGTAAGATAAAGAAGGACTAGAGATGCAGGATTTGGTAGCCAAGTCAAAAAAGAAAATTACATACATACAGCTAACGCTATTAGAAAGGAGTAGCGAGCCTCTCGACTCGTAATAATCAGGCGGAGATTCATAGTGCCTACTGTAATGATAAAAAACACACTCCAGGTAATGTTACAAATTCCCACCTGGAATTGCCGATCGACAATTAGTGGAGATTTTGTGACATTACCTGGAGTGTGCTAAAGACCAAATCTCCTGGCCTTACGAGAAAGGATTAAGCTAAAGTCAATGCCAACAGGTCGTATTAAATTACAGCCTTCAGATGAAGTGGGGTGTATTTTTGAGAGGTGGGCTAAATATATTACATGCATTCAGTTTGGCTATTCCTTATATCTTACGCTGAGTACTGGTTGCATTAGTAGATTTATTTAGTTTAACGCCCTCTCGTACTAGTCATCAATGACATAGGCCGAGCAGGTTTTTTCTTAATTTATCAGGCAGGAAGTAACAATGTAACATTGTCAGTCGTAGTAAATTATGTATCGTAATTTTTTCCTAGGCCGAAAGAATGTCACGGCTATTAAAAGCGTAGTGAATGTTCCGGCCTAGACCCAACTACACTCCGTTAACGAGAAGGCCCTCCGAGAGAGCTATTCGTTTCCCTTCAATTTGCTGATCCAGACTACATCGTTGAAGATATTTGCTCATGGATGTGCCCAAACATTCGAAGAATCCCACCAATCGCCAGACCCTACTACCCTTATCCCTGACCAAGCCTGATGAATACAGATATGATGGGTTAGAAAAATTGGAGACTTCGATGCCACCAGACAAAGAAGATGGAAAAGGAGATACCTCTCACAAGCTGCAGAAAATAAACGAGGTCCCATCTCGGACGCCTAATAAACTAGTTCCAAAAAATACTCGGTTTCCTATTGTTCCGCATTACAAAGAATTGACCTCACCATTAGAGGAATTATGGCAGAGATACCATCAACTTTTTGTGTCAAACCAAGCAGGTCCCGGGATTTTCGCCCATAGTAACACTGTTGACCACAGGCTTGTCGTGATCAAAGAACACAAAACTCGAGTGAGCTCTACACAGCGTCGTCAGCTTACACAGGCTCTAGAGGATAATCCTGTCAATGTTGTTTGCCTTCTCGATGTATTTATTGGACCGGAAACAGTGCATCCAGTCTATGAGCTGCTCGAGGTCTCGTTATACCAGGTACGAGCGACCAGCCGACAGGTGATTACCGAGATTGATCTTGCAATTATTGGTAAAGAGGTAAATAATATTCTGTTAAGCTGAGCAAGTGAGTACACTAATCCTTATTCCAGGTTTTGCAAGGGCTCCAGTACATCCACGATAGGCTGGGAATAACCTATGGGCAGTTGAATGTTAAGAATGTTCTTCTCTCATTATTTACCTGTAATTTGAAACTAGGTATGAATCAAGATTGGACCTAAGGAAGACAAGGACTAAAATATCTAAGCCAACATAGCAGAGTCGGTGTTTGGCTCTAGAGCTACAGGATTTGCAGATGACGTTCGGGGGGTTGGTACATTGCTCGTGAATATAAAAGAGCCGGCAACTCATGCGCGGGATCCGGGCGGTCTACAGCTCCAACATCGCGATGTCAGCGAACTCTGCCGCAATTTTATAAAGATAACGGACAGAGCATCAATCCAACAACTGCTTGAGGTAACGCGTTCATTTCTTCTTTGGATGATTCAAGCTGATGGTTGCAGGATGACTTCCTTCTCAAATCACCTGGCGTTGGACGCCTCCGGATCTTTGCTTGTCGGGCGATGGAATATGGGTCAAGAATGCGAGGCTAGAATAAATTGCTGTATCGTAGCGCTTTGACAAACTTCTAAATCGGACAGTACCTTGTTCCTCTAGCGTTTTGCCGGATTTTGCAACCTGTTTTGGAGCCATGACCGGTCATATGCCGTGTGATTCACCACCATTAGAGCTCTCGATCCACCAAGGGCATAATCCACGGGCGGGGGACGCAGGTGGTTACCAGTCCTCTGTTTCAGCACTGACCAGGTCAGAGGCACCATGGTGCGGGGCCAATGTCCGAGAAAACTATACCCGTGGCTTGGGAGTTAGATCTACAGGTAGAAGCCCAATGGCCTAAGGCCTAAGGCCTCATCAGTCGTTAAACTACGTGTGGAAGACACTACTGGACTACTGACCGCGTTCTTAGCCACGGTAGATTTTGCTCTATAACATGCAGCCTATTATAGCTCGTCGTCTGTTGTTACTCGGATTTCAATCCCTTGTCCAATAATTTTGCGACAGAGGCTATCAGCTGCCGGATCACATGGAGTTCCCTCCAAGACTCATAAGAACGGTATAGATATACTGTGACGGCAGTCCTTTCGTGACGGCAGTCCTTTCCTGACGGCAGTCCTTTCGTGACGGCAGTCCTTTCCTGACCGCAGTCCTTTCCTGACCGCAGTCCTTTCGTGACCGCAGTCCTTTCGTGACGGCAGTCCTTTCGTGACGGCAGTCCTCTCCTGACGGCAGTCCTTTCCTGACGGCAGTCCTTTCGTGACCGCAGTCCTTTCGTGACGGCAGTCCTCTCCTGACCGCAGTCCTTTCGTGACCGCAGTCCTTTCGTGACCGCAGTCCTTTCGTGACCGCAGTCCTCTCCTGACCGCAGTCCTCTCGTGACCGCAGTCCTTTCGTGACCGCAGTCCTCTCCTGACCGCAGTCCTCTCCTGACCGCAGTCCTCTCCTGACCGCAGTCCTCTCCTGACCGCAGTCCTTTCGTGACCGCAGTCCTTTCGTGACCGCAGTCCTCTAGTGACCGCAGCCCTTTGGTATACTATTCATATTAATTGTAAGTTTTTATGAGAACTCTGTGACGTCCGAAGCAAACGTCCTATATCAGGGTATTTGTATAGTTTGCACTGTTTGGTTCGTTTGTCCTACACAGTGGGGTTTTTTATAGCTTCATGCAGTAAATCGCTGTATTCTTCTTCTTTCCTCAACCTAGTGTTTCGTAACTAGCCTACAATAAGATCATTTCTTCTTTCTGAGGTTGTCACAAACTCGACCTAGTAAATTTCTGGCTCTTCAGGAGATGATCTTTTACCACGTCTCTTTCTTCCCGTCGAACTGTCCTGATCTTCCAGGTTCCCTTCTTGATGAATTTGCTTCTGATTAATTCGCTTTTGATGAATCCGTTGTTGATGCATTCGCTGTTCATAAATAAGCTCTCCTGTCTGGCTGTCAAATGAACAGACGTATTCCCGAAGGTTTGTATTAGTCAATTGTTCGTGCTCCAGCTCTTTGTAGACAAGTAGCAAGTTTGTCTGATGAATATTTTCGATGACTTCCTCCCAATTAAGCAACCCTCTTCGGAAATCCGCCAGAGAATAATCGTTTGCGACAGCAAGTACAAACTCCTTAAGGGATGAGTCGAGATTGGGATCATTTAGTGCGAATTTGATATATTGCCGTGACTTGAACAAGTAAAAAACAGCCAGTGACATATTGTTGGATTGGAACCAAGCCTCCAAGATATCATTCGCACTACGGTTATGCGACATATCAGTTAGTTGATTCAATGGCGCAATAGTCTCATCCTCGAAGCCCGCTGCTTTCGGAGGGCAAACGATGACTTCATGGTCCGTATGGAGGCCCCTTTGGAGTTGTACGCTAGGCGTCTCCTCGAGGTCGACAGAAGCATTCATCTGCAACTGGAGATCTGAGGCCACTTCCGCAGGGGGATCATTGTAGCCTTCGTTCGAGGGTGTTCCTGGTGGATAGATGTCAAAGTCCACGGGTGATGAAGCCATCCATGACGTGGAGCACTCCACTGGGACTATGTCTTCGCCTAGAAAGCTAAATATCACATCCCGCCTGATAGCAAAGGAGGAAGGAAATTCTCCCATTGGTTGATCGGAGCTATATATATACGGAAGAAACAGCGATTTGCGATCTTTTTGGTGGGATTCAAAAGCTGGCAGACCGCATCGCTTTAAGGCTTTGGCCGTCTGTTCTGCAAAGGGTGGGATCGTTATCGTGTAGTCTCTCCTTTCCTGGAGCCTGTTTAGATGGCCAATGATGTTGCGGGATGCAGTGCTTTCCCAATGAGTGGGAAAGTCATAGATGTCCGCAGGACGTCGACCTTGCAAGTACGCTTTCACGCTAGGTTGCAAGGATGTGTTACCGCAAAGAGAATCAATTGACGCCGACTCAAATCCTAGCCGCCTGGCCAAGAGACCAAGCCGGTAGTTAGATTCCCGTTGAGTTGGTCTAAAGACTTGAGCCTCAGTTGTAGGCGACTTGTGCCCGGCAAGTTTGGTGTTAGTAAGATTCTCTACATGCCGGATAACAAAACACCAGAGTTGCACCCATGCCGAATTCGACCTTTGCGAGTGCAGCTCGTGCTCGTGGGACACTCGGGTATTCATAGATTCGATAACACCCTCAGCAACCTGAACAGGCCAATCTACCCCACTGGGGTTAAACCGTGACATGATCGCATGTCGCAAGTCTCTATGCTTGCCTGGGATCAATCTCTTCAGGGCAGCTGAGCACGGATGCCAGAGCAATGTGTCCTGGATCAAAGAATGCAGGGTTAAAATCCTCCCTGAGGTGCTAGACAAGGCTCTCGCAACTGATTCGCGACCTGACACACTTATCAGTGATGGGAAAAGGATGTTGTCGTCCATCAATCGAGCTATTTGAGAGCAGTCCATACTCGATTGTCGAGGCATCAGATTCTCTATTAATCTTGTTGACTGGCCATCAACAGCCTCGGGGAATTTCCCACATGAACTCGACCATATCATATATATACGGTCCAAGTAATGTATGATCTCCTGCGACTTGGTATAAGCGGAAGGAAATTGGTAATTGGGTATTGTACTAACATTTGGACAGTTGATCTGTAAAATCCGTCGGATAAATGTAAAGCAAAAGTTTACCCAAAGTCCTGGGAAAGTAATAAGTCGATCGATGCTTTGCATAATGCCCTTGTAATGTTGTTCCAAGCTATTGATGTCTTTTCGGGAGCGAGCAGATATCAAGGATTGCCAGAAAGAGGCATCATTATGACCAGCCAGTTCAAAGTGTCTCCAATTGCGGAAGACATCCCCTGGGGCGAACTCTGGGTCTCGATACATACATATACGACGTCGGAGATTGTCTGGAAGGTCTCGTATGACTTAGCTCAAATAGTCTGACTGCGATCATGACAGACTTACCTTCGGAGTATAGAGCAACTGACCACCAACGATCGCCGGGCAAAAGAGAGCGCTTGGCGGCTTCCACGCGATGCTTTCCAAATAAACATAGGATCTGAATGTCTTTCGGGAGAGTAAGCCACGGCAAATTGGCGTCATCCTTCAGAGTACCTAAACTCAAGTCGGATTGGGCGATAATCTGTTCTAGGAGGTCATCGGCTATCACAGCTGCAATAAAATTCCTTGGCTCCTCGCGAGCGCAACCATCAGTTTCGAATTTTTCTTGCAGGACTGTAAAATGTGTAGGATTCAATATCCTTTTCCCAAAATGTGAATACTCGAATTGAAGGGACCTCAATTCAATTCTTACATATCCACGGAAGAAGTTTGACGATTCTTCTGCCATGATTAAATGAAAAATGTCCTAAGATAACAAGTTTTCCTGTGTGTGGCGGGATAATTGTTCGCTCAGACTCTTATGAGCAAGAATCTTCGCACTGTAGAACAGCATAAGACTAGTGATGTAAGTATCAACATGCCCGGGCCGTACTGTGCCTAACTTAGGCACCACCTATTTGTAAGACGATTTGCGTCAATTAACTATACCTTAAGGGGCTCTTTCTGAGTAGTAGCAAATCAGTAGCAAATCATTCCGTAATAATATTTGTCAACTTATACTGGTTGATGACTTGGATTATTGTTATCATGTCAATATTCGTGCCGCCCCATCACCTTATGCTAGTATACGGTAACTCCTAGGTAGATAGAACGCGTGCTCTGTCCATCGTGTATAGTATTCTAGGTTCGGAATGTCTGTTATGCCAAATTTGATAAAAGATATGGATGGCCTAGCTTAGAACCGGCTGTAATATACCTTTGGATTGCCAACGAAAAATAAATTAATCAAATTTAACCGTACAATGATGCGACCGTAATAAAAATTACACCGCCATCCACCAGTATCCTAAAATATAGTGTATTAAAAGAAAATTACGGGTCGTCAGAATACTAAATGTCTGCTAATTCTTGCTAAAGACTGTCTAAGGCTAAATTGTAGATTACCGCTAGGACAAGAATTATTATATCGGATTTGTCGCTGTTTTTAATGGAATCCCTGTGTATTACCAGGTAAGATACACACCTGAAACTCAACTTCTACCGTAATTTATCCAATTTTTATACAATGGGCTAGGAAACTGTGACAAACAAGAACTCCAAGAACCCACTATATAGAGCGATGCGCATACCAAGTCTGTTTGGTATTCTAGTCTTAGTTAGCTCAGTGGGCAACTGTCCCACCTGTGGGCCTGAACTAGACGGTATCAGGAGGTGGAAGCGCGCCCACTGTGGAGCCCGTGACAAAAACCAGAGTCTCTCCTGGAGTAATGAGAGCGCAGATCTGAATTATTGCGTAATGCTTTTTATTTAAGAGTATGACCAGGTGAGAGGATTTCATTCCTTACGCTATAACCTACTGGTCAAATTACGTTCAACTTCATCTGGCCTTTAAAGTATTGGATACACCTAATTTTTGGACGTATACTATGACCTGATCTAAGTGTTAGTAGAATAGCTAGGAATAATTACGTTAAATTACCCTGACTCCATCCGCTGCGTAAGTATCGTGCTTTCAGGGATCACAACCTAGGTACTATTGATTCCAAATTCCTGTAACCACACTATACGGACTGACATAATAACCGACTTTTATTTCAGAGATATAAATATTAAATTTAATATAGTTCACTTTCTGTGTATCTTAAGCCCGAACTCAAGCATAAGACCAGGTCGATATCCCAAAGATAGGAACATACAGCACAGTCAGTACACTTTTATCGTCCTCCTAAACGAAGCGGAATTATCAGTATAATCACTTCAGTAAGGACCATCGTTTTTGTCACTGGCTCCGCAGTGGGTGCGCTTCCACCACCTAACACTAGTTCAGGCCCACAGGTGGGACGGTCACCCACTGAGCCACCTAAAAGTCTAGCCAGTTCTTTCGTCACAGTTTTATCAACAAACTAGTTCTCTCTGGTATGGTTGATAGTGATCAGTAGTCAAATTGAGCTAATGTCCTTTGTAGCACCGAGTTTTACCCAATTGTTTCTATGTCGGCTGTTGCACATACCCTGGTTACGGCTCCCCCGGTATTTGAAGAAGACCAGCAATGTTTAACTGGACATGGAAAATGCGATGGAAATTTAACTTCCATCACGTATTACACCGGTGTAACAGACTTTTCCTGGACCGGTATTACTGTCATTGAACCATCCACTATCTCTGATGTTCCGGCCTTTTTACCGAAAGCCTCTCAACTAGAAAGTCAGGGCCACTTAGCTAGCCCGCATACCTACACGGCGATATTGATATATGCATGGTTAATGATCTTTATTAGGTAGTGATTTGGCCAGAAGTTTATAGGGCAAGGTCTCTTCAAATGAATAATGCCGGGATAATATTTCTTGCTTCAAGTAGGCCTCGTAAGGCACTCGGAAGGAATGTCGATCAGTTATAGCCCATAGGCATCGCTGGTATTTCAGCTTTAAGTCCCTGTAAGAATCGGCTGATCTGGCTGACCCCATCGGACCACTGGCACATCCGGCCTTGGTAATATTCTGCTATTGCCCTCCAATTCTCGTTTTCTTTCTGCCACATCTCAATACTAGCATTAGCTGTTATCAGATTCTCCTCCAGCCTAGAAATCTCTGTCTTCATCTCCTCTCTCTCCTGGGTACACTGCTCTAAATCGTTATTGGCCTTTTCTAGTTCCTCGGCAAGAACTGAATTCTCCGAGGATAAAGCGATCAATTGATCTTTCGAGGGTTGAGCCGCGGAGTGCTACCATAGAGTCAGTAGCTGAGTAGGGTAAAATTCGTGAGTTAGACTAGGAAACAAACGCTTTCGGATGCATGGACGGCCCAGAATGAACGACCCACTCCCTCGATCAACATCGAGAGGCCACTCACAGAGTGCCCACTCAAATGTCTCTCAAAAAGCTTCTCGATCTGCGTATTCTCTACATGCCACGCATACTCTGTATCTCCTTCAGGTCTCAGGCGAACTTGCGATGGCATGACGTGAATCCCTAGAGTCTCATCTGAGGTGCATCAGTCTCAGCCGTGAGCCTTTGTCATTATGATATCTTACGGATGTGTTTCGCCAGCTGAGTACGGCAAGCAATTCTTAAATCAGTTCTTTTTTGAATACCGAGCACTGCTTTGTTCGAAGCCTCAGGGTACATTGTGGATTAGGACAAATGTGAGTGTGACAGTTCCAAGCCCGCAAATTTAGCATTGACTCGCAATGCAGTAGAGCTTGTTATATATCTTTGAACACTGCCGCATGACGGACCCAGCTTTGACCAAGCCGGCTGCGTCATTGCTGTACACGATTGTAATTTACGGTGTAATAAAGGACAGCCAATCTCTTTTTTCCTGCCAAGGCTGAAATTCCAACTCGAAGAGCTCCACATCATCTTTTACGTTAGCCCTCACTAAACGCTGTATTTTTACGCGGACCCTCCGTTGGGCGGAGACTTGACCCGGCTCTGTTAGCGCGCCATTCAGATTGATTGTCCAGGGAGTAAATTACCAGATACCAGTATCTTCCCTGCTCGATCGTGCTTCTCTTGGGACAGTACCTGCTCCCAATCCACCTCGCCGCTGTAGATGGTAATCAAATCATGGTGACCAAATTTCCGGACTTCCTGATCCTTGCTCAGTGGATCATACACCGAGACCTTTAGCATCTATATTCCGTAGGCATCAAGTTAGACATCGTAACCGTACCCGGAACGAGGAACTAGGCAATGATCACTTACGTATCCATCATCTAGCTTGAGCAAGTGTTGGAGCCAGTCCCTGGCGCATTCGTAATCTCCAGTGCGGTCAAGCTGCCAGACGAGGTAGATCCTCTGCGTGCGAATACCCGCCAATCGACGCCTCTGCACCAGTTCCTTCATGTATGGCAGCTGAGCGGCGATGCCGATCCCAGTAGTGACCATGAAGATGTGGCCGTAGTCACCTAGGTCCCGAGTGGCACCGCACCGGTGGACTGCAGATGGACCGAACGGCCCGTCAATCCACGCCCAGTATTCGCGGTCGGGCTCTAGGCACATGAGAGCTTTCCGCGTGAACCCCGTTCGAGCGCGAAAGAGCAGGAACACCCGGTCTGCTTCGCCATTCTGGTTTTCCTCCCACCAGGTAATGCTAAACGGGTGAGCCTGGAAGAAATAGAAAAGACCAACAGCTGGTACGCCCAGGGTGATTCGCTCGCCGGCTCGCACTGTCCACGGTCGTGGGAGACGCAATTCCGCACGTACTATATCTTCAGTAAAGGGTGTGATGCTCACCCGCAAAGCGCGCCTCCCGAATACCACGTTTCGGAAAAGGACGCGAAGTACCTGAAGCACCCCAGTCACAGAGAATGTGACAAGACATACCAGGATGAATCTGCGCGCCGTTTCCGCAGCCAGCTGGATATGTTTCCACAGCAGGTAGAGTGCTAGAAAAGCGCATACAAGGTGGGTTACCAGGAAAAGCTCGTACACTCGGCGCTTCACCAGCGGCAGGATCAAGAGCGAGATTAACATGCAGCCAGCCTAGACACGATAGAAAGCATTAGCCGACGCCCTGGTACAGCAGCTGAACATTGGAGTGACTTGCGAGGAGTCCATAATATTGGGCATCATCTGCCGTCGTAAACTGAGTCTTCTGACAAGCAAGGGCAACATGCACGGCGGCTTGGACGGCGGCCATAAATCCCGCGATGCGGTGAATCATGCTGTAGGTCTCTCGTGATATGCCCAGTAGATACGCGCCGAACTCGCGGCCACCGGACAAAAACAGTAGGCACAGGTTAATTAAAGACAGGTGGGCAGCACGTGTGGCACGCTGCTGCAAGTTATGTAGCCCTGCTACGTTGCAAACAACGGTACCGACAACATAAATGAGGAAGCCGATCGTCTGGAGCGGTGAAAGCGTTGCCAGACCAATAATTCGGGGATTGAATCTTGGGTAGACTAGGTATTGTAGGTAGATATGATAGATACTGGCAGATCCCAGCAACGAGAACCGTTGAAATAGAAAAAAGAACAACCTCCGGTACAGGAAGAGAGTCAGTAGGAGCAGAACAAGACTTGCAAAAGTGGCAAGGTATATGAGCTCCGTCAACTCCATATCGGTTTGAAGAACTCTTGAACGCATGGTGTATGCCGGATAAGTGGCCAGAAAGAGGGAAGCACAGATATCTTATATACTCTGATCAGAAAGTGAACTCTTATCGTAGTAACGTTTTAGCTCCAGCATCCAAGCCTGTCCCTGATAGTCTACGACAGCTGAGCATTGTCACCGTACCAATCAGTGGCGTCCCCACTCCATATGTAAGACTCATGGTCCTTTCCCTCCTGATCATCTACCCCTTGTTCTACCGCTCTTTGCTTCCCTTCGTTCTCTTCGCCGTCCGCACTCTCCTCTTCCTGCAGGTTTCCATCCTTGCCCTGACTATCTTCTTGCGAGCCTTCGGAATCACCAGAGCCAAAGACTTGCTCTTGCGTTGGGTTGGCTTCCAGAGCAGGGGGGCCTTTGGCTACCTCAGAGATATAGACCAGCAGCTGGATAAGCTCCTTCCGCTCTTCCCCCGTGGCACGCGTCAAAATTTCCTGCGCGCTGTACAGTCTCTGTAACGATCGATTAAGGGAACCCTGGACAGACCAAACACTTAACCACTAAACAAGCCTTCTATTTAGAAATAACTTACCAGGGATCGGTCATCTGGTGGCCATAACGGATCTTCCACGGAGTTGAATGTGACAATACCATTGCTACTTTCCACAAGGAAGTAGGCCCGGCAATCGTAGAGGAGGGAGAGTTCCAAAACCTGCTCCACGATACCGTTGACCCTTTCCGTAAAACCAGCCATGCTGTAACTTTCAGCAATGCTAGTAGTCGACGCCGCCAGTTGAGTCGCCGGCGAAGATGTAGAATGATAGACTGGTTCAACAATATTCTGAATTGGAAGGACAAAACGTTTAAATACAGACTCGAAACTAACCCCACCAGTCCGTATGCCTAGCGAATTTGACCAAGGTGACCCACCGTCACGTAACAAGTTTCCTATATCGCAATTGTAGGCTGGTAAATTACAGGCAAGAATCGCTGATCTAATGATACTGGCAGAGTGGCGTGACACCTCGGCCGAGTACCTGCTCTAATCGACAGTACTACCAAAGTTTAGCTATCAGATTAGCGTCTCACTGGTCGTGGATCTCCCCCACAACACAAAGACGCTTAGTTCCAAGCTCCGCTGGCGACGACACAGATGGACTTCTACACGTCTCGATCTGTAAGCGGCCCTCCCAACTGTCACATGCCGCGCATGGAGCTGCAGTGGGTCGATCATGACTCGGTTGCCCAAACGATTCATGCAAGTTCTTGACCTCTGCGAATGACCACAGGCTAGCCGGAAATCCGCTGATCTTCCACCGTTCCTGTCGGCCTGTCCGAATGTAGATATTCAGGGGCTCTTTGGGATGATGGACGAAAACTGAGACAGATTTGACATAGCGCCCACATTGAGAACAAATGCCCGTCGGTCCTCCGAACTGGCCGAGAAAGCCGGTATCGGTCACAAAATCGACATCGTTAGGGCAAAGTCTATCGAGGGCTTCCAAAATATGTCTGGCTGGGCCTTTGCAGCGGATTGTGCCACGGTACCAACCTGGCGAAGAATGCCGAGGCTGCATCAAGGAACTATCCAATTCAAAATAGAAACGGGCTACTAGAAGGGCCGTCGCCGCCTCCTTGGCCTTTCTGGCCGCCCCAACTTGGGTGGTGACCAAATTTCGGTAACTGTCCATCGCACTGACGTCATCAATAGTGCATGGGATGTCGTGCAGCTCAACGTTCAGCCGCAGGTGGTCTTCTTTCGTACCATCCTCAAGCTCGCTTTGGAGTTCCAGCCATTTCGGCTCAGTGTCAAGATTAGACATTAAGGCATCATATCCCCTGCGGAGAAAACCGTCGCGGAACACATGACGGAAATGAGGCGATCGGAAACCGGCGCTTTCGGTCTTTCCGGTGCCTAGAGAGATTAACCTTCCAACTCCAGGCCTAGACGGCCAGACGCGGCGACTGACACGCCTGGCAATACCAGCCGCAAAATTATCCTTTAGCCCTCCATCCTGGAATGAGCCGATAGCCCGGATATCCGCGGGCGAAAAATAACTGTCAAAACCATCAGCAAACTGAGTAAATTCCGACGGCCGTCAACGGCCGAAATACGTCTCCTAGCCACCACTTCTTCATTTCAAACGCGTAAAGCTAAAGACCTGGGGCTGGAAAGGGCATGAGAGGTCCAGATGGATCTTTCTCAAGGGGACTTACAATGGTGCCGCGGCAGTAGCTCTCGCTCTTATCGGAGTTAGCAAATCGCCGAAACAGCAAAGGCTAATTGACTCACACTTCCCATATCAAGGGTTCACCCTGGGTGTTTTCGGCGCGGAATAACTCGTGCTCTACTTTCACTGCGAGTCAGTGACGTAGAAACACCCTCACATGTTTTGTTTCTAAACAACATTTCTGTGATAACAGTAGCTAAGGAAAAGCGAGGCACGGGAATGGATTGGCTGACCGTGTTCTCCAGCAGATCGGTCTGCAGCATTAAAATTCCCAAATACAAAGGACCTAGTCTCCTTCGCAATACTGGTTGCGATAACACCGAATTTCGATCTTGAATGTAACCCTGACTCGGTCCCCACCACATCAAAGATACGATGTGCCTCTCCGAATGCCTCTCGGAGACTGGAGTCGAAAACGCGCGGGTCGTAGCAACTGTCGTGGAGGAGCCATGAAACCCACTGGAATATACCCCCAAGTAGAGAGTCTCGGCCCAGGATAAGGCGGAGCAATTTGGAGAGCGACATCCGCCGTCGTTCGCGGAAGATGCGCCGCGCAAGACGATCAAACACCTGGGAGCAGGTCGCGACATCCCATCCCATACCTGCCAGACCTAGGACAATCAAACCGCCTGCCGAGTCGTTAGTACTTAGGAGTCGATCTTATCCGAGGACAGAAAATTGGGGAATGAACTCACCGGAGCTAGACCCCACCGACAAATCCACAAGGTCCCGTATAGTGCACTGGGGTCCAAGGTATTCCTGGATCAATAGGAGATATTCCAACGGGATTCCCCCTCGGACCCCTCCGCCGTCAATGGCTAGAATGGTGGGGTTCATCGTGGGGGGCAGGACGTCGATGGTCATGGTACCACCGCCAAGGCAGATTAGGCAATTCGAGACCGTGAATTGATATTCAGCATCAGGCGCCGGCCGACCGAATAACTGCGCACATTGGTCGCAAAGCGCATGGTGGCAAGCCTGGGCGTGTTGTGCGCTGCGGACAAGGCAGTAAAGGCAGATCTTGTCTGATTGCACACGTCCTAACTCATGGCTGATCGCTAGTAGATGGTCCCGACGGTGATCCACGGTTCGCCATCCGTGGGCGACCACTTGACGGAACTGGCTAACAAACTCTAGCTCCACTTGCCCCGTTAAACCACCAACTCGTCGACTGGATTTTGGATCATCGTAATCTCGGATCCCACGGATGAGAGAAGATCGATAGAGGGCTCGAAAGACGGCTCGCGGCTCCAGCACTAGACAGTAATTAGAATCCTACTACTGGAAGCGGAGGATTTCCCGAGGCAAAACTCGGTCAAATAAACAACTCACTGATTGCACCTGGTAGATAATGATCCATCAACAGCGCAGAAGCGGTAGATGAGACCAGAGTGTCTAGGCTACATCCTGCGCGTTTTCCTATGTCCAGATAGTGGGAAACATGGTCCCCCAATGCCTGTGAGACCGGGTTTCCTTCACGCGTCGCCTTGATGAAGTCGAAAGAGTCGTCTTTGTCTAGCGCCAGGCGCGTAGTTGCCAAATCAAAGAGCCCCTGGATATGCAAGGCGCTAAAAAGTGCCCCACAACCGCGTCGAGCCCTCCGCACGATCTCGAGCCCCCTTTTGATCGTCGCACGGAGCTGATCACGGATACCAACGTCGCTAAAACGGTCGATCGAGACGATTTGCACGCCGGAGAAAGATCGGGACAGAGATTCGCAGCCTTTGGCGTGTAATATTCGGTTAAAATCCTCTTCCGCCTGTCGGATGGCACGACCCGGACCGCTGTCCAGAACCACCACGACCTGCGGCCGCACTGCAAGAGGAAGCGACGATGCCGATCCAACCGTTGCGCACTCAGCCAAAAAATGAGCAGCTGATTGGACACTCTCAAAATCATCAACAAAAATACAAATCACGTCCGCAAATAAAAAAACGAGACGGGCGAGAATGACTCGGATAGCAGCTTGAGCCGAAGCAGCTTTCCACGTGATTGGATGCTCATGCACACCCGACCCCGAAATGGCCTGTACCTGGGCAAGGCTTGACCCAGATTGACCAATTCCACCATCAATGATAAGATGAGGGTCTCGGGTTGTCTCGGAGAGGTTGTCAACCCGCAAGCCAATGCTAGCGGTGGCTCGCGTTCTTCGGATGTTGTTACTGGGAAAGAGTGCTTGGAGAGCCAGGTCTTTAGTTCGCTCGCCTAAGAACACTGAAAACACTGGATTTTGATCACTAGGAGCCGGCAATCGAGAAACGATTCGTCCGAGCTGACCATAATCGCGAATCACAAAGTTTTGACTCTCGCCAACACCAACATCAATCCAACTGGAATCGTGTCTCAAGCGCATCGTAAGGTTCATGGGCAGGCTCTTGTAGACTCCAGAAACCGATCTCGATGGGTCATTCTTAAACCACACCAGGGCACATTCTTCGCTTCAGCGTGGTATGAAAATCGGCAAACCTCTTACTCTCGCTGTTTCATGTACTTGATACTTTCTCGCTGGTCTACATCATTGCCAATGTGGTCGAATTCTGAAAGTACGAGTGTGACCAAAAGGTAAGACATACGCCCGGCCTTGTGGCTCATTAGACCGGCGTATTTTTGCTCCTCGATTGAATTGGGCTCCCTACATGACAAATACAAACGTGGTGGGAGGATAAAAAATAAAGATAAGGCCGAGTAAATTTGAAAAGAAAATTACACGGGATTTTAATTTGCCAGACTATCAAAGTAAGTTCTGTAGCCGCCGCCAAATTTCTTGTTACTAACTACACATACTAATAAAGATCTGTTGCTAGAGCTTGGAAGACTAGCTATGGTCTAAATGTAACACCCTTCATGTTTTTCAAAATATATTCTTTGGGCATCTCCGGTAAATGAGTACGAAAATAAGGATCTTTATTATGGGTAGACCTTTTTAAGGCCCCTGGTACTTGGTATAGCGTACAAGACGCACTGACCAGCACCGTTCTCGGGTGATATGCCCTGGAGATCATTTCTCAGCATGAACTAAGCCGAATGCGCGCTGTCAAGGGTGGACTTTGGTTACTACTGTGTATCAAATCCTAAAGTGCGGGGGTGTGGTAGGGGACAGGGGTATAGTCGAGCTATGATTTTAGCATAAGATATGCATATATATATACTTCATCCAACCGTCTTTTTCTATCCCTTACTGTTTTCTTCAAACAAACATACCTTTCTTTCTGCCTCTGATGTTTTCTTCCGACTTTACATACAACTTGCCCGAGGCAAGCATGAGCAATGAGTCTTTAGACTATTTACCATTTAACCCCCAGAAGCTCTCGGATTTTCAAACCTCTCCTTTCAAGCCTGCGCAGGTTATTGCGACTGAACAGGCCATGAATCAATGGCCGGACATACAAGGACCGTCGCCGACCGCCAATTCTCGAATCTCCCAAGGCGGACGACTCGAGAACGGATTCCAGAGGACAGGAAATGGGTTCGTGCCATTAAGATTTCACTGATCGAATACTAATGTTTCTTTAGTCGCTCTCAGCCTATATCTCCTATGGTCGAATCATCAGAGTGAGCTCTCCAAGCATCTTAATTCTTGTCAGATTACATGAGCTAAGCATATCTCAACCATCGCTGCAGCGACCTGACAATAGGAGAGTTGCGCCATATGAAGAAGAGATATGATCAGATCGACATGCGGATGGATACAATCATGGAAAACTTAAAACATCTCATGGCTCATGCCAACCGGGTTGGAAACTTTGCAGAAAGAATCCATCAATTGGACACCCTTTCCAGCCAGCTGGAGAATATTCGGGCCAATACCAAGCGTCTGGACAGGCAGTTAAACGAAAACTGTGAAGAGATGAGGAGGGAGGTCAAACGGATTGATCGTATGGTTGAAACATATGAGTATATCCAGAAAAAGTTCCAAGGCTTGCTTTGCCGTCTATCCAGACGACGCAGTGCCGATGACTGTCGAGCAGCGCCGGGTGAAGAGGAATTACTGGTGTAACATGAGGGTTGTTTCTTGTATTATCGTTGTAACTTTAATTAAACTCTCTCGTCCGAAAGCCTACTCTCTTAATTATAACTCCGAATTATAAGCACAAGCCCTTTCACTCTACTATATGGCCATTTTGTGGATTGATTGCAAGGTAGGCCCGTTTTACTACACCCCATGGCGTTAGTGCCCTGGGCTTGATTAGCTTTGGGGGCCCTGGTCAGAACACTCTCCGTGCACCGGCCTAGCGCAACAGCGTTTATTAATTACGCATATCTCCTAGTTACGGCAATCGCTTACGTTAAGGATTTCTGTCTCCTGCGCGGGGCGGGTCCGGGATACCTTCCGCATTTCCCCAAACTCTAATTACCTACTACCCCCTGGACATGACTCGGGAAAAAGGTTTATTTGTAGGCCTTTTTTTTTTAAAAAAAAAAAAAAAAAAAGAAAAAATCTCCTAGATAATTCTTATAGATTGAATTTTACCACTTAGGCTTTGGTCTTTTTTTTTTTTTTTTTTTTTTTTTTTTTTACAAAGACATCATCTCCACATAGTTTTCATAGAGTATTTTATCACTTATTACTCCGGTAATATGGAAAAGACTGTTCGTAACCTGGCTCTGTAAGTTTAGGTTCCCTCCCGCAGACCATGTTTCGAAGCTGCTCCTTGTTCTAGTAACATCGATGGGTATAAGATTCTCGATATCTTTAGGATTGAGAGTTATCTCCCAACACCTATCTCACTGGGTAGCTGATCAAAGCAAAAAAACAGTACCTTGATACTTCAATATGGAGTCGGAAACAATCAATCCGCAGCCTGTCCACAATATCCTTCCGACGGTATGTACTTGCCGCCGCCCCAGTGGTCTGTCATTAACAGTCAAGTAGATGGAAACAATTGGAGAGCTAAATCAGAGGGACAACCTCACCGGTCTGGTCCAAGATTTTCTTGATCGAGAACGAAATGCATCCCTTTACCGCGCTAGCCTCGAAGCTCGCATTGAGCACGAGTGCGCAAATCTACAGGAGGAACGTCATATCCGCAGTCAATTGGAGCTTCAGCTAGCCGAATCACAATGGGCACGGTCGCAGCTAGAGTCTTCATATCGACGCTCGTGTGAAGACCGGGACTTCTTTCGCCAAGAGACCGCCCAGGAAAAAGGGAAGGTTCAAGATATTGAGTCTCGCCTAGCTGCTGCCCTGTCGTTCCACGAAACTATACAAAAAAGCAGTTTAGGGAGAGGGGCTCCTTCGGACAGATCAGTCAATGCCTTGCAGCTACGGCTCCAAAGCCAAAGACAGCAAGAATTGATCACAGAGCTTCAGGTTCTCAATCTAGCACACGAGAATACCATACGGACTCTACAGGGCACCTTGCACAATGCACTGGGGTGTTTCTCGTGCGGTTCCTACACTGATAGCGATGGTACTGCCACCATCATTGAGAATTCTACGGGCGAAGGAAGCAACAGCCCCCAGGAGCCACCGGACAATACATACCCTTTGTTACCGACGAATAAACTGGGAGGGACATGGTATGAGGAATGATGGTTCAGGGATCTCTTTGGTAGTTGTGAATTTGAGGACTAGTGAATAAACCTGTTTATGAAGCAAATGAAGTATTTGTGCATAGTAGACATTACGCGGGTTTAACGACCATGCCGGTTTCAAGGAGAAAGCGGTAAGTTTACTGCACTCAGACCTCGCTTTTGCAGATGCCTGTTCTAATAGTGCCGCCAGCCGGCGTTGGTAATATTTAAACCTGGAGCATTCCCGTAGTACAGTCTACCCAGATTGAACCAACCTCTCTCTCCGCAGTTGACCTCAACATCTTTGCCAGAATAAAAATGGAACAGCAGCCACGCCATTCACTATATTCCATTCCCGAAGAGATTACCCCGCAAGATCATCGGATTCTTTGCAATGGTGGGACTTCGTCCGGTATAGAGCGCCTTCCATCTCGCCTTAGACAGACCAAATCCCCTTTCCAGAGCGAGAAGAGACAGATCGAGCATTTGACCTACGAAGTTGGCTATCTTAAAGCGGAGTTGGCCTGGCATTCAGAATCTCGGCGTGCTCTACTCTTGCTTCAAGAGCAAATGTATGAGATATTTCATAGAATGGAGGACGCTCTGATCCAAGCGAATGTACGGCTCCAAGAAGCTGAGCATCGTTACTTGAGTTTCTGGGGACTCGAGGCATGCGCAGGAGGGAGTGAGCAGATGATATAAGTAAGAAGACCTCTTTTATTATGCCGCTTGGATAATATTGCTAACAATTCTTGCAGATTTCATGGTTTGGACATTGGAATAGAGATAACTATTTTGATTTTTTGGCTCTTTATGAATGCAACAACGTCTGCTAGTCTCAACCACCGTCTCTGTATACATATATTCGAACAGATAATATTATCTCAGCAAGTGGAATTTCCTACCGCACAGACTCATCTTTGAGATAAAACTCTCTTTACTATCAAAAAAATATTAACATGTCAATATACCCAAGATTCTTCTAATGTTGAGCTCACCTTTATTGTCGTGTTGTGTTCCATGAGGTCACAAACATTGCGATATCGGTCGGACGCCTATCGTAGCATTGAATTGTGATTTCAACTTCGGCTGACAATTTATCGCCTCCGTGTGACAATCTTGCAACCATCTTATGAAATGTTTCTTTCCATACACTGCGTCGTCTGACAGGCTCTAGGGGGGCGGTCCTTGCCATAATTTGTGGTTGGCTTCGACTAATCACACTGGGTTGAATGTAGACCACTTTCTCAGGAGGCTCTCCCTGTGTCGAAGGAGATACGGATCCTGTGACTAAAATCTTTAACACCACTATCAAATGCTAACGCCCAAATTGACTCGAAATTGCCTAGTAGGATACTGAGCCGGGATAATCCAATGTTATTTTTACTGCGAGCCCACGTCCGGCATCTCCGAAGTTTCTGGCAGAGGCCCTGCAAAATGAATTTTACCACTAAGACCAAGCTTGAGTAGTACATTGACAACTGTTCCAGTAATCTCGATTTGCCCCTAGTAATAGAAGGATGGGATGGTAACCTTACGAGATGATAGAATCAGTGTTTCGAAACAGGGTCCGCGTCTTACTGCTAGGCCAAGAAAGGTGTGCTTAGCCGTCCTGAAAAAATACATCTCTTATTCGTAAATTACCATGCTCCCTTCTCGACCGTCACGGGGCTTCTCTGGGTAACTAGATAAAACAAAGTTCAATTGGCTGTAAGTTTATTTCAGTATTCAAATATTTTTTCCGCTAATGCAACTGGTAAAGCTGATCCCTTCAACAGCCCGACATTTCTGTCTTAGCACTTAGTTTTTATCAAAAGTTTCAAAACACATAGTAATGTTGTCGCATTGAAATTCCACCAAATGTCACTTAACTGGGCCGTGATAGCGAAGAAATCCATATAATATGGGGATATACCTCTGCATCGTTATCTTAAAGCCCTCTGCTTTCCAATTCAGAACCTAAGAGAGTAAAATGAATTATTCCGACTGCCGGAGGCTCCTCTCACCGTGGGTCATCATTCTTCTTCTCGTCCAATCTGCTCCTAGTTTTTCTCTGAAGGTAGGTCAATTGTGATTGTCATGGGTTCTTAGCTAAGCTATGCAGATAAGAGGACTTCAGCTCATCAATGACGAAACCGGTACATTTTCGGGCCCATTTGGTTTCCCGCGAAACTTCAGTAAGTGTCTTTAAAGCAGAAACGATTTCTTTTACTCACCAAGTAGGTTCCGAATGGGTTCATGCCGAGCCTTATTCCTTTATTGATGCAGAGCCATTATCTTTTTTCTGCAGCACGTCTCAAAGATTACCATACCAACAGCCATCGTGGCCGCGCTTAAAAGCCACACCGGGTTCGGCGATTTGCCCGCACTATGCACTAGATACACTGTCGACCAGAGACCGTGTGGACCGGGGGATGATAAGCTGGTATGGAAGTAGCTACGCTAACCGTACTGACTTCAAAAGTCTTTCAGATATCATCAACATTCCGGAAGATGAAACAGGACAAGGTTGGTAGAAAGTGCGAGTTCAAATTATCTAAGTCTAATAGAGTCCTAGTTCTTGCGATGCACTCGTACCCCTCGCTGGTCCATTCTGGATGCCCGACTCCATTTCGGATCCCCAAAGATTTGAAAGCCTCAAGCATATATTCAATCTACTGGCTGTGGAATACAACCAAGCTGATGGAAACCGGGTTCCAAGTACATATTTTCCGGAGGCACGTTGGTACCGTGGCGCTAATTCGCTCTTGTAGATCTATACTACATGTATTGACATCGAAATAATGTCTGACCTGTCAACAGAAAGGCCAAGGCCCAACGAAGAGACCCTGATGAGCTTGACTTTGACCTCTACACATTTCATTTGTCCAACTCGCCAGCCATCAACGGCAGATGGGTCTATGATCAGCTACCATTCGAGCCTGTCAGGTATAGAAAGTCAGATTTCAGTATTAGAGCCGGTACAAAGTTCCAGGACCCCGTCCTTTGCTTCAACTAGTACTTCGACCCCAACGACAATTCCACGCAGTACGCATTACCCATCGGCCAACGAAGTGACAAGGCTTACGCCATCAATTCTGCCCACAGTGGCAGGTGTAACCTCTGTGACTCCCACAACTTTATCTTCTTTTTCGTCTGCTGCATCCACACATACCGTGAAGCTCACACCGGGTGACGTTGTCATCTTTGACCGCAAATATCTGAATGTCTCCGTCGGGGATTCTGTTCTCTTTAAGTCATTAAATGGATCTCTTTTTCTTTTCAATACCACATTTGAAGATTCATGTTCTCCAATCAGGCAGATCGAAAACAAAGGCCAGAACAGTGTGCTCTACTCGGTACAGAGCGCCGACCCTGCTTGGTTTCTCGCATGCGATTCTGCTGAAACCTGTCGATGCTATCCGCCGTCCCATTTTGCTGTCAACCCAGGAGTTCATTCTGCTCAATTCTTCAGCGGAATCGAACACAAATCTGTCTACTTTT